AAGCAGATAATGTGAGATTTCCTGCCTTGATATTCTGGGAGATAGGGCTGTGTGGAAGGGGAGAGTCTACTGAACAAGCCAGTACCTGCCGCATACCATCTGTTGAGGAGTTAAGAAGGTGGAGGCATTACTTTTCATTCAACCCTCGTATTAAAAGGAAGGAACACGATTAAGACACATTTCCGCAGGCGTCTACTGAGGTTCCTTTGACTGCACAGAAGCTTTGGGCCAACTCGGGCCCTCCCTCCAGGTGTTTTGGACTTCAACTCCCACAATTCCTAACAGCCTACCGGCTGTTAGGAATTGTGGGAGTTGAAGTCCAAAACACCTGGAGGGAGGGCCCAAGTTGGTCCATACCTGCTTTAGACCTTTTTCCCATTGGGTACCCTCTGGGTCATTGTGTCACACAGAGGTCCACTTCTGTCTTTCAATGTGTACGTCGTGATGGTCTTGTCATACCTGTTGTCCAGGTATATATACCTGCATTACCTGGGTTTGCATCTTCCTTGTGCCTCTCAGCCCAGGCTTTGCTTTGCTTGTCAACAGAAGCTTCCATCTCCACGGCGACCGGGCTCTCCCTGCAAGGCACCTGCGGCCTCCTGAAGGTAAAGGTGCACCATGACCTGGAGGAAGTGGGAGGGGGAGGACACCAGGCTGAAGGGACACCAAAATACTGTATTGACTCAACTCTAATGCTCACCTGTTGGGGCTAAAACCCCTTCCCAAAACTAAGGTGCGCATTAGATTCACGTCCTACGGTGACCTTAGTGCTGAGCCAAAGCCAGGAGATCCTCTTTGAGGGACCTCAACTCTCATTTAATGCCATGCCATCCTGGGATTTGTAGCATTCTTTGGCAAAGGAGGACCAAGGCCTTGCAAACAGACATCCCTTATGCCTGCCTAGCATTGAACTTTGGCAGTTAAAGCGGATTCATTCTACAGCAGGAATGAGCAAACTTCATTGGCTGTTTGGAATTATGGGAGGTGAAGTCCAAACTTACTTACTTATTGGGTTGTTGTAGGTTTTTTCGGGCTATATGGCCATGGTCTAGAGGCATTCTCTCCTGACATTTCGCCTGCATCTATGGCAAGCATCCTCAGAGGTAGTGAGGTCTGTTGGAACTAGGAAAAAGGGTTTATATATCTGTGGAATGACCAGGGTGGGACAAAGGACTCTTGTCTGCTGGAGCCAGGTGTGAATGTTTCAACTGATCACCTTGATTAGCATTTGATTGCCTGGCAGTGCCTGGAACAATCCTTTGTTGAGAGGTGATTAGATGTCCTTGTTTGTTTCCTCTCTGTTGTTGTGCTGTTCTAATTTTAGAGTTTTTTAATACTGGTAGCCAGATTTTGTTCATTTTCATGGTTTCCTCCTTTCTGTTGAAATTGTCCACATGCTTCTTGTGGATTTCAATGGCTATCTCTGTGTAGTCTGACGTGGTGGTTGTGAGAGTGGTCCAGCATTTCTGTGTTCTCAAATAAAATGCTGTGTCCAGGTTGGTTCCTCAGGTGCTCTGCTATGGCTGACTTCTCAGGTTGAAGTGTTCCTTGATTCGTGTTTGGGCACTGCGTTGGGTGGTCCCTATGTAGACTTGTCCACAGCTGCATGGTATACGGTAGACTCCTGCAGAAGTGAGAGGATCCCTCTTGTCCTTTGCTGAACGAAGCATTTGTTGGATTTTCTTGGTGGGTCTGTAGATAGTTTGTATGTTGTGTTTCCTCATCAGCTTCCCTATGCGGTCAGTGGTTCCCTTGATGTATGGCAAGAACACTTTTCCTCTGGGTGGATCTTCGTCTTGACTCTCGTGGCTTGTTTCTTGGTCTTGCCGCTCTTCTGATGCCTGAGGTGGAGTCTCCCTTGGCCTGGAGAGCCCAGTTGAGGTGGTTCAGTTCACTTGGAGGAGGTGGGCTTCACAGATTCTTTTTGCACGGTCTGCCAAGGCTTTAATGGTGCTTCTTTTTTGACTTGGGTGATGGTTGGAGTTTTTATGTAGATATCTATCTGTGTGTGTGGGTTTTCTGTAAATGGTGTGACCCAATTGTTGATCTGGTTTACGGATGACTAGGACATCTAGAAAAGGCAGACTTCCTTCCTTTTCTTTTTCCATGGTGAACTGGATGTTTGGGTGGATGCTGTTGAGAAGGTCCAGGAACCTGTTGAGTTCTTCTTCTCCATGGCTCCAAATGGTGAAGGTGTCATCCACATATCTGAACCATATCGTGGGCTTTTTGGTTGCTGTCTCCAGGGCTTGTTTTTCAAAGTAAGTAAGTAAGTACTTACTTACTTACTTAGGTGATCCCTCATTGTCCGAGTAGGATAGTCTTCCAAGATTGGTGTTCTATCGGTGTTCATAGGTGGCTGTGGGGCCCTATTCTTGACCCGCATCTTCTCTCGCAGTGAGGACATCGGTTTCCAGGTGGAAGGTGGTCCCGGTCGGGGCTGGCTTGATGCATCGTCTTCCTCTTAGCAATTTTCTTTCTCCCTCCATTCGTGCCTCTTTGAATTCTACAGCACTGCTGGTCACAGCGGATCTCCCGTTAGAGCATTCAAGGGCCAGGGCTTCCCAGTTCTGTCTCGGTGTCTACGCTAGAGTTTTTCAGGTTGATTTTGAGCCCATCTTTAAATCTCTTTCCCTGTCCACCAATGTTACGCTTCTCATTCTTGAGTTCGGAGTAGAGCAACTACTTTTGGAGACAGTCGAGTATTCAGACAATGTGGCCTTGAGTTCAGTGGAGTGATGGCGGAGGAGCATCGCTTCAACTGCTGGTGGTCTTTGTTTCTTCCACATGTTGGCACTTCCCCGCCTGTCTTCCCAAAAGATTTGTAGGTTTTTTTGGAGGCAACGCTGATGGAATTGTTCCAGGAGTTGCGTGTGACGTCTGTAGACAGTCCACGTCTCGCAGGCGTATAGCAGGGTCGGGAGGACAATGGCTTTATAAACAAGCACCTTGGTATCCCTATGGATGTCCCAGTCCTCAAACACTCTCTGCTTCATTTCCCCGCCAGTCTTCCCAAGAGATTTGTAGGATTTTCCGGAAGCAACACTGATGGAATCGTTCCAGGAGTTGCATGTGACATCTGTAGACAGTCCACGTTTCGCAGGCGTATAGCAAGGTTGGGAGGACAGTTGCTTTATAAACAAGCCACTTGGTCTCCCTATGGATGTCCCAGTTCTCAAACACTCTCTGCTTCATTTCCCTGCCTGTCTTCCCAAAAGATTTGCAGAATATTTTGGAAGAAGCACTGATGGAATCGTTCCAGGAGTTGCATGTGAGGTCTGTAGACAGTCCACATTTCACAAGCATATAGCAGGGTTGGGAGGACAATGGCTGTATAAACAATCACCTTGGCATCCCTACGGATGTCCCGGTCCTCAAACACTCTCTGCTTCATTTCCCAGCCTATCTTCCCAGGAGATTTGTAGGATTTTCCAGAGGCAACGCTGATGGAATCGTTTCAAGAGTTGAGTGTGACGTCAGTAGACAGTCCATGTCTCACAGGCGTATAGCAGGGTTGGGAAGACAATGGCTTTATAAACAAGCCCCTTGGTATCCCTACGGATGTCCCAGTCCTCAAACACAAGAGGGTGGTAAAGAGATAGAAAGGATTAGCTACTGGCCTCTGTCTCTGTGTATGTAATGCTCAGATCCAACCACAAGGGGGCAGTAAAGATAGAAAGGATTAGCTATTGGCCTTGATGTCTGTATGATTGCAATGCTCAGATCTAACTACAAGAGGACAGTACAGAGAAAGAAAGGATTAGCTATTGGCCTCTATATCTGTATGTATACAACACGCAGATGTAACCACAAGATGGCAGTACAGAGAAGGAAAGGATTAGCTACTGGCCTCTAGGTCTGTATGTATGCCACTCTCAGATCCAACCACAAGAAGTGGCACGGAGATAGAAAGGATTCACTACTGACTTCTAAATTTGTATGTATACAACACTGAGTCCAACCACAAGAGGATGGTGTATAGAAAGGATTAGCTAACTATTGGCCTCTATGTCAGTATGACAGCAATGCCCAGATCCAACCACAAGAGGGTACTATAGAGATAAAATAGAATTAGCCACTGTACAGTCCAGAAGTCCATGGCTAACACTTGTTCATCAATCAAGGAAGCAATCAATGTATTCAGACATAATTTTAAAGAAAGGAGGGGATGACAAGACTTCTGCTGAGGCTGAGAGAGTGTGACTTTCTCAAAGCAAGAATTTCAGGGTTTTATTTCAAAGGGGAGTGAGGCTGAGAGAGTGTGCCTCAGTAAAGCCAATAATTTATTAATAGCTAGCTCATGTACCTGATGTTGCCTGGGTATGCATTTTCTAATGCCATTTATGAGAAATATTCATTGTTAGCTTTATGATGTTATAAAATGTGTATGGCAGGCATGAGCCAACTTTGGCCGTCCCTCCTGGTGTTTTGAACTTCAACTCCCACAATTCCTAACAGCCAGTAGGCTCGCCAGTCGCTTTGCACATGCACAAATGCACTCTCTCTGCTCTTGCTTTCCAGGTTCTAGAGTGAAACGCCAGGTTTGAAAGACTGAAGCCAAGCCTTGTATCCAAGAGCCAAGTGTCAGCGAGTTCCCTTTGCCATTTGAGTAGCTGAATCCCCTCTTTCTCTTCCAGAGGGAGACAGAGAGGAGGAAACGCTGCAGAGATGGTGGAGCTCTCAGAGCCCAGCTGTGAGTAGAACCATAGTATTTGGTATTTGGTATTTCAGAGTTTGGTATTTGGTATTGAGAAGAAGCAGGGGAGCTGAGGGATGATTTATTGTTGCCACCGATTTGAAAGGAACCAGTATTCAGGAGATTTTACCCCAGTTCCCAATTTTTAAGAAGACTTAGCTGATTTGCAATGGAGGTTGCCGATTAGGAACCAAATTTACCATCAAGTTAGGAGGGAGGCTGTTCAATTGCACCTCCTCCTTTATTAAGAAAGTAATAACTTAGTAGTAATTACACTGTATATACTGTAGCGTGACTGGAGAGAAGAATGTAGATTTATTTGGTTACTTTTCCCTACGTTTCTGCCACCACGTGAGGTAAGTTGTAATATTGTGAGAAATGGCACTTGGTACACAGAATAGACGGAGCTGAGGCAATCTTCAAATAAAAGTTAACAATTTTATTAAGTACACAGCGTGTGGTTGCAAGACGTAACTTTTCCTTGTTGCACTTGGAATAATACTTGTAACTTTAACAGTTCATTCTTTCAAGTAACACAGTATCTTTCTGACGTAGAGCACTTGTTTCAGACAAAGTTTCCATACAGGGATGTTTCCCTTAGTTGATCCTCCCTAGATCAAATACTAAGTAAACTATTCTTTAGCCTCTCCTTAGACTAAAAGAATACCAGCTATGTTTCACCATTCGGCTGCACTAGCCTGAGAAACTTCCAATAGCCAAACCCAGCTTTTCAAAGCCTCAAAGCTTTGCTTCACAAGTCACTCCGCCACCTTTCCTTTCCTTCTCTCCCAACTCCTAACTCCTCACTCCTCTGAACCTAAACCCGGACTGTTGTCCGAGTAGGATAGTCTTCCAAGATTGGTGTTCTATCGGTGTTCATAGGTGGCTGTGGGGCCCTATTCTTGACCCGCATCTTCTCTCGCAGTGAGGACATCGGTTTCCAGGTGGAAGGTGGTCCCGGTCGGGGCTGGCTTGATGCATCGTCTTCCTCTTAGCAATTTTCTTTCTCCCTCCATTCGTGCCTCTTTGAATTCTACAGCACTGCTGGTCACAGCGGATCTCCCGTTAGAGCATTCAAGGGCCAGGGCTTCCCAGTTCTGTCTCGGTGTCTACGCTAGAGTTTTTCAGGTTGATTTTGAGCCCATCTTTAAATCTCTTTCCCTGTCCACCAATGTTACGCTTCTCTAAACCTAAACCCCTAACTGATTTTTAACTGTCGTTTTTCAAACTCTCCCCTCTAAGCTCCTCCCACTTCCCTCTCTCCTGCATCGGTCTCCATGGCAACGCACATGGAGGACTCCTCTGACTTAGGCCGCTCCAGCATTACTGCAGCCAATCTAAACACAAATACAGTTAAAATCATACAATTTATAATCAACTCCTGTACAGGTATTCCATCAAACACCCAGATCATTGCAACAAGTTTGTTTGATCAAGTCACCCTGCTGGGTGGAGAGTGCCACAGCAAAACTAAGATGGCTTACCTTTATAGCCAAAGCATGTGCACACAAGCTTTTTCTCTGAACTTTGCCACATTGGCCCTACAGCCTGGAAACCACATAACACCCCAGTGAGTCTGACCATGAAAGCTTTTGACAATACACACAACATTTTGACTGTTCCTCATTTATACATAATCCAACCAATCATTGTGTTGGATCATTGTGTTGCCCTCAGAAACTACCTTGTTGCACTCCAGGACAGGAGAAGCCCTCTGCCTTCAAACACCACGCCGTTGGATAAGGAAACAATCCTTTTATTAAAGATAATTAAAAAGCAGTAAAGTAAAAAAAAAGCACTTTAAAGAAATAGGTAAATTCAATTAGGTAGGAAGATAAGCAGGAACAAAGTAGTCCAGGGTAATAGTCCAGCAAAGTCCATGAAAACAAAGTCAAAACTTCCCAAATAAAATGCAAGAAATCAGGCAAAATGTATCCAAGGCATAATTATAAAAGCATAGAATCCAAGCATCAAAACCATGAAACAAAGGCACTTAAAATATGAATTTTCCAAGCAAAGCTTCAATGAAAGAAGGATGAGACCTTGACTTGATTCCAAACAATGCTTCATCTGACTACATATCCTGTACTTGAGACTTTTATCTCCTCGTTAGCTATGTCTCTAACGCTCAGAAATTGGTTTTGCTTTAGCTGAGAATTTCTTATTTTTTCTCTTGGGGCCTGGCAGACTGCCGAAGCCACTGTTCGGCTCTCCGTTTTTGACTGATCTCCTCCCATCTATCTATTTGCTCATTAATTTCTGCAGCTGGGCCAGGTACTGAGCTGTTTTCGTGTTCCCTATCATGGGAACTCTCTGGTAACAATTGAGAGAGCACACCATCATCCCCACACCCCTCAGGGACATTCGCATGGAAAACTACACTTTGAACAGGGATCTCCTGGTCATGCTCTGCATCAATATCACTGGCCAAACCATTGCCATCTTGAAACTCATCTTGAAACTCATCTTGAAACTCATTGACATCACTAACCCAGCAATTGGCTATCTGGATATGCCGTCTCATTTTGCTTCTTGCCAAAATCCTGACAGGGGCTTTCCCCACCTTTCCTTCCATTCCTCCTGCAGCAGCCCAGGTGGGGACGAGGAAGAGGCTCCACTCGCAGGCTCACATGGAGGAGAAGAAAGAGAAGGATGGAGAGGAGGACAAGGAGAGTCCGGACGAGGCCCGGTCACCACCGGACGGGCAGAAGGGCAGGGCACGGCAGCTCTGGCGCATGCTCCAGAAGGGCTTCCGGCATGCAGTGGAAAAGGTATGTGCCGCAGAATCACAGAATCCTGGAGTTGGGGAAAACCACCTGAGACTTTGCTGCCTCTATCCTATAACACTATGTAACACTTGAGGTTTGTACTTGATACTAAACGGTGCTTGGTTTGAGGAAATCCCCCTCATGGTCACTCTTAAATCCCAAAAACTGATTCTGGCTAACTCTAATCTTTGATTTCAGTTGTCGGATTCTCTCGGACCTACGTAAACATTGAGCCCCCCTGTGGTTCTGGCTTATCTCCAAAGTGCGGCTGTTATCATTGACCCGACCAAGTGTCAAGTTATCTTGCAAGCTCGGGCCAGAAGGAGAAGGAGGTGGATTCTCCTCTCGGTTTGACAGAAACTTTCTCATGAGAACTTGGCTTTTCCCTTGAAGCCTCTAAATCAAAGCCTGTAGGATTTTTACTGCCCAAAGTGTCTCCATCTTGAGCCTCATCCTCATTGATCACTTCAGCCTCACTATCCAAACTAGGCCCATCAACATTAGCATCAACATTAGCATCAACATTGGCATCAAGATTAGGCAATACAATCAGAGATTCAGGCTCAGGTTCACACACAGGCTGAGTCCTAACACCTGACCCCATCTCAGTTTCCTGGCCAGACATTGATTCTTCTTGATTGGTGTTGATCTTATGTTGATTTCCTTTTAAACATTTTAAACATGTATCTTATCACTGTCCAGTTCTGATCACAGTTTACTTTTCAGTTCTTATTAGCAACTTTTAATTACAGTCCAGCAAGCTGGTAGTTAGTCATTGCAGGCCTTAATATTTTACTGATGTTTCCAAAATTATTAACTCCCATTCATTCATTTCTTCCATTTGGTTCATTCATACCCACATATCATATTAAATCCACATAACAAAGTCCCCTATCTGCACACTGAATTTCTTATTACAGCACCACAAGGACATAAGCGTGCATCATAGGGGACTTTGTTATCCCCCCCTCCCCCCCAATAAGGCTGAAGGTAATTCATTGAATTTTGCAAGGGTGAATGCTTTTCTGTATTTTGGTGTCGCACCTCAGAGTAGATTCACCTTGCTGAAATCACCAAAACTGCACACAGACTGAAGTCTTTGTAGTTTATTGAAAAATAAAAGATAAAACTTCATAAAAGCAAGTAAGGTTCCAAAAGACCAATAAGGCATAGCACTATAAAGCAGGATTCCAAGAGTCACCGACAAAACAATCTCTCATGAAAACATGACAAAGTCCCAAAACCATGGACACAAGAACTACAAGATAATCCAGGCAAACGAGCACAAGCTGCTTGGTTGAGTGCAAAGTTGCTTTGACAAAGGTTTGTTTTCAAACACACTGCTTAATACCCTTTGCAATACATGAAAGCATTTCTCTGGCCTCCTTCTTGTTGGCTATTCTCACACTCCTTTGAACTCTGAATTCCAAATTGTCAGCCCGATCTAAGGTTCCTGCTTCCTCAAGGTCAGGCTGCTCGTTAGTGTTGAAAGGTCTTTGAGTGAAATTTGCAAATGCTAAGCAAGGGGCTTTGAATGAAATTAACAGCAAAAGAGAAATATACCCTTTCTCTGTAGAAAAGGAGCAACACGGAAGAAAATATTTTAAAAACAAGAGGCATCATGTAGAGGTCATACAAAGTTCAAGCCTACATAGGAAGTTGTGCTGTGGTTAAGCCAAAGGTTGTGGTTAAGCGCAGAGTCTGCAGGTACAAGAAGGTACTTTCCATCAAAAGGTCAAGGGAGGGGCTGGAAAGAGAGTACTTTCCATGACCTATAATTTGAGTATAAAGGTCAGCAGAAACAGAGGAGGGGGCGGCAGTCTTTGAAAGCTCATACAGAAGTGATGACTGTCTGTCTCATGCTGATTAGCTTGATTAAATGGTGTCTTACATAGAATCATAGAATCAAAGAGTTGGAAGAGACCTCCTGGGCTATCCAGTCCAACCCCATTCTGCCAAGAAGCAGGAATATTGCATTCAAATCACCCCTGACAGATGGCCATCCAGCCTCTGTTTAAAAGCTTCCAAAGAAGGAGCCTCCACCACACTCCGGGGCAGAGAGTTCCACTGCTGAACGGCTCTCACAGTCAGGAAGTTCTTCCTCGTGTTCAGATGGAATCTCCTCTCTTGTATTTTGAAGCCATTGCTCCATTGCGTCCTAGTCTCCAGGGAAGCAGAAAACAAGCTTGCTCCCTCCTCCTCCCTGTGGCTTCCTCTCACATATTTATACTTGGCTATCATATCCCCTCTCAGCCTTCTCTTCTCCAGGCTAAACATGCCCAGCTCCTTAAGCCACTCCTCATAGGGCTTGTTCTCCAGACCCTTGATCATTTTAGTCACCCTCCTCTGGACACATTCCAGCTTGTCAATCTCTCTCTTGAATTGTGGTGCCCAGAATTGGACACAATATTCCAGGTGTGGTCTAACCAAGGCAGATAGAGCATGGGGAGCATGACTTCCCTAGATCTAGACACTAGGCTCCTCTTGATGCAGGCCAAAATCCCATTGGCTTTTTTTGCTGCCACATCACATTCCTGGCTCATGTTTAACTTGCTGTCCACGAGGACTCCAAGATCTTTTTCCCACATCCTGCTCTCGAGCCAGGCATTGTCCCCCATTCTGTATCTTTGCATTTCGTTTTTCCTGCCAAAATGGAGTATCTTGCATTTGTCACTCTTGAACTTCATTTTGTTAGTTTTGGCCAATCATCTCTCTAATCTGTCAAGATCTTTTTGAATCCTGCTCCTGTCCTCTGGAGTCTTGGCTCTCCCTCCCAATTTGATGTCGTCTGCAAACTTGATGATCCTGCCTTCTAAGATCCTGAACAGGGCCGGGCCCAGGACAGAACCCTCCACTCGTCACTTCTTTCCAAGATGAAAAGGAAGCATTGGTGAGCACCCTCTGGGTTCATCCATTTAACCAATTACAGATCCACCTCACCGTAGTTTTGCCTAGCCCACATTGGACTAGTTTCCTTGCCAGAAGGTCATGGGGGACCTTGTCGAAGGCCTTACTGAAATCCAGACGCTACATCCACGGCATCATTCCCCGCATCTACCCAGCTTGTAACTCTATCGAAAAAAGAGATCAGATGGGTCTGGCATGACTTGTTTTTGATCAATCCATGTTGATTATTAGCGATGACCGCATTTGTTTCTAAGTGTTTGCAGACCACTTCCTTCACAATCTTTTCCAGAATCTTGCCTGGTATCGAGGTGAGGCTGACCGGACATTGGTTATTGTTTGGGTCATCCTTTTTTCCCTTCTTGAAGATTGGGACCACATTGGCCCTCCTCCAATCTGCTGGAACTTCTCCCGTTCTCCAAGAACTCTCAAAGATGGTTGCCAATGGTTCCGAGATGACTTCTGCTAGTTCCTTCAATACTCTTGGGTGTAGTTGATCTGGCCGTGAAAGGGGACTTGAACTCATCTCAGAGATTTCATCCGCGTGGATTCCATGGCAGCAAAATTGCTATATGCGCAACACTGTGTATGCCAATCCATGCCTTATGTCGGTTCTTTTCCACATTCCTGTTCTGGTTCGTAACAGACACTTCCTCCCAGGTGTCAGTACATCCTGTTCATACCAGTCTTGAGGAATTCCTGCTTCCTTCAACTCAGCAGTTTTAAAGGTCATTCCTTTAGGGTTCTGAGAGTGCCTTGGACTGCGAGAAGATCCAACCAGTCCATCCTCCAGGAAATAAAGCCCGACTGCTCATTGGAGGGAAGGATACTAGAGACAAAGCTGAAGTCCTTTGGCCACATCATGAGAAGACAGGAAAGCCTAGAGAAGGGAATGATGCTGGGGAAAGTGGAAGGAAAAAGGAAGAGGGGCCGACCAAGGGCAAGATGGATGGATGGCATCCTTGAAGTGACTGGACTGACCTTGAAGGAGCTGGGGGTGGTGATGGCTGACAGGGAGCTCTGGCGTGGGATGGTCCATGAGGTCACGAAGAGTCGGAGACAACTGAACGAATGAACAACAACAACCTTTAGGGTTGATTTTTCCCTGCTTCGAGGGCCAACTCACAATTTTATAATGCCTTGCGGTTCTCCGTTTTAACAGTATTTTCCTTAGTTTTGGAACCTGTTTCTTCAACTTTTCAGCCCAAACACTGATATTTATCACAGTAGTTTGATGACAGTTATGAGACTTTCCCCAGCATGACCCCCTGTCTCTTTTTGCAGATGAAGACGGAGGAGATGAAGGTGGCCTACCTGAGCCACGGTCTGCAGCACCTGAGCCACCTGGTCCTAGACAGCCCTGTGCGGTACGTGACCCACGACCCTCTCAGGGGGCTCTTCATGGCCCTCGACTCGGAGAACAAGCTGCACTTCCTGCGGGAAGATGGCTCCTACAAGGGCTCTGCCCGGACCCCCGTTCCCATGATGGGGCTCCTGTATGCTACGGAGGTGGACCAGTTTGTGTCCTGGGACGCAGGGGGGATGCATGTGCTGGACGCCCGGCTTCAGCCACTCTCGCAGGTGCCCTCCGCCTGGCCAATCCACTGTGGCCTCTACTGCCAGGAGCTGAACCGCATTGTGATGGCCGGTGAGAGGAACCTAACCCTCTGGGACTTCCGCTACGGCCACCGCAGCCTCCACTGCTGCCGCTCCGTCGACCTGGGCTCCGAGGACACCATCACCCACCTGGTCTTGGATGCCACCAGCGCAAAGGCCCCACGCTGCTTTGTCTCCTACAGCACTGGAGTGGCGGCCTTCGACATCTCCAAGGGGAGGCTCTTGTCCTCCAAGAGGAACCTTCACAGCAGGTGAGGCCCGTTCCTTGACCCATAAATGGAGAAATGGCCCCAGTTGTGAGGAGATGGTGATGGAAATGATGAAGATCAGGATTATAGGGATAGCGGTGATGGAGGTGGAAAGGATGGAGATTGGGATGGCGATGGGGTGGAAATGATTATGGGGATGGAGATGGAGATGATGGAGGTGGAAAGGATGGAGATGGGGATGGAGATGGGGATGATGATGGAGATGGATATGATGGAGGTGAAAAGGTTGGAGATGGGGATGAAATGATGATGAGGATAGAGATGATGATGGGGATGGAGATTATAGAAAGGATGGAGATGGGAATGGAGATAATAATGGAGATGAGATGATGATGGAGATGGAGATGATGGAGGTGAAAAGGATGGAGATGGGGATGGAAATGATGATGGAGATGGAGATGATGGAGATAGAAAGGATGGAGATGGGAATGGAGATGATGATGGAGATGGAGATGATGATGGAGATGGAGATGATGGAGGTGAAAAGGATAGAGATGGGAATGGAGATGATGGAGGTGGAAAGGATGGAGATGATGATGGAGGTGGAAAGGTTGGAGATGGGGATGAGATGATGATGGGGATGGAGGTGGAAAGGATGGAGATGAAAGTCTTTAACAACACAATGATAGTAAGAGTTTATCAATGGGATCGTGGCTCACTCAGACATACATACATTGAACAGCTTCCTCTCCTCACAACCTCTGAGGATGCCTGCCATAGATTCAGATGAAATGTCAGGAGAGAATGCTTCTAGAACATGGCCATACAGACCGAAAAACCTACAACAACCCCAGCTTCCCCTCCGTCTCCCAGTCTATTGTGAAGGGATTATGTAAATGGGGGCATGAGTCTTATTTAGAGGGTACGATTTCTTGATATTACTCTCATCAACTGCCCTGTTCCGGTCTTTCAGACTCAGGACAGTCCTTTTGACTTCTTTGATAGTGTCCATTGGCCTACAATGTGGTCTGCTTCCCACTTTTCCAAGCATTATCATTTTTCCAGTGGGTCATGTCTTCAGATGACCAAAGTAAAACAGCCTCAGTTTAGTAATTCTAGGGAGAGTTTGGGCTTGGTTTCCTCTTATTGTTGCAGTTGTAATTTGCCCTCATATCAGTGTCTACTTCTGGTGTCGTTCTGAATGAGAGTCCTGTAGGAGTCTTGGTCATTGAATGTCCTGCTCTAGTCTTGCAACAGCCATGGATTCTTGTGGAGTTAAAACCAGTAGAAACCAGTTCCCTTTCTGACAGGAGCTGGTGGCATGTCATGGGTTTCTGGTTTGACTCAACTGGCTCTTCTTGGGGCGTTTCTCCTGCTTAGGGCGATCACAGGTATCACCTACTGCGATGTGACCGGGTGCATCGCGACAGCCTCCCGGGACACCACCATCAAGGTCTGGGACGATAACTGGCACATCCAGACGATCTTTGTGGGCCACACTGGTGAGGATGTCATAAATACTTTAAAAAGAAGATGGCAGGTGGACCAGACTCCTCTGGTCTGCCACAATTTTGGAATAGTAAAATATCTCTTATATTTATTATTTATTTATTTATGTTATTTGTATACCGCCTTTCTCAGCCCGAAGGCGACTCAAGGTGGTATACAAATAGGATACTTCTTGCTGATGTTTTTCCAAAAGTTCTAAATGAATGACAGGTGTTTTTCCAGCTAAAACACTCTTATTCCATCAGTTCCAGACAGATATTAGCTTTTCTTCTAAAGTAAGGTGCACTGTGTTTGCTTCCTTAAGGTAACGAGTCATTTTCTCTGGTAATGTAAACATGTTGTTTTCCACCAAGAGTTAATCATGTGTCTCTGGTCATCAATGTCAACAGTTCAGCAACTTTGGTAGTTTTCCAGGCCTCATTTCTTAAGATGGCAACTTTAGCCTATATAGGTCCCCAACCATAGACCTTTTATACAATGTCATTCAATCCCATTCAAACCACACATCATATTTATGACAAAGAGGAGGAAGAGGAATGGGCTCCTTGGTCCCTACTTTCTCCTATAGAAAAGCTGTGTGATGGGTAGAAGTTTGAAAAGTGATCTTTCTGTATGAAATAATCACAGTTGGGATGAATGAATGCTTAGGATTAATTCCTGGCTGTTGGAGCCCCAAGGAAGTTTCTGGCTTATTTCATCCTGGCCAAGCCTTTCCTGGACTAACCTGCCTTGTGGGTTCTACGAAGTAGGGCCATTGTTGGAGTCCAGCCTGTGATTGTGCTTTGGATGTGGGGAATGTGGGGAATGATGGCAATGAGGTTCAAGATGGCAATGGTTTGGTCAATGATGTTGATGCAGAGAATGACATAGAGACACCTGTTCAAAGTGGAGTTTCCCATGAGAATGTTCCTACAGGGTATAGGGATGATGGTTTACTCCCTGAATTGCTCCCAGAGAGTTCCCAGGATTTGGGGCTTCAAAACAACTTGGCACCTGCAGAAACTAATGAGCAGATAGACAGGTGGGTGGAAATTAGCCAAAACAGACAGCTCGACCAAGCCTTCTGCGTTCTGCCAGACTTCGACAGATAAGGATGAGAGGCATTCTGGGAAAACAAAACCAATTTCTGAGTGCTTGGAATGACTTAACGGGAGGATATAAAGTTCCAAGCGAGGGAAATATAGTCAGAGGAAGCATCATTTCAGATTCCTGCTAAGTTCCTGCTCTTGTCTCATGGAAGCCTTGCTTGGAAGATTCATGTTTAAGGATTTCTTGCTGTAAGGTTTGTCTCGTTGTCTCTTGTGATTACATACTCATGCCTTGGATCAACGTTTCCCTGTTCTTTGGATTTTATTAGAGAAGTCTGGACTTTGTTTTTGAACTTTGCTGAACCATACCTTGGACTAATTTATTCCTGCTTATCTTCTTACCTAATTGGATTTACCTATTCCCTTAAAGTGCTTTTCCTACTTTTCTGCTTTTACTTATCTTCAATAAAAAAGGATTGTTTTCCTACTCAACGTGTGGTGTTTTAAAGTCTGAGGGTTATTCCTGTTCTGGAGTGCAACAGCCACACACTCAGAAGGCTCCATGTTGGCTTCAGGGGCTCACTTTGTTGTTAAGCACGCAACAGGAAACACCACCAAGACATAGGACACTTAGCTCATTAATGACTATTCAGGGGTATTGAACAGAGGCCAGCCTTGCAGGGATGCTGCACCATTGTCTCTTGTGAATGTGTCCATTTCTCTTATTAGGACCTCTCCTTTAATGACCAGTTGAGCAAAGTACCTTGGAGAGCGATCACCATTAGAGAGGGAAAGGGAGGTGACCAAAGACTGAGGTGAAGGGAAGAAAATGATCAAAGAAAACCCCAAAAAAACGCATCATAAAGTCCATGGTCCTTAAAGACTATGGAGGGAGGGAGATGGACAAAGGCTGAGGTGGAGGAGGTGAGATGCCCAAACACTAGAGAGGGGAAAAGGAAGCTGGCCAGAGACCAAATTGTGGGGGGAAAATGGACTGTGACCATCCCTTTGACCATGACTCTTTTTCCTTCTTTGCCATGTTTTCGCCCAATTTTCCTTCTCTGTCCTGAACTCGACTTGCTTTGCTGCACCACCAGCTCCGGTCATTGCAGTGACCTTCTATCCAGAGCGTCCGCTCATCTTCTCTGCCTCCCAAGATGGGACCATCCGCACCTGGAACCTGAGTACCACTGACCAGGTGGACCAGGTGCACACCTCAGAGCCTGTGGAGACCCTGGAGACCCTAAGTGTCTCGCGGGTGGCCTCGCGCTCCGGCCGCCTCCTCAACCTCTGGAAGATCAACCAGCTCTACTCGCTCTATACACCGTTGGGGTCTCCCCTCAGGCGCCTGACCTGCGTCAACCTGGAGGCCGTGGGGGACTTCCCGACCCGCGCCATCTGCATCTGCCAGGACTCCTCCGTGCGGCTGGTGGACGTCCAGAGCGGTCTGGTCCTCTCCTCCTTCACCGTGGAGCCCCCCTTCCGGGCCAAGGAGGCCGCCTACTGCTTGCCGCGGGAGACCCTCTTTGTGCTGACCGAACAGGGCCCACTGCTGCGCATCAACACGGCCACCGACCCTATGGTCCTGAAGAAGAACATCCCCAACCAAGATCCCCAGTCCAAGCCCTGCTGCCTCCTGCTCTACAGCCACATTGTGGACCCCGGGACCGTCTTTGCCACCTGGCTGCAGGTGAAGGAGGACAAGAACTACCGGAAGCAGTGGCTGAAGCAGCCCCTCAGGCTCCAGGACAAGAACAGGTAAGCATGGTCGCCAGATCCTGGCACCCTCCAGCCACTTTCTTCACCTGCCTAGGTAGAGCCTGGCACCCATATTTGTCATACCCAATGATGGTTGGTTGATTTAATAACTCTCTGTCTTTCTCTGCAATTTTTCCTCTAATGTTTAAATTCCCTTGCACTACCCTCTCCTCCTTATAGAAATCTTTGTAACATCTATATGCGACCGCTTGCCCGACTGGTGCGAAGCTTTGGGCTTGAGTGCCACCAGTACGCTGACGACACTCCGCTCATTCTGAGGATGGAGGGCTGGCCGGACTTCATACCCAAAAATTTCCATCAGTGCCTTGAAGCCGTTATTGGATGGTTGCGTGCCAGCAGGTTGAGGGTGAATCCAGCGAAGACGGAGATCCTTTGGCTGGGCCATCCGGGTGGGAGGGAGATCCAGTTGCTTACCCTGGATGGCGAGACACTACGTCCGTCACCTTCTGTAAGAAGCCTTGGTGTCTTATTGGACCTTCTCCTGCTCACAATGGAGGCCCAGGTCTCTGTTGTGAGCAGATCTGCGTTTTTCCACCTACGTCAGGCTAAGCAACTGGCTCCCTTCCTATCTAGGAACGACCTAGCTACGGTGATCTAGGTGACGGTCATCTCGAGGCTTGACATCTACATTGGCCTTCCTTTGTCAGTGATCCAGAAACTGAAGCTGGTGCAAAATGCAGCGGCTCGTCTTCTTGCTGGGGTGCCGGCGAGGTGTCGTATCACCCCAATTCTGCAACAGCTGCACTGGCTAACGATTGAGTACCGGATCACTTTCAAGGTGCTGATACTAACCTTTAAGGCCTTACATGGTCTGGGGCCGGCATACCTGAGGGCCCACTTATCCCCCTACCAACCCCAGAGATTACTTCGGTCCGAGGACCAAAATTTGCTTGCAGTCCCTAACATCCGGACTTATCATTTGTCATCTACTAGGCAGAGAGCCTTCTCGATCGTGGCCCCTTATTTATGGAATGCCTTGCCAGTTGAAACTCGAACCATCTGAGACCTACTTGCTTTTCGGAAAGCCTGTAAAACTTTTATTTTCCGACAAGCTTTTGATGGGTGAACAACTTGGGGCTATGTCCTCCCTCGCTGCTTATTGTTATTTTAAAGCTAATTGTATTGTTTTAATCTGCTTCTGTAAACTGCTCCGAGCCAGATTGGGAGTAGCGGTATACAAGTCAAATAAATAAATAAATAAATAAATAAATAAAATATTTTGCCATTATCTCCGTAATCTTACTTTGCTCCTCTTGTTCTCTCCCATTTTCATCTTTCAATCTCTTTACCCAGTTTTTTTCCTTTTCATTTTTCAAATAGTAAGCCATCCTCTTCGTTGATTTTATGTTCCAACTTTGGGAATAACTCTTAACATACAAGTACTTATTCATTATATTCCTTTCCTCAAAAGCTTCTAATCGTTTTCTCTTCTGCTTTAATTTTCTCCTGATCTTTCTATCCCTAGTTCTTTTATGTCTGTCCTGCAAAGTTTCTATTTCTTTTAGTCTCTTATCTTGTTCATTCCTCCATCTCCTTCTGAGATTTGCCTTTAAACTTATCCAGTGACCCCTTATCACAACCTTGCTTGCATCCCAAATTATATCTTTAGTTACTTGTCCATTATCATTGGTCTCAAAATACTTGATTATTTCTTTCCTATTCTTGCTATCTATTATTTAAAATTGTATTATATCTCCAGGTTCTTTCTTTTCTCTCTATTTCTAATTTTACTTTTACTCTTAATGGTGCATGATCCGACAAATATATTGGAAGTGTTTTTGCCTCTAGAATCAATGACTGGTTTGTATTTTTCCCTAGAATATAATCTATTTTACTATATGTATCATGTCTTCCTGGGTAATATGTCCATCTATTGTTCTCTGATTCCCCTTCTAATAGGTCCTGCATCTTATATTTAACTTCCTATTATTATTTTGCCTTGTTGTTACTAATTCCAAGTTGTAATCTCTTGCACAATACAATTCCCCATCTGCAAACTTATCCACTTGTTTTATATACCTTTTTTGATTTTTGTTTGGGGTGTATATACAAACCAAAATAATTCTAATTTTTTCTGTATTTCCTTTTATCATTACACACCTCCCCTCTGAATCCCTTTTTACTTTTTCCACCTGGAAATCTGTTGTTGTTGTTCATTCGTTCAGTCGTCTCCGACTCTTCGTGACCTCATGGACCAGCCTACGCCAGAGCTCCCTGTCGGCCGTTACCACCCCCAGCTCCTTCAAGGTCAGTCCAGTCACTTCAAGGATGCCATCCATCCATCTTGCCCTTGGTCGGCCCCTCTTCCTTTTGCCTTCCACTTTCCCCAGCATCATTGTCTTCTCTAGGCTTTGCTGTCTCCTCATGATGTGGCATTCAAAGGACTTCCACTTTCCCTCTCGTCTCCTTCCCTCCAGTGAGCAGTTGGGCTTTCTTTCCTGGAGGATGGACTGGTTGGATCTTCTCGCAGTCCAAGGCACTCTCAGCACTTTCCTCCAGCACCACAGCTCAAAAGCATCTCTCTTCCTTGGCTCAGCCTTCCTTCCCGAAGGTCCAGCTCTCCCATCCATAGGTGATTACTACAGGGAAGACCATGGCTTGGACTAGGCGGATCTTTGTTGCCAGTCTGATGTCTCTACTCTTCACTATTTTATCGAGACTGGACATTGCTCTCCTCCCAAGAAGGAAGCGACTTCTGATTTCCTGGCTACAGTCTGCATACCTGGAAATCTACTGTGTTTTTAATTAAAATAGTCACACCAAATGCTCTATTTGAACCTCTAGATTCACAAACCTGACTCCAAGTCCTGTCATTAAATAGTGGAGTACCGTATCACAATCTTTTATGTAATTCTTGTAAAAATAGAACATCTACCTTGTTATCTTTCACCATTTTCATCAGTTTTGCTCTTTTTTTTCTTTTTTTATTAGAATTTTATTAATTTTATATAGATTACAATGAAAGAGTGAGAACAATAAAGTATAAGAAAGTGAGGAAATGAAGAAAAAAAAAAGAAAAAAGAAGAAGCAAAAAGTATGCTAAAATCCCAAATAACCCCTAAAAAAATTAAAATAAAATAAAAAATAACTACAAAAATACACAAAACACACAAAAAAAGAGAAAAGAAAAACAAAAAAAATGACTTCCATTCCATCTTCTTGGATCATATCTTCTTATTATTCAAAAATATAAAATAAGTTCTAAACGAAATTGTCTCTCTTGTTTCTTATTTTCCCAATTTGTCCAGATATTCATGGAGATTATCCCAATTCGTTCTTCTTAGTATCATACCTGTATTTTTCTTCAACAAAAAAGTCAATTCATCCATGTCCTATCTCATCCCGTATTTTCTTCTTTGTGAATTGGACTCGGTATATTTGATCCACCTCTTGCTCAAGCTCATCCTCCTCCACCTCCAAGACCCTGGCCAGGAGATTTAACACTGTTGACCTTATGTCTTCCTTTGAATCTTCTTGCATATTTCTTAGCCTTAATTGATAATCCATTTGTTTTTGTAGTAATTTTTCTTGTTCTAATTCCATTCTTTCTTTTTGTTTCTCCAGTGACTTAATTTTCTTCATAATTTTCGCCTGTGTCTCATCTGTTTCAATTTTTCCCGCTTTTAAAACTTCCACCTCGCCTGCCAGATTGTTTAGTTCTTTCTTCAACCCTCCAAACTCTTCCTTCATTTCTTTTTTCATATCTTTAAGATCCTTATCTAATTTCTTGTAATGTTCTTCTTGTTTTTTGTAGTATTCTTCTTGTTTGTCTGTCATATCCTTCTTCATGGCATCTTGTTTTTCAGAAAGCTTCTTAATCTCCTTTAGAATATTCTCCATATTCACCCCTCTATCTAAAGATCCTCTTCTCAGCTGTGTCTATGTCTGTAATTCCTTCTCCTTTTCTTTCTCTGCTTTCCCCTTTGTTGACATTTAAAAGCCAATTCACTTTCTTTAACTGCTTGTAATTGCTTATAACTTGTTTCACTTATTGTTGCAATTTCTATATGAGTAGATTTGTATTTTATTCTTAATTAAATTCCAGTTCATTAAAAATTAATATATATTTAATCAATTATTCAGTTAATCAACTAATTTAAAATTAATCAATTAATTTGAATACAATTTAATTATTTTCCTCCCATCCATTAATCAGTTAATCAGTTAATCAATTAATCATTAATTTCCCTTCAATTAATTCATCAATCAACTTTGGAGTAAGATCTGAGTATGCTTTTAAAGATTTAAAAGCCTCTAATTAATTTTATTAATTTTGTTATCGTCTGCTTCTCGGCCTGGTCTTATTTTGCGTCTGCTTCTCGTCCTCGTCCGCTGCCCGTCTGCTTCTCCTCCTCGTCCATCGATCGTCTACTTCTCCTCCTCGTCTGTCACCCGTCTGCTTCTCTTCCTTGTCTTTATTCTTTAAATTCCTCCTTTATTGCCCTCAGAGAATGATCTGTGTCTTAATTATTAGACCACTTCCTAACTCCGTTTGCCTCTTCTGCCCTTCTTTGCTTTGCTATCTTCTTCACTTCTGCCCTTGTGCTCTTATGCTCTTCTCTGCCCTTTAAAACCTTTTTGGACCTTTGGACTACCACTCCCAGCCTGCACTGCTCTCTTCTTCCTGTGTTGTTCCACAGCAGCCTTCCGTTTCGTCAGTTCCTATCTTGCTTTTCTTCAATTGTTTATAAAGAAGGCCAGCATAGACCAAACAACAATGGAGCCACGGTCGTTTCTCCTCACACTGTAAGCTAATTCAATTTCTTGTAGTGCCCATTAAAGTCTCTAATTTAGATAGCAGTGCGGGGGTGTAGCCTAATGTTTAGAGGAGAGTACAAGGGTCCCGATATTTATAAAGTTCTATTTTCTTTGATACTTTAAAAAATACTTATACCAAATCCTTTAGACTTTAAAGTTCATCCAATTTAAAATCAACTTATAAAAACACTCTTCTTATAATAGATTCTCTCCTTTACTATCTTCTTCTTTTCTCCTTATAAAAGTACTTGATTTAATCCCTCTTTGCCTAGATTCCGAGGGGTAGGTCCCTCCCCCTCTTATATTACCTTGAAGATGAAATTTCTTCTTTCAGGAACACAGTCCCTTTAGCCCCCTAACATGGGGGTTCATTCTTCTTTAGAATTCTTATCTTAAAAATGGGGTGGAGGCGGTTGGACAAGCTCAGCCGAGCCTGATCCTGTAGAGCAGCCCGCTCCCCTTTTGGTTAATAGGGGGGGCCTTGGGGTCTTCAAAGCACCCAGGGGATTTACGATCACCTTCGCCTTCAATCCGGTCAAAGGTGGGGAGCTATAGCTCGACCTCACCACTCAAAACAGGTCCTCCCTGAGAGAGCTTTCCCTCAGCGAGGTTTCCCCGTCGCCATTCCCACCGGAAGTCAGTTTTGCTCTTTGTTGTGGAGCTGATAAACCATTACAGTTATGGGACATAATTACAATCTCACCCATAACAAGATATTGTTTGCAATTTCCCTCCTGTAGTTCCTTTTCCCTGTTTACTTGTCTACCCCTCCTTCCCCTCCTGGGACTGGATGGCCTTACAAGTTTATATTTTGTTTTCTTCTAAACTATCAAGTTTTTTTAAAATAATTAGGTACCAGATTAAAGGTATTTTTATGTACTTTCTAAAAATATAATATGTGTAGAATCCTAGAATCCTAGAGTTGGAAGAAACCTGGTGGGCCATCCAGTCCAACCCCATTCTGCCAAGAAGCAGGACAATTGTGATCAAAGCACCCCTAACAGATGGCCATCCAGCCTCTGCTTAAAAGCCTCCAAAGAAGGAGCCTCCACCACACTCTGGGGCAGAGAGTTCCACTGCTGAACAGCTCTCACAGTCAGGAAGTTCTTCCTAATGTTCAGGTGTGGGTCATAGATCTTAATTTGTAGATAAGTTTTTGAAACTTTGTATCTAAAATAGACTTCCCACCCCAAAACAGCTGCCCAGCACCTATACGCCCATGGCCCACTTCCTTCTCATTGGCTTGACTCTCCTTACCAGGTTCCTCCCCATCACAGGGCACCAGGATGGGCTCCTGAGTGTGTTGGAGTGGTTTTCAGGACGGATCCAGTGCCAGGTGAAAGCCCACAGCCCCAAAGCGGTCACGGCTTTGGCTGAATATCCCACCCAGACGTGTGTCATTTCAGCTGGTGAGTCTTTAATGGGTGTCTTGAGGCCAGAGGACAGCCAGTGAGACTAGATTGAAACTAGGGCGAACAAATTGAAACTTAATCCAGACAAGACAGAGGTCCTCCTGGTCAGTGGAAAGGCCGAACAGGGTATAGGGTTACAGCCTGTGTTGGACAGGGTTACACTCCCCCTGAAGACACAGGTTCGCAGTTTGGGAGTGATCCTGGATTCATCGCTGAGCCTGGAAACCCAGGTCTCAGTGGTGGCCAGGAGAACTTTTGCACAATTGAAGCTTGTGCGCCAGCTGCGCCCGTTCCTTGGGAAGTCTGACTTGGCCACGGTGGTCCACGCTCTGGTTACATCCCAAATAGACTACTGCAAGACTCTCTACATGGGGCTGCCTTTGAAGACTACTCAGAAGCTTTTACTAGTTCAACGGTTGGCAGTGTCACATTGCCAGGGCTCTGCCTTATTTAGGTAGAGATGAACCAAACTCCCAGTTTGTATCAAGCAATTTAATTAAAACAACACTTACTTGCTGGCTGTTTTAATAGACCAAAATATAAAACATAAAGATAGCAGTCAGCCACAGAATAAACAAAAACTGATAGCAAAAGCTACACCGTAGTCAAAGGGTCCAGTCCAGTGGTCAAACGCTGAGAGTTCAATAAACAAAGTCCAGGGATCAAGAGTCTATACCGTAGTCAAAAGCCAGTCCAAAGGTTCAAGGTGACAGTGTTCCAAGATTAAAGGAGACAGGCCAGGATACCGAAAGTCCAACAGACCTGGGGGGAAAACCAGCAGCATCCACCACCAAAATATGGCAATACTTTTCTCCCGAAAATCATTTCCAAGGCTTATATCCACAAACACCCAGTTGCGATCCCTCTCTTGCATCCCTCCACCCTTAATTGCTTCCACCCATGAACTCTTACATACAGATTACTAAACCCTTTAGAACTAATACTTACATTAACCCTTCCATCACCAAGCACTGTCAACTGCATAACATATGACAGGCAGCCAGATTACTAATGGGTGCTGGTACAGGGAGCACACCACTCCGCTGTTACACCAGCTCCACTGGCTGCCAATTAGCTTCCGAGCACAATTCAAAGTGCTGGTTTTAACATTTAAAGCCCTAAACGGTTCTGGCCCAGATTACCTATCCGAATGTATCTCCTGTTATGAAGCTTCTTGTATATACATATACAAGATATACATTGTATATACATATACAAGAAGCTTAAAATCATCAGGGGAGGCTCTGCTCTTGATCCCACCACTCTCACAAACGTGGTTGGTGGGGACGGGAGACAGGACCTTCTCAGCAGTGCCCCCCCCCCCCCCCGTCTGTGGAATTCCCTCCCTAAGGGCATCAGGATGGCCACCTCCCTCCTGTCCTTTAGAAGACAATTGAAGACTTGGCTGTGGGACCAGGTGTTTGTCTAACAGATAGCGACAATTGGAAGTAAGTGAGGACACATACAACATTGGATTTACCCGACTTGGTCTTGGTTTTAACTGGTATCTTAATTTATTGTTTAACTAGCTGTGCCTATAGTAAGAATTTTCGAAGGAGAGTTAGATATCTGGACTATTATGAAAGAGCGGTACCTACCTATTCCTTCCCCTTTTTCTTCCCCTTCCCCTTTCTCTCCTTTCTTCCTTCTCTACCTCTTTCTTTCATTCCTTCTTTTGCTCTTTGGTTTCATCCTTCCTTCTCTCTTCCTTCTCTACTTCTTCCTTTGTCTCCTTTCTTCCCTCCCTGTTTCCTTCCTTCTTTCACTTTTTTTCCTTTTCTCCTTCCTTCCTTCTTTACCTCTTTCCTGCCTTTCCTCCCCCTTTTCTTTCCTTTCTACTTTGTATTCTTCCTTCGGTACCTCTTTCTTTCCTTCCTTCTCTCCTTCCTTCCCTCTTTCCTTCCCTCCTTCCTTCTTTCCCTCCCTCCTTCTCTCTTTCCTTCCTTCCCCCTTTCCCTCCTTCATTCCTTCCCTTTTTCCCTCCCTCCTTTCTTCTCTCCTTCCTTCCTGTCTGTTCTCCCCCAATACCATGGTAGAGTCCCTTCTAACTCTATTCTATGAGTCTATTTAATATAGTAATATTTTGAATTTAAAGGTATTTTTGTGGGGTTTTTTTCAGTGATGGTCACTCCTTGGATTGTGAGGAGTTTTGTTGCCAAATTTGGGGTCATTTGGCCCTGTAGTTTTTTGTTTTGTTTTTAAGGTACTCATTATGCACAGAGCATTTATATATATATATGAACAGTCGCCCCCCCCCCCCCCCCGGTATGGTAATGAATCTGTATTGAAAGGGTCTTTGAGAGAAATTTGCAAATACTAAGAGTAAGGGGCTTTGAATGAAATTAACAGCAAAAGAGAGATATACCCTTTCTCTGTAGAGCACCACGGAAGAAACAAGATGTGACATTTAAAAGGTACTTCTTACACAGGATGCCTGTGGTTAGCTTCAAATATTGTTTTTGAAGCGCAGAGGCCACGTGCACAAAAAGGCACTTTCCATCAAAAGGTCAAAGAGAGGGGGCTGGAAAGAGAGTACTTTTCCATGACAAAAATGTTCTTGTTTACTTGAGGCTATATATTTGGTGGTCAAAAGCCAAGACGGCACGGCAGTCACTTGAAGGGTAACTTCTGTGCATGTTGCCTGGCTGTCCGTCTTCTTCATGAAGAAACTAAAACCTTGTTTCTTTTTTATCTTTCATTGGGACTGTCTCCTTCCTTCCGTGTTCCCACGACATGGACCTAAAATGACCCAATTTAGGGTCTATAACAGTATAATGCGTTTTAATGACTTTTTACTGATTTAATTGTAACCCTTGTTGTTTATTGTTGATAGCATCACATGATGCTTATGTGAGGCCGCCCTCAGTCCCCCTTTGGGGAGGGGAGAAGGGCGGGGTACAAATGCATGTAATAATAAAATCAGGCTGGGCAAACATCAGCCCTCCAGATGTTTTGGACTTCAGCTCCCACAATTCCTAACAGACTTCAACTCCCACAATTCCTAGAGAAATTGTGAGAGTTTTAAGATGGTGCCCACCTCTTTCCCCTGGACAGGGAACGACCGGACGGTGAAGATGTGGCGGCTATTCCCTTACACGGAGGAGTGCCTGGTCCCCCTCCTCAGCTTCTCCTGCGGTGCCCCGGCCACCCACATGTGCTCCTTTGGCCCCACGCTGGCGGTGGCCTTCCAGGACCCCCAGACCGTGACCCATCGCATTGTCTACTACAACCTGATGGAACAGAGTCGCTTGGAGCACGGACCCGAGGAGGATGCCCAGGACGACATCACAGGTGGGATCGGGGCAAGAGAGGCCGGACCCGGGGTGTTCCCCTGAGCTACCTTTGGGAAGCATGACAACCTCTTCTCCCCTTCTTTCTTTCCTTCCTTCTTTCCTTCTTTCCTTTCTCCTGTTAGGTCTCTGCTACTGTCCTAACCTGAGGCTCTTTGCCTCATCCAGTCGGGATGGATCCGTGAAGATCTGGAACATGAAGAATCAAATGCTGAGGTGAGAGGCGGGGGCCAAAGCTGAAGTGTTGGGTAACACTTGAACTTGAACTTAGGCAATCCCTCGCTTTCCAAGGATGATTGTCTTCCAGTGTTCTTGTGGGTCCGTATGTGGCTGTGGAGCCCTATTCTTGTTCGTCATCTTCTCCCGCAGTGAGGGCATTGGTTTCCAGGTGGAAGGCGGTCTCGGTCGGGGTTGGCTTGACGCGCCTTCCTCTTGGCACGCTTCTCCCTTTCGCCCTCCATTCGTGCCTCTTCGAATTCTGCAGCACTGCTGGTCACAGCTGACCTCCAGCTGGAGCGCTCAAGGGCCAGGGCTTCCTAGTTCTTGGAGTCTATGCCAGAGCTTTTAAGGTTTTGAGCCCATCTTTCAATCTCTTTTCCTACCCGACAACATTCTGTTTTCTGTTCTTGAGGTCGGAGTAGAGCAACTGCTGTGGGAGACGGTGGTCGGGCATCCGGACAACGTGGTTGGTCCAGCGGAGTTGATGGCGGAGGACCATCGCTTCAATGCTGGTGGTCTTTGCTTCTTCCAGCACACTGACGTTTGTCCGCTTGTCTTCCCAAGAGATTTGCAGGATTTTCCGGAGGCAGCGCTGATGGAATCGTTCCAGGAGTTGCATGTGACGTCTGTAGACAGTCCACGTCTCACAGGCATAGAGCAGGGTTGGGAGGACAATAGCTTTATAAACAAGCACCTTGGTATCCCTACGGATGTCCCGGTCCTCAAACACTCTCTGCTTCATTTGGAAAAATGCTGCACTTCGCAGAGCTCAGGCGGTGTTGTATTTCGTGTCGATGTTGACTTTGGTGGAGAGGTGGCTGCCAAGGTAGCGGAAATGGTCAACATTTTCTAATGTTACACCATTAAATTGTATTTCTGGCATGGAGAGGGGATGACTGGTGTCTGCTGGAACAGCACCTTGGTTTTTTCGATGTTCAATGACAGGCCGAGCTTCTCATATGCTTCTGCAAAGGTGTTTAGAGTGGCTTGTAGATCTTCTTCTGAATGCGCACAGATGACGTTGTCCTCAGCATACTGGAGTTCTATAACAGATGTTGTTGTAACCTTGGTGTCCAGTGAGCAGCAGCCAGACTACTCACCGGAGCGTCATACAGGGAGCACACCACCCCCCTGCTGTGTCAGCTCCACTGGCTGCCGATTCAGTTCCGAGCACAATTCAAGGTGCTGGTTTTGACCTACAAAACCCTGTACGGTTCCGGTCCAGTGTATCTGTCCGAACGTATCTCCCTCTACGTCCCACCCCGGAGTTTGAGATCATCTGGGGAGGCCCTGCTCTCGACCCCACCACTCTCACAAGTGAGGCTGGTGGGGACGAGGAGCAGGGCTTTCTCAGTGGTGGCCCCTCACCTGTGGAACTCACTCCCGGGGGAAATCAGGGCATCATCATCCCTCCTCTCCTTCAGGAGGAGGGTGAAGACGTGGTTATGGGACCAGGCCTTTGGGCAATCTGGCAATTAAATCAGACAATCAGGTGAGTAAGACCAGCAGGATTGATGAAGTGGAACGTAAAACTAGATCTATGAGTTAACGAACGCTGACCATGTAAGAGGAGAAATTGGGTTTGTATTTGGTTTTTATTGATTTTATTGATTTTGTGGTTATAATGCATGAATTGTTGTCAACTGTGAATTGATGTAATTGTGTGTTTGATTTTTTTTATGATGCAGGCATCAAATTGTGCCTTTGCTTTTGTAAGCCGTCCTGAGTCCCCTTCGGGGTGAGAAGGGCGGGGTAAAAGAACCCCAAATAAATAAATAAATTGTTGTAACCTTGGTTTTGTAACAATCTCCCCAAAGAATCAGGGGGTCCCCCAGGGTTGCAGAACAGTTTGCGGGGAGCATATTCCTCTCACCTTTGCTCTAAGGCATCAGAGGAAGATACCTGTTGGCCAAATGCTTTTGCCATTCTTGGAAGCAATTGTAGGTCCCCCAGCCACCCTGGAGTAAACGTCGAGGAAAGTCTCCCTTGATGTAGAAATTAGGCCTGGTCAATCCATGGTTCTAAAGTACTTACAAAACTAAAGTTCTGGTGGTGAAAATTTCAGAACTCTAACAAAACTCTCAAAATTTCATTATAAATGGCAGTTCCTAATTGGTTCTATCATAAAAATCACCAAAAATGAAATAATAATTAAATTTTGAAAGTTTTGTTAGAGTTCTGAAATTTTCACCACCAGAACTTTAGTTTTGTAAGTACTTTAGAACCATTTAGAACCATGGATTGCCCAGGCCTAGTAGAAATTTATTCATTTTATTTACTAGCTGTCCCCTGCCATGTGTTGCTGTGGCCCAGTCTGTGTATATGTGTTTTGTATGTGTATATGTGTGTATATATTTGTGTATATGTGTATTTGCGTATATATATGCGTTGTAATGTAATTTTTTTTTTGGCTTTTAAAAAACTCTTCTGCTGTGTTTTTCAGAGTTTTATGAGTGATGGTCACTTGTTGGCCTGATAGGCGTATTGTGTCCAAATTTGGTGTCAATTCATCCAGTAGTTTTTGAGTTTTGTTAATCCCACAAACTAATATTACATTTTTATTTATATAGATTTACAGTATTTATATTCCGCTCTTCTCACCCCGCAAGGGACTCATGGCAGATTACAATGTACATATACATGGCAAGCATTCAATGCCATAGCCACACAACATATATAGACAGACACACAGAGGCTATTTAACATTCCAGGTTTTTCTTGAGGGTATTCTGGCCACCAGGGGAGCTGTCGCTTCACCGACCATTTGTGACACCGATGGAGTACTTCCTCATTCTTTGCATGCTTGCTGGAGTTTTTTATAGCCTCATAAATTAGTTAAATTTGCCTCCCCGCATAAGCGGTACCTAAATTTCCTACTTAACAGATGCAACTGTCTTTCGGACGGCAAAGGTCAATAGCAAGATACACAAAATTGGTGAAAATTTTGCACACCAGGGATTGGCCCCTTTGTTGTCCTCCTTTTCCAACATAAATCGCTCCAGAAGTTAACTTTTGCAGCCAATCTTTTAAAAACAATGTTTGGGAGTCAGCACTGTTGGGTAGATAAAGCTGTTTTAGATAGAAATGCATTGTATGTAACTCCAATGTGTGAAAAATACACTTCTAATAGACATGTGGTCACAGCACATTCCACTGAAGGCTTAAGCAAGTGGAGTAGTGGGTTTTAGAGAGACACCTGAGTCATGACCATGTGACAGGCGTGACGAGAATTGTATCATTTCCTGTGGTCCCTATTGGTATCAAAGTAAGTGGCAGGCATGTGTGGATCCTTCTTGCCATGCAGTTGGTTTGCCATGATGACCCTTTGCCATCTTGCTATGGTCTATGCTTCTCGTTGCGTTGCTGTGAGTATATCTTCACATATACTGATAGCAGACCTGATGTGTAAATAAATAGTTGTAAATAGGCAATGAGTGACAATTAAAAGCCTCCAAAGGACTTTGGATAAAGCCAGAGCTCAAGTGTCTTATTAAAGTGATGAGTGGCAAACAAGGTCAGAAGCTTTGCTATGCTAATAATATAACATAGTATAATGTAATATAATATATTGTATATAATATAATATTTATAATATTATAATGTAATACAATATAATACTACTACTAATAATATGATATTACAATTACATATTTTATATTACATGTAATATTGCTAATAATATCACAATATAATGGTATAGTACAATATAGTAATATATAATATTGATATTGCACTATGTTAATAATATAATATATTGTATAAGGCGTACGGCAAGGCTGTATACTCTTACCCAACCTTTTTAACTTGTATGCAGAACACATCATGCGATGTGCGGGGCTGGATGAATGCAAAGCTGGGGTGAAAATTGCTGGAAGAAACATTAACAACCTCAGATATGCAGATGACTCCACTCTGATGGCCGAAAGCGAGGAGGAGCTGAGGAGCCTTCTAATCAAGGTGAAAGAAGAAAGCGCAAAAGCCGGGTTGCAGCTAAACGTCAAAAAAACCAAGACTATGGCAACAAGAATGATTGACAACTGGAAAATAGAGGGAGAAAACGTGGAGGCCGTGACAGACTTTGTATTTCTAGGTGCAAAGATTACTGCAGATGCAGACTGTGGCCAGGAAATCAGAAGACGCTTCCTTCTTGGGAGGAGAGCAATGTCCAATCTCGATAAAATAGTAAAGAGTAGAGACATCACACTGGCAACAAAGATCCGCCTAGTCAAAGCCATGGTATTCCCTGTAGTCACCTACGGATGTGAGAGCTGGACCTTAGGGAAGGCCGAGCCAAGGAAGAGAGATGCTTTGGAAATGTGGTGCTGGAGGAAAGTTCTGAGAGTGCCTTGGACTGCGAGAAGATCCAACCAGTCCATCCTCCAGGAAAGAAAGCCCGACTAAAGCTCATTGGAGGGAAGGAGACTAGAGACCAAGTTGAAGTCCTTTGGCCACATCATGAGGAGACAGCAAAGCCTAGAGAAGACAATGATGCTGGGGAAAGTGGAAGGTAAAAGGAAGAGGGGCCGACCAAGGGCAAGATGGATGGATGGCATCCTTGAGGTGACTGGACTGACCTTGAAGGAGCTTGGGGTGGTGACGGCCGACAGGGAGCTCTGGCGTGGGCTGGTCCATGAGGTCACGAAGAGTCGGAGACGACTGAACGAATGAACAACAACAATGTATATATATTTTGTAAGCTGCTCTGAGTCCCCTTCTGGCTGAGAAGGGCGGCATATAAATGTTGCAAATAAATAAATAAATAAATAAATAAAATCTCTGCAAACTACAGATAAAGACTCTGTGAAGTTTAGGTTGGATCTAACTGCTTGCCTTGAAACAATCAGGCCCATGTGCAGCACAGGGAGGACATGAGAGAAGGAATTAATTCACGTACCTACCCATCCAGCGGGTGTTTTGTTAGTTTATATTTTACCTGATAAGCACTCCATCACCAGGGGTGGGAAGCAGGAAGGAATGCTTCCTCCTGACCGCTGGCCTTTGCTCACACCTGCTTCTGAGTATCCCTTCTTTCTCTTCCGTTTCCCACCTCCCCATTTTTCTGATACAGACATCGTTTATTTATTTATTTATTTACTTCTTTTGTATACCGCAAATATCAGCCTAAAAAGGCGACTCGAAGCGGTTCCTTCTGTCCATGCACAGCTGTTCCTTTCTTCCTTAAAAGTAGAGTTATATGCATTTCAGTGTGACATTTCTGAGTGAGAGGGGGGTCCTCTCCTGTTTCCCCTGGATTTGAGAGCCCTGCTTTTCCCTTCTGCAGGCAGCTGAAGCTGAACACCATCCCGGAAGGCCTGGCCTTCGCCAACCATTGGGGGGATTTGCTGGTGGGCATCGAGCGGCACCTCTACCTCATCCACCACAGCAAGTACCTGCCCAACTACTACAAGATGAAGGTAGGGCTCCGAGGGTGTGTTTTGTGTGTCGTTGGCCCTTGGGGACAGGGTCCACTGCAGGCCTTTGCTGCCTCTAAAACAAGTTCCCTTGAAATAGAAAAGCTACAGAAAACCCACACACACAGATAGATATCTACATAAAAACTCCAACCATCACCCAAGTCAAAAAAGAAGCCCCATTCAAGCCTTGGCAGACTGGGCAAAAAGAATCTGCGAAGCCCACCTCCTCCAAGATGAACTGAACCACCTCAACTGGGCTCTCCAGGCCAATGGAGACTCCACTTCAGACATCAGAAGAGCTTCAAGACCACCGAGAAGAAGCCACGAGAGTCAAGACCAAGACCCACCAAGAGGGAAAGTGTTCTTGCCAGACATCAAGGGAACCACTGACCGCAGAGGGAAGCTGAGGAGGAAACACAACATACAAACTATCTCCAGACCCACCAAGAAAATCCAACCAATGCTCCATTCAGCAAAGGACAAGAGGGATCCTCTCACCTCTGCAGGAGTCTACCATGTACCATGCAACTGTGGACAAGAAGTCTCCATAGGGACCACCAAACGCAGCAGCAATGCCCAGACACGCATCAAGGAACAGGAAAGGCACTGCAGACTAACTCAACCTGAGAAGTCAGCCATAGCAGAGCACCTGATGAACCCACCTGTACACACCATATTATTTGAGAACACAGAAGTGCTGGACCACTCTCACAACCACCATGTCAGACTACACAGAGAAGCCATTGAAATCCACAAGAAGCATGTGGACAATTTCAACAGAAAGGAGGAAACCATGAAAATGAACTAAATCTGGCTACCAGTATTAAAAAACTCTAAAATTACAACAGTACAACAACAGAGAGGAAACAAAAAAGGACATCTAATCACCTCTCAACAAAAGTTCGCTCCAGGCACTGTCAGGCCATTATATGCTAATCAAGGTGGTCAGTTGAAACATTCACACCTAGCTCCAGCAGACAAGAGTCCTTTGTCCCACCCTGGTCATTCCACAGATATATGAACCCCTTTTCCTACTTCCAACAGACCTCACTACCTCTGAGGATGCTTGCCATAGATGCAGGCGAAACGTCAGGAGAAAATGCCTCTATGATCTAGAGCTGGAATTTAGGGGTCTTTGCCAGGAGGCAGAGACCAATTAGACTCATCAAAGAGTTCTTTTTCCCTGGCGAGACAGAGAAGCACTCAATATTTTTCCTGATCTTCCCAATGAAAGGTCTCACCAAGTTGAAAGAAAGCCATCGAGGTTTATTAGCGATTCAGCTGAAAAGGATGCAGAGCTGCAATCATTCGCCAGCAGAGCATGAGGAAAATACACCAATACAGTCATATTTATAGTAAATTCAAAGTTGCAGAACTCACAGAAAAGTTTTATTAATAAAAAATACAGGCAAGGTTACCACGTCAAATTATTGAAAGATCTGACAGCTTTTGTGAAATTACAGTGTTAATAGATTGTATATGTGATTTTTTTTGGTTGCGCAGAGCGTGTTTTAGCCAAGTCCCAGGCAAAAGACACACAGGCAAGAGGAAAAAAGGAACAGAAAAATGTTACTCTTATCAGCAGAGGCATAAACTTGCAGTGTTGCATCCAAAATCAAACAGTGCAGTAAACTTACATAGTCCTTGTAAGTAACACAGAACAAGGCTTCAATTTCATTCAAATGAAAGAGCAAAACATAAATCTTGAGTATATTTATTTATTTATTTATTATTTTATTTATTTCTGGTACTTCTACCCCGCCCTTCTCAACCCCCCGGGGGGGGGGGGGGGGACTCAGGGCGGCTTACAAAAAGGCACGATTTGATGCCTACACAAGATATACATACATACAAAACAGCAGTTAAAACAATTAGCAAGGTAAAATAATCAGTACATAACACATTCAGTAAAACTAATCTCATGTTCAGCGTTCAGAGTTCCATAGTTCCATTCCGTTTAGTCAATTCCTGTCCATCGTCAAGTCCTTTCTTTAGCTGCCAGAATGTCCAAATGCCTGGTCCCAAATCCAAGTTTTCAATTTTTTCCTAAAGGAAAGGAGGGATGTCGCTGATCTAATTTCCCCGGGGAGTGAATTCCACAGGTGAGGGGCCACCACTGAGAAGGCTCTGCTCCTCGTCCCCGCCAATCTCACTTGTGATAGAGGCGGGGTCGAGAGCAGGGCCTCCCCAGAAGATCTTAGACTCCGAGGTGGGACGTAGAGCGAGATCCGTTCGGACAGATACGCTGGGCCGGAATCATATAGTGTTTTGTAGGTCAAAACCAGCACTTTGAATTGTGCTCGGAACTGGATCGGCAGCCAGTGGAGCTGACACAACAGGGGGTGGTATGCTCCCTGTATGACGCTCCGGTGAGCAGTCTGGCTGTCCCTTGGACAAGTTGGAGTTTCCGAACAGTCTTCAAAGGCAACCCCACGTAGAGTGCGTTGCAGTAATCTAATCGGGATGTAACAATTGGGATGTAAATAGCTATTCCACCATAGCAAAGAGCATCGCTGTAAAGCAGCATTACAACATATTGCTTCTCTTTCTCAGAGTAGCGTATTGCTTTTTCAAACTGTATTCTAAAAACCATACAGTTACACCCCTCTGGGTGTGGCTCAAACATGCTAGCTGACCTACATTACCAGCTGCACACAATAATTTACATCGTAAGGTTTTTCTTTAAGACACACTTGATCCTGCTACAATTTACTGTAAGAAATTTCACATGCTCTATGCTGAGACTCAGCCTGTGTCTGAGCCTGAATCTGTGATTGTGTTTTCCCCTCCTAACGTTTCTGGGTCTGACTTGGGTAGTGAACCTGATGTGATCAGTGAGGATGAGGTGCAAAAAGGAGACACTTTGGACAATAAGGTTACTGCAGACTCTGATCGAGAAGGGTCAGCGGAAAGGCTAAGTTCTCATGAGAAAGTTCCTGTCACAGCCAGGGAAGAAAGTTCACTCCCTTCTCCAGGCTCGAGTTTGCAAGATAGTTTCACACCTGCTGCAGTTAATGAGGAGATAGATAAGACCAGTCGCCATCTGGAAATCAGCCAGAACCGTCGAGAGGCCCAATGTTTACACAGGTCAGAAAGAATTCGGCAGTTAAGGCCAAAAACTGGGGGGAGTAGGAACCAGGTTTTGGGACTTAAATTGAGCTCTTAGAGAATTTTCTTTAGACCAGGCATCATTTGGAATCAAGCTCAGGTCTCTTGGATATTCCTGTTTCATGTGGCCTCGTCTCTAAGGATTCATGGCTTTTCAAGTGGATTAAAAAAAGGACTCTTGTCCTTCTCTTGCAGCTGCTGTGTGCAAAGTTCCTTGAGCCACTCCAGGACGCCTCCCTCCCGCTCAGCGACGCCTGCTTCCAGACCCTGGTCCAGGAGAACACCCGGCGGCTATTGCATGAACCACCCTTGGAGGAGTCTGAGTAAGAGCACAGGTGTACATAAGGCTGAGAATGTGACCCTCTCCCCACTGCTGCCATTGGATATGTGGGGCCCGGGACCCACTCTTTGCATGGGATCGGGGACCTGCACCTACCATCTGTAGGAATATTTGGCATCTATAGCAGGAGTGGTGGTGCAGTGGGTAAAACCGCTGAGCTGCTGACCTTGCTGACCAAAAGGTCGGTGGTTCAAATCTGGGGAGTGGGATGAGTTCCTGCTGTTGGTGTTGCAATCCAGAGCAGGAAACAAGGCCCTAAGATAACTATCCACCACACTTGACTGTGAAAAACAATCCTTTTTAATTGAAGAAAAATGGTTACAAAATAAAGGAAAAATGCAAGTCAAAAGCCACAGCAAAATCAGCAAACATGAATTTAAATGGACAAAACAACACCCAAAGCCACACTGTAAAATACTGGAACCTGTTAGCAATCCACTAACCTAGAAATCCCGGGAGAACTGTCAAGGTCTTCATCAATCTGAAACGATGCCTGAACTGAGAAAGTCAGCCCGACGGAAGGCACTTAAAGCCGAAGAATTGGTTCCGTGAACCGCCCCTCTGCTTTGAAGCCATTGTTTGTATTTCTCTTAATCGGGAAGACCTTCGCAAGCTGAGTGATTTACTTCTGTCTTGCCAGATCTGGCCCCTTCTGTTCTCATTAGAGTTACCAGGTGCAGAAGGGAGTGAAAGGTCATGGCTTCCCTCTGAAACATTCTCATGAACACTGGTACTTTCATTTTCCAAATCTACAGAAGTTTCTTCCTCACTAATTTCAGGAGCATTGGCATCAAGAGGTACATTTTCATTAGCATCAGGAAGTACATTTTCATTAGCATCAGTAAATATATTTTCATTAGCATCAGGAGGAACAAACAGAGAATCAGGTTCAAGTTCAAACTCAGGCTGAACCCCAACAGTTAGCTCCAGCTTCTGCCAACCTAGCAGTTCGAAAACATGCAAATGTGAGATGATAGGAACTGCTCTGGTGGGAAGGTAATGGTGCTCCGTGCAGTCATGCTGGCCACATGACCTTGGAGGTGTCTATGGATAACGCTGGCTCTTCAGCTTAGAAATGGAGATGAGCACCACTCCCCAGAATCAGACACGACTAGACTTAATGTCAAGGAGAAACCTTTACCTTTAGTTTTATAGCAGAGTAGAGTGCAGCCTGAGCCCCAGGTGATGCAGTGAATTAAACTGCTGGGCTGCTGAACTTGTGGACCAAAAGGTCCCAGGTTCAAATACAGGGAGTGGCGTGAGCTCCCACTGTTAACCCCAGCTTCTGTCAACCTAGCAGTTTGAAAGCATGCAAATGTGAGTAGAGTTCAGCAATGTCCATAAAAGCAAAGTCTACACATCTCCAATACAATCAAAAAAAAAAATTAGGAATACATTGATCCAAGGCTTGGGTAAGCAGTCATGAAATATAGGAATCCAAAACCATGAACGAGAAATATCTTAGCATGAAACTTCAAAGCAAGGTTTCCATAAAACAAGGATGAGAACTTGGCGTGATTCTAAATGATGCTTCATCTGACTACACATCCCAAACTTGAGACTTTTATCCCCACGTTAGCTAGGTCACTAGTGGTCAGAAATTGGTTTCTCTTTAGTTGAGGCTTTGTTATTGTTTTCTGCCAAAGCCTAGCAGAGCACCTAAGCCTTTTCACAGCCCTTCTGTTTTGACTGAACTCTTCTTGCCTATCTCTTGGCTCGTTATCTATTTGCTCATTAATCATAGAATCATAGAGTTGGAAGAGACCTCATGGGCCATCCAGTCCAACCCCCTGCCAAGAAACAGGAATATTGCATTCAAAGCACCCCTGACAGATGGCCATCCAGCCTCTCTTTAAAAGCCTCCAAAGAAGGGGCAGAGAGTTCCACGGCTTTCACAGTCAGGAAGTTCTTCCTCATGTTCAGATGGAATCTCCTTTCTTGTAGTTTGAAGCCATTGTTCCATTGCGTCCTAGTCTCTGCAGGTGCATCCCCACACCCCTCAGGGACATTCTCATGGGAAACTACAGGGATCTTCTGGTCATTCTCTGCATCAATATCACTGACCAAACCATTGCCATCTTGAAACTAATCTTGAACCTCATTAACATCATTCCCCACATCCAAATCATCCTGATCCTGAAACACAATCACAGGCTGAACTCCAACACCCCCTCTATAAACCCCCAAGGTCTTAAGATCGTCTGGAGAGACCCTGCTCTCGGTCCTGCCACCATCCCAAGCACATTTGGTGGGAATGAGAGACAGGGCCTTCTTGGTGGTGGGCCCTCGGCTGTGGAACGCCCTCCCTAACGAGATTAGTTCTGCCCCCTCCCTCATGACCTTCCGGAAGAAGCTCAAATCCTATTTATGGGATCAAGCGTTCGCAGGATAGATGGTTTTAACTGACTGTTTATAGCTGACGGCAATGGAGTGAAGACGGCTTTAATGGACTGTTGAACTGATGGCTATTGATTTGATCTGGAGGATGACATGTTTTAATGTATTCATAGCTGTTTATAATGTAGATAAAGTGTATATTATGGTATGTATTGTTCGGCACCAAATGGGGCCTGCTGGTAGCCATCCTGAGTCCCTCCTTGGAGGCAAGAAGGATGGGATAGAAATGCTCTTAATAAATAAATAAATAAAAATTATATCCCGGGCTCTGGAGGGTCCTCAGAAGGTGGCTTGGCCCCAGAGAATTAAGGGGGCCTCAGAAGTGGGCTGTACCAGACGCTGCCAAACACAGACCCCACTTCCAGGTGGCCATGGAAGGCAATGGTTTGAGTGTGACCCCAGCCCAGCCCAGTATGAGCAACTGGGAAAAGGTGTCACTTGCTGACAGGTAGTGGATTAACATAGAAGTCCTTGCTGATGTCTGCCTGTTTCCACATAGGTCTCCGCTGCCTGGAGCTCACCGGCCGGTGACCAGGCAAGAGTCGAAGGTGACCATAGGGATCCCAGCCAGGAGACAGGTAAGTGCTGCCCAATGCGGGTGGGGTGGGGGGACGGGGGCCATTTGAAAGGGCAAGGGTCTGGTTGCCAAGGCTTGGGAAACAGAGTTGGCACATTCTGTTTAAGAGTCCAACAACCACTTGTCTCACTGACCATGGTTCAGGCAGAAAGAGACTGGAAGAGGAGGAGGAGGAGGTGGCCACTTGCTTCCTCCAGTACTTCTTCCCCAATCTCCCTTGTCTCTGATCTCACTCATATTCTGAGTTATTAACCAGTAATAAAGTCATCTCTGGTTGCTTCTGGATCGAGAGAATCAGCCGTCTATGAAGACGTTGCCCAGGGGACGCCCGGATGTCTTGCAATCCTGCGAGGAGGCTTCTCTCATGTCCCACTCATGCTGATGATCGTGCCATTACCGCTCAAGCAGGGAGCTTTGAGATGGTTGAACAGAAGCTCTCCGGAGCTCTAGGTGCTCTTACTGCCTATTACAGGGAAAACCAGCTGATCCCTAATCCATCTAAAACACAGACATGTGCATTTCACCTTAAGAACAGACAAGCATCCCGAGCTCTGAGGATTATTACCTGGGAAGGAATCCCACGGGAGCATTGCAGCGCACCCAAGTACCTGGGAGTCACTCTGGACCATGCTCTGACCTACAAGAAGCACTGCCTGAACATCAAGCAAAAAGTGGGTGCTAGAAACAATATCATACGAATGCTGACTGGCACAACCTGGGGATCACAACCAGACACAGTGAAGACATCTGCCCTTGCGCTATGCTACTCTGCTGCTGAGTACGCATGCCCAGTGTGGAACACATCTCACCACGCTAAAACAGTGGATGTGGCTCTTAATGAGACATGCTGCATTATCACAGGGTGTCTGCGCCCTACACTACTGGAGAAATGACACTGCTTAGCCGGTATTGCGCCACCTGACATCCGCCGGGAAGTTGCAGCCAGTAGTGAACGGACCAAGGCAGAGACATCTCCAGCTCATCCCTTGTTTGGGTATCAGCCAGCATGCCAACGACTTAAATCAAGACATAGTTTTCTAAGATCTACAGAGACACTCGCTGGAACACCTCAGCAAGCGAGAGTCCAAAAGTGGCAGGCTCAAACCCAGCACCTCAATGCGTGGGTGATACCAGATGAGAGACTCCCTCCTGAGCACACAGAAGACTGGGCGACTTGGAAGGTGCTGAACAGACTGCGCTCTGGCACCATGAGATGCAGAGCCAATCTTAAGAAATGGGGCTACAAAGTTGAATCCACAACATGCGAGTGTGGAGAAGAGCAAACCACTGACCACCTGCTGCGATGCAACCTGAGCCCTGCCACATGCACAAGGGAGCACCTTCTTGCAGCAACATCGGAGGCACTCCAAGGGGCCAGATACTGGCCAAAGGACATTTAATCAGCTACCAAGTTTGCAAAATTTGTGGGTTTTTTTAGTCTGTTTGTTTGTTTTGTTCTGTTAGAAATGTAATACAATGTTCTGGTTGTGGATGACACGATAAATAAATACCAGTAATAAAGACATCTGGGTGAAGGGGAATGCTCTCTGCACATTCTTAGAAGTCCCCTTCTGGCTCCGAAGGACAGTACAGAAGAACACAAATTCAGCTTGACTCTGCTCCTGAATTGTTTACGCTCAGTTGCTCTACTGCTGGCACTGGAAGCTTCTGAACCGCTGCTACTGTTGTTGCTGCTGCTGCTTTACCATTCCTTTTTGCTTTTGAAAATTACTTCCAACGAACCTTATAAGAATGTTACACCATCTGTCCTTTGGGAATGTGCCCATTTCTCTTACCATGAATGGCCATTCTGAAATCCCACCAGCAAATAAGTGCAGGGTTGTGCAGAGAGACCAAGGTAGGCAAAAGGTAGGGAGGGAGGGAGGTGGAGAGGCTAAGCACTGTCCTGCCTTGCAGGGCTCTAGGCAGCTGGCCACGAGGGACCAGGACCTGGAGCGGCTCCAGAGCGGGAGAGCCAGCCCGGCCAAGAAGGTGCGCGTCACCAAGGAGATGAAGGACGAGGCCTTTGAGCAATACCTGAAGATTTTCTACAAGGAGCCGTTCAAGGTGGAGGTGAGACTGGAGAAGGACATCTGTCCCAGCGGAGAAGTGGGCAACACTCTCAGGGTGGGATGCCATTGGGGCTCACCTGGGCCCAGTGTCCTTTGGAAGGAGGGCACAAGCGACAGGTGGCTGGTTTGCAACAGGTATATTTCTCCTACAAAATGCAAATTGAACCTCATTGGGAGCTCGCAGTAGACCCTCCCCCCCATACACACACAATTCCCTGGTTGGTTCTGCAGGGTTTCCAGGGAGAGGCTTTGAGCATCTCTGTGTTTGCCTTTGCCTTTCAGAAGATGCATTCAAACACTAGTTGCCATGAACACCTTGTCCTGGACACCGACCAAGGAATGGAAGGAGTCCATCCAAGGTTGATGAGGAGGCCAACAGGCTCTGGTGACATCCGTCTCCCCAGAGAAACAAGGTCCACCAGAGAGGAACATTTAGGAATGCTTGGTCTCTATAGCAGAGTACAATGCAGCATATAGATGAGCCTGTGGTAGGAAACAGGAAAGAAAATATGCTGGATGATGCTTTAGTAAGGTTTTTTTTAAAAGTAAAAGTGTCTATGTCTAATTCTATTTTAGGTTTTAAATTGTATATTGTATTGCTTTTCGTGTTGGCCATTTTGGATCTCCTTTCAAGAGAGTGTTGCACTCCAGGCCAGGAATCCCTCTGACTCCAAACACCACACAGCTGGGTAAAATAGCAAGCAGTTTATTGAAGATAATTAAAAGAAGTAGCAGTAAAAAATAATCCACAGTAAAAGGTAAATCCAAATAGGTAGGAAAGGTAGATAGGAACAGATAATCCAGGAAAAGAGTCCATGACAACAAATACCGGAACTTCCAAGGCAAAAACCCCAAAGTACTTGAACATGAATCAAACAAGGCACTTAAACATGAATAACAAGGCACTTAAAACAAGACATCTAGGAACATCTTGACCTTAATCCAACGTTGCTTCATCTGTCTACAGATTCTATACTTGACACTTTTATCCCTGCTATTCTCTACTACTGTGTTTCCCAAGCAGCCAAGAAAGGATTCTTTCTCAGCCTTGGGTTCCCTGCCAGCCTCTGCTGTAATCTGGCTGAGCGCCTGAGCGCCTGGTTTGTTTGTCTTTGCTGACTGAAAACACTTCTTCTGTTCAGAGGCTCATTAACTTCTGCACCTGGACCAGGCTCAAGGTCTTGAGAATCCTCTTGTAACAATTCAGGCCCAGGGAACAGACCATTATCCCCAATCTCTTCAGGAACATTCTCATCAAAAGAGTCACTTTGAACATGAACCACATTGTTATTCCCTGCATCCACAGCAACCTGATCATCAGACACATGAACCTCATTTTCACTCCCATCATCCAGAGTACCCTGATCATTCGACACAATCACAGGCTGAACTCCAACAGAGAGGTAAATGGGATAGATGATTATAATAATCATAGTAGTAGTAATAATAATAGCAGCAACAACTACCACTTCAGTAGAAGAGTCCATAATGCTCACTCTCATTTCTCTATAAGCTATCTTGATGTAGAACCCTCATGGTGACCCTTCTCAAACAAAAAGGGTAATGAAACACTAAAGACTTTTAGGAAGAAGAAGGAGGAAGTTGTTGTGGGATTTGCTGGCCGTGAAGTGATTTATAGTTTCCAAATCACGACCTCCCAAAACCACTGCAAGCTGGATAGCAAGTGTCTCAGAAGCAAGCAAAAATACACAGCAGATGTTGCACTCCAGGACAGGAATAACCCTCTGACTTTAAAACACCACATGTTGAGTAGAAAAACAATCCTTTTTTTATTGAAGATAAGTAAAAGCAGCAAAATAAAAAGCGCTTTTTAAGGTAAATCCAATTAGGTAAGAAGATAAGCAGGAACAAATTAGTCCAAGGTATAGTTCAGCAAAGTTCAGAAACAAAGTCCCGACTTATCTAATAAAATCCAAAGAACCAGGAAAACATTGATCCAAGGCATGAGTATATAATCACAAGAGACAAAGAGTCAAACCATAAAACAAGAAATCCTTAAACATGAATCTTCCAAGCAAGGCTTCCATGAGGCAAGAGCAAGAACTTAGCAGGATTCTAAAATGATGCTTCATCTGACTATATTTTCCAGGCTTGGAACTTTATATCCCCTTGTTAAGCCATTCCAAGCACTCAGAAATTGGTTTCATTTCCCTTGAATGCCTCTCATCCTTATTTGTCGATGCCTGGCAGAACGCCAAAGGCCTTGGTCGAGCTGTCTCTTTTGGCTAATTTCCACCCGCCTGTCTATATGTTCATTAGTTTCTGCAGGTGCCAAGTTTTTCAAGCCCCAAATCCTGGGAGCAATTCAGGGAGTAAACCATCATCCTTATCCCCTGTAGGAACATTCTCATGGGAAACTCCACTTTGAACAGGTGTCTCTCTGTCATTCTCTGCATCAACATCATTGACCAAACCATTGCCATCTTGAACCTCATTGATATCATTCCCCACATCCAAAGCACCCTAATCCTGAAACATAATCACATGCTGGACTCCAACAGCAGAGTCATTTCACAGCAAAAACATGTGCTTCACCCATTATCAGCAGAGTCCAACCGTTAGCATCTGACCTTATCTACACACTGCTTAGTAAACTCACAAATTCAGGTTTTCATCCAAAATATCCAGAGGCTTCAATCTTCACAGTTGCAATATATACAAATATACAAACAGGATTCACAGATTCATTTTCAGCTTACGTTGTACTTGCAAACACTCAGGGTCATCAGACAGTCACATACAACATAGGCAGATATTCACACTGAGTCACACAGGAGAGAGGAAGATGGATTGTTTCATCCTCCTTTTATAGGCACTTGCTGATAGGTCCTCAAGAAGGGACATGGGCTGATGCAACCCCTTTGCAATAACCCTTATCTCACATGGTTATGACTCAGCCATTGCCACAGCATCATGACATTCACAGTCATACCCAGGTGCTATCAATATACCACATGTTCACCAAACAGTATTTTATTCTATGCTTTGCCATTTCTATTTGACAAAAGTGACCTCTGAACAGCACTTTGAGATACATAAAGATAAGAAATAGAGAGCAGACACCTTACTTACTTACTTACTTACTTACTTACGCGATCCCTCATTGGCCGAGTAGGATAGTCCTCCAGGAGCAGTATTCTGGTGGGTTCTTAGGTGGCTGTGGAGCCCTATTCTTGACCTGCATCTTCTCCCGCAATGAGGGCATTGGTTTCCAGGTGGAAGGCGGTCTCCATCAGGGTTGGCTTGACGCGCCTTCCTCTTGGCACGTTTCTCTCGTTCACCCTCCATTCGTCCCTCTTCAAATTCTGCAGCACTTCTGGTCACAGCTGACCTCCAGCTGGAACGCTCAAGGGCCAGGGCTTCCCAGTTCTCAGTGTCTATGCCACAGTTTTGAAGGTTGGCTTTGAGCCCATCTTTCAATCTCTTTTCCTGCCCGCCGACATTCTGTTTTCCATTCTTGAGTTCGGACTAGAGCAACTACTTTGGGAGACGGTGGTCAGGCATCCGGACAACGTGGTGGAGGACCATCGCTTCAATGCTGGTGGTCTTTGCTTCTTCCAGCATGCTGACGTTTGTCTGCCTGTCTTCCCAAGAGATTTGCAGGATTTTCTGGAGGCAGCGTTGATGGAATCGTTCCAGGAGTTGAGAGTGACGTCTGTAGACAGTTCACATCTCACAGGCAGGGTTGGGAGGACAATTGCTTTATAAACAAGCCCCTTGGTCTCCCTACGGATGTCCCGGTCCTCAAACACTCTCTGCTTCATTCGGAAAAATGCTGCACTTGCAGAGCTCAGGCGGTGTTGTATTTCAGTGTTGATGTTGACTTTGGTGGAGAGGTGGCTGCCAAGGGAGCGGAAATGGTCCACATTTTCTAATGTGACATCATTAAGCTGTATCTCTGGCATTGCAGAGGGGTTGGCTGGTGTCTGCTGGAAGAGCATTTTGGTTTTCTCGATGTTCAATGACAGGCTGAGCTTCTCGTATGCTTCTGCAAAGGTGTTTAGAGTGGCTTGTAGATCTTCTTCTGGATGCGCACAGACAACATTGTCATCAGCATACTGGAGTTATATAACAGATGTTGCTGTGACCTTGGTTTTGGCTTTCAGTCTCTTGCCATCTGTCTGACAGATGATTTCCACTCTGGTGGGAAGCTTCCCATCAACAAGGTGAAGTATCATAGGCATGAAGATGGAGAATAAAGTTGGGGCAATAACACATCCCTGTTTGACACCTGATTCCACCTTAAATGGGTCACTTTGGGAGCCACTGCTGTCTAGGACTGTTGCCATCATGTCAGCACCACAGGGTTTCCTCTATCCCTCATTGCTCTCTATATACAAATGTTGCTGCTTTCTCACTTCTAGCAGGAGGGAACCTGAGAGAACCCACAGACCAGCCTTGGTCCTATTGCCAGGTTCCCATATTTCCATGGGAGGGAAAGGACAGGGGCACAGTTGCTTCCTCAGTCCCTAACTAATTGGTGGGATACATGTTTGCCCATCAGGCCAGTGGTGGGCAATGCAGAGGGAGTGAGGGTCATGTCTGTCTCTGTCTCATTTCCTGTGGACCACATCTTCTCCCCCTCCCTGTTTCTTCCCTCACAGATACCAGAGGAGGACACGTTCAATGCTGATGAGGTGCTGGAAGCCATGAGCTACGTGACCTCCATATCTGATCTCTATGGGCCTGACAACATGTTTCTGGGGTGCTTCCCTCGTCCTGAGGTTCTGAAAACAGTTGGACAGATATCAATGGTAACAGAGAAGTCCCTTCTGTGTCTCCTTCCTCCTGTGCCTCCTCTATCCCATCAGCCTCCCAGCAGCCCCTTGGTGCATCGGTTGGTTTTTGACTCACAGGAAGGGTCTCCATGTCTCTCCCAATTCCTTAAGATGAGGGAAATGTAGGAAGATTTGGAGCTCTTCCACACAGCCACTTAATCCAGATCCTGTTAGTGCTAGCAGAAGTACTGTAAAAACTCAGAATAATGGACTCTGGAGTCGGCAGTAAAAAAAAAAACAGGTTTCAGCTTTACTTGAGCAGATCAGAAACACAACATACATCATCAGTGAGCAGACGCGAAGTACACAGAACAAAGGAAATGGGAAACGAAAACAAAACTGCAGCTGGCTAGGAGTTATCTCACAGGCACTCCCTAATATTTCACACAGCTAGGAACTCAGGGTCACATTCTCACAGCCCTCTGTGTAAACATACATCCTGGCAATACAACCCTATTGCAATCACATTTCTACTACATGAAATTACATTTAAACATACATCATACATAAAAATATACACTGACAGATCCAACATAAAGACTTTATTTTCTTACGTCGTTGGGAGAAATTCACTTACGGAAGCAGCCCATCCAACGGGAATCAGTGGCTAGAATCCTGGTAGGGAGTTGGACTGGATGGTCCTTATGGTCTCCCCAACACTAGGACATTATGATTCAAAGCAAAACAAAAGAGGGGACGTGTTTCCCTCTCAGGAGGAAATGTGTTTGTTTACCTTCCTGGGAGCACTGAAATGGCAGGAGAGAGGTTTGAGGAAAAGAGACAAAAGAGAGTTCCTGAGGTCTGCAAAAGTACGGTTTATTCTCGGTTGGTGCCAGCCAGATATGGACCCTGCTGGTATTCCAGGAAGACAGGGTGATGAACAAAGGAATTGCCTTGGTTTATATACCCTTTAAAATAATATGCATACAGCATACAAGCATCACAATGTGCATCACAAAATTCCACTTTTACATTGTCCTCAATAGCATATTTTTAACTTCAAGACCTTTAATCTTCCATTAAGCACCTTTATCTAAAGAGTTGCTATTAGAGGACCATCCTGTACCCCATAGCGCCAGAGTGTCTACCACCGGCTACTGATAGCAAGAACTTCCATCCATCTTAAGATAAGTCCTTCCTGGTACCAAGCCTCTTGATGGCCAGGCTACATCATTAATGTTACGATAAGCCCTGCATGGTACGGGTCTCTTGATATTTGCCAGATGCCTTAGACATTCCTTTCCTAGACCCTGGCCTCTTTCTGTCCTCTAATTTTGCAGCTTTTAGGAAAAACATCTCTTCCCAAGTGAGTGTTCATGCATACATATCCCTTTGTGATTTCATATATATTTGCTAATTCCTATTTCTAATATGGTTACATCCAATATATATTTTCCAATATATTTATTTACATAATAAATAAATGCTGATGAAGGCATGATGAAAATACATATTTGGTTTCTGCATCTGTACCTACGTGACCGCATTTCTCTGTATGAACTCACATGATCTCTTCGATCATCTGGAGAGGCCCTGCTTACGCTCCCACCTCCCTCGCAGGCTCGATTAGTGGGGACGAGGGAGAGGGCCTTCTCGGTGGTGGCCCCTCAACTCTGGAACTCACTTCATTGCCAATTTCATACTTTCCAGTGAGCTTTTTAAATGCATTGTATCAGGCTAAATGTGTGCTTCTGCATGCATTGGGGGTTCCAGGTTTTGACTCTTCTCCTAAAGGCTAATAGGGAGGGAGCTGCTCGGATGTCACTAGAGAGGGAGTTCCATAACTGAGGGGCCACCACTGAGAAGGCCCTGTCTCTCATCCCCGCCAGCCACGCTTGTGAGGCCGGTGGGACCAAGAGCAGGACCTCCCCAGAAGATCCATTTTGCATTTCTTTATCAGGTTTCCAGCTCAAACACTTATATTTATTACAGAAGCATTTTGGGTCAATGAAGAATGTCAGCTTTCCAATTTAACACAAATGGCACTATATACAAGTGTTGATGTTTCTTTGTTTCCAACAGGAAGAACCATTGGTTGTCCCTGAAACCCAAGAAGGAAGGCCCAGTTTGGCTCCCAGAGCCCTGAAGGTGAGCTGAGCAAGATGACTTGTGCGCCAGCTGCGTCCGTACCTTGGGAGTGCTGACTTGGCCACGGTAGTACACGCTTTGGTTACATCCCGCTTAGATTACTGCAACGCTCTCTACGTGGGGTTGCCTTTGAAGACTGCCCGGAAGCTGCAGCAAGTCCAACGCTCGGCAGCCAGACTACTAACAGGTGCTGGGTACAGGGAGCACACCACTCCGCTGTTACGCCAGCTCCACTGGCTGCCAATTAGCTTCCGAGCACAATTCAAAGTGCTGGTGTTGACCTATAAAGCCCTAAACGACTCCGGCCCTGTTTACCTCTCCGAACGTATTCTCCCCTACGAACCATCAAGATTACTAAGATCATCTGGAGAAGCCCTGCTCTCGGTCCCACTGGCCTTGCAAGCGCGGCTGGTGGGGACGAGGGACAGGGCCTTCTCGGTGGTGGCCCCACGACTCTGGAACTCTCTCCCTCTGGAGGCCAGAACCGCCCCATCCATCCTAACATTTAGGAAACGGGTGAAGACGTGGCTGTGGAGTCAGGCTTTCGAGGAATGAGACAACACCATAGGACTCTGGATGGAAGTGGATATAGATCCATCTTATTAGGACGACTGACCACTGTAGTTTTATATTTAGTGTTTTTAAAGTTGTTTTGTAATTTGTGATATGTGATATTTTAATGAATGTATATGTTTTTATGGCTGTAAACCGGGCTGAGTCCCTCGACGAGGTTGAGAAGCTCGGTATACAAAACTGTGAAATAAATAAATAATAAAATGGCTTCTGGCAGCGCAAACAAGGAGGGTGGCCCATAATGCTCCAGTGGGGAGAAAAGCCCCTCCTCTCCCCATGCACTCAACCTTGCTTTGTGTGGACGGGCAGACCACCACCTGCCCCACTGCCATGTAGTGGCCAGAGGAGATGAAGGGCCATTGGGAAACAGAGAGCTCCATTCCTGCATCTGTCAGTAGAGACGGGGCATCTTCTCTTGACCTCCGGAGGACAGCAAGAGGTCCAGGAAGATGTCCATCCCATCTTTGGTTGCCCCTATCATCCACAGCCACTAAATGGCCATTCAACAAGGGAAGTGATTTGGGTGGCGGGAGGCAGTGGTTGCAACTGGAGATGCAGAATTCCTCCAAAGAAGTAGCCACGTGGGTGCAACTGACACTTATGCCAATATATATCGCCAACAGGACAACATTTCCAGTGACCAGTCCTCTCTGTTTTCCTTCTGCATTTCCTTCCAAATACACTCTCATGTTCCTTCTCTGTCTTCACTTCTCCAAGCTGAGCAAACCCAGCTCTTTCTGATCCATTCCTCCGAGGATTTGTGGGAATATTGGGCATCTATAGCCAAGTAGAGCACAGCATAGCCAGTAGAGTTGCGCAAAACTTCGGAGGTCCGCTTCGTAATTCAGAGATTGGTAGGATTTAATGTATTGTCGAAGGCTTTCAAGGCTGGAATCACTAGGTTCTTGTAGGTTTTTTTCGGGCTATAGGGCCATGTTCTAGATGCATTTCTCCTGACATTTTGCCTGCATCTATGGCAAGCATCCTCAGAGGTAGTGAGGTCTGTTGGAATTAGAACAATAGGTTTATATATCTGTGGAATGGCTGGGGTGGGGCAAAGAGCTCTCTGCTGAAGCTAGGTGTGAATGTTTCAGCTGATGCTAATGCTAATGAAGGTGGTCAGCTGAAACATTCACACCTAGCTCCAGCAGAGAAGAGCTCTTTGCCCCACCCCAGTCATTCCACAGATATATAAACCCATTTTCCTATTTCCAACAGACCTCACTACCTCTGAGGATGCTTGCCATAGATGCAGGAGAAACGTCAGGAGAAAATGCCTCTAGAACATGGCCCTATAGCCTGAAAAAACCTACAAGAACCTTGGTAGGATTTGTTAATACAAATCTCTGAATAACTGATCGGAATGGAACCCCCTCCAAAAGCATTACAAAATAAAATGGAAACATTTCCGAAATGAGCAAAGATTTGTTGTTTTGGAATGTCTCTCCTTTGTTGCCGCAATATATACAGTGTATACAATATACCAACTTCACAGTTTCTCTCTCTCCACTCCAACAACGAGAGAGCCTCCAACAACTACCATGCATCCCTCATCAAACTTAGTATAACTACAACTTACAGTGTTCCCTCATTTATTGCAGGGGTTACTTTTCAGGACCACCCGCGATAAGTGAAAAACCGCGATGTAGGGACACTATATATATATATATGAAATGCCTTGCCTGACTTATTGGGCAAGGGCCATTGTAGTGGTGTATTGACCATGCAGAAGCCCCCTGTGCGGCGGGAAGTCTCTTGTCGCTTGGCCAGCTGGCCAACTAGCAGCAGGCCCCATCTCACCCCTGGATCAACCAGGGCCAGCTTCCCATCTCACACCAGCAGCCTTTACAGGGCTGCCCAGTAGGGCTGGGCAACCACGGAAAAATTTGTTTCTAAACTCGATTCGTTTTTTGGGGTTTTTTGCGTTTCGATATTTAAAAGAATTCCGAATTTTTTCTTTAAAAAAGTTCGATATTTACGAAATTTCGTAAAATTGCGAGACGAATACGAAACGAATACGAATCGATTCATTAATGGCGGACGCGACTGCGCAATACGCTAAAAAACCTCCAAATGGGACAGGGGGAACTCCTGAAGCTTCCCTCTCCCTCTGTTGTTGACTGTTGGTGTGATATTTATAGTTTTTTTTCAGTTGGTACCGGGTGCAGGGGCTCCACGCCAACAGAGGCAAAGACAGACTGCCCAGATTAGGAGTTAAGGATTTCCCCATTAGTTAAAATACCAGTCATGAAGATAGTGCCTGTTCCCTGTGGACAAGATTGAGAGAGAGCCAATAGACTGTTAAGAAAGCCTTAAAGTTCCTGTTTGTTTTCATTAATAAAGAACTTGGTTGAACCTTTAAGCAATCTAAAGACTCTGTTTTAAGGAAATCCAAAGGCCTTTAATCTGAGGCAGCCCCAGCGTCCCGTTGGGCACACAGAATTTATGTCCTGTCTACAGACTTATGCACAGGCCCAGCGTGCGACAGCACAACAACTTTATCTCATCAGCCAAAAGTAGGCCCACACTTCCCACTGGAATACTAATAAGTTTACATTTGTTTTAAATTGTTCTTCATTTTAATTATTGTATTGTTTATAAGTATGTTTGCACTCCAAATGAGATATGTGTCATGTGCATAGGAATTCATTTGCGTTATTTTCAAATTATAATCCAGCCCTCCAACAGTTTGAGGGATTGTGACCTGGCCGTCGGTTTAAAAAGTTTGAGGACCCCTGGTTTAGAGAACTGCCAGGTGATTTCCCCTTCTACACTACCATATAAAATCCAGTTTATCTGCTTTGGTCTGGATTATATAGCAGTGTAGACTCATGTAATCCAGTTCCAAGCAGATTATTTATTTTTTATTTATCGTGTCATCAGCAACCATACCATTGTATTACATTTCTAACACAACAAAACAAACACACAGATTAAAAAAAACCCACAGATTTTGCAAACTTGGTAGTTGGTTAAATGTCCTTTGACCAGTCTCTGGCCCCTTGGAGTGCCTCTGGTGTTGCCGCAAGAAGGTCCTCCATGGTGCATGTGGCAGGGCTCAGGGTGCATTGCAGCAGGTGGTCAGTGGTTTGCTCTTCTCCACACTCGCCTGTCGAGGATTCCACTTTGTGGCCCCATTTCCTAAGGTTGGCTCTGCATCTCATGGTGCCAGAGCGCAGTCTGTTCAGCGCCTTCCAAGTCGCCCAGTCCTCCGTGTGCCCAGGGGGGAGTCTTTCATCTGATATCACCCATGGATTGAGGTTCTGGGTGTGAGCCTGCCACTTTTGGACTCTCGCTTGCTGAGGTGTTCCAGAGAGTGTCTCTGTAGATCTTAGAAAACTATTTCTAGATTTAAGTCGTTGACGTGCTGGCTGATACCCAAACAGGGGATGAGCTGGAGATGTCTCTGCCTTGGTCCTTTCACTATTGGCTGCTATTTCCCGGCGGATGTCAGGTGGTGCAATACCTGCTAAACAGTGTAATTTCTCCAGTGGTGTAGGGTGCAGACACCCCGTGATAATGTGGCATGTCTCATTAAGTGCCACATCCACTGTTTTAGCGTGGTGAGATGTGTTCCACACTGGGCATGCGTACTCAGCAGCAGAGTAGCACAGCGCAAGGGCAGATGTCTTCACTGTGTCTGGTTGTGATCCCCAGGTTGTGCCAGTCAGCTTTCTTATGATGTTGTTTCTAGCGCCCACTTTTTGCTTGATGTTCAGGCAGTGCTTCGTGTAGGTCAGAACACAGTCCAAAGTGACTCCCAGGTACTTGGGTGCGCTGCAATGCTCCAGTGGGATTCCTTCCCAGGTAATCCTCAGAGCTCGGGATGCTTGTCTGTTCTTAAGGTGAAAGGCGCATGTCTGTGTTTTAGATGGATTAGGGATCAGTTGGTTTTCCCTGTAATAGGCAGTAAGAGCACCTAGAGCTTCGGAGAGCTTCTTTTCAACCATCTCAAAGCTCCCTGCTTGAGTGGTGATGGCACGATCATCAGCATAGATGAAGCTCTCTGTCCCTTCTGGCAGTGGCTGGTCATTTGTGTAGATGTTGGACATGGATGGAGCAAGCACGCTTCCCTGAGGCAGGCCGTTCTTCTGATTCCGCCATCTGCTTCTCTGGCGTTGGAACTCAACAAAAAAGCTCCTGTTTTGTAGCAGGTTTCCTATGAGGTGGGTGAGGTGGTCGTCCTTTGTGATATATATTTTTTGTTGAATGTATAATAATGTGTAATATCTCCTTTGATGATCTGGATTATATAGTGGTGGCAAAGGGTTGATGCATCTTCACTTCCAACAGGTTTTTATTTCCAGGTTATTCCTTTTGCCTGGAATTGTGACCCTCTTTGGCCTTTTCACTTTCAGGACGAGAAGGAGGGAAGACCTTCCCAAGCAGACCCTTCCCACACAGCCCCTTCCCACGCAGCCCCTTCCCAAGGAGCCCCTTCTCGAATCTCCTCTTCCCAAGGAGCCCCACAGATCCTGTTAAGTGACACCACTGTGTCAAGGACAGAGTCAACCTTCGAAGCCAGAGAAGCCAAAGCAAGGGAGCAGGTGAGCACACCTGGGCAGGAGGAGCTGGCGACACAGCCCTCTTTGCTCCTGGGAGCAGGTGAGACTCACCCTGTGATATGTGGCTCCTTCCAGGTGGACATCATGATGAAGGAGATGTTCTACAAAGAGAAGGACCTCCTGCCGCTCCTCCATGACTCTACTATGAAGAGCCCCCCGCCTTTCAAAGCACAGAAGAAGGCGACTCCGGTGGACCCAAGGGCTGTCGCTCAAGGCCTTTTGATCACCACCAAGGACTCCAAGGAAGGGATGACCAAGCCTCTCAGGACGAAGGTGAAAGGGAAGAGGGAAGCCATGGGATCTGAGAACTGGGAGAGACCTCAAGGGCCACCCAGTTCAACCCCCTGCCACACAGAAAGACACAGTTCAAGCTCTCCCAACAGATGGTCATATAGTCTCTGCTTATAAGCCTCCAGAGAAGGAGGCTCCACCAGACTCCCAGGCAGCAGCATATTTCATGGTCAAATGGCTCTAACTGTTAGGAAGTTCTCCATAATCTCCATAGACCTCACATCCTGTTGTTTTTATTGTTGTATTTGGGCTCGGCCTCTTGTAAGCCGCACCGAGTCCTTCAGGAGATGGTAGCGGGGTACAAATAAAGGATTATTATTATTATTATTGGGTTTTCCACCCCACCCCCCCCCCCCCCCCCGAAGGCGCAGGTTCGCAGCCTGGGAGTGATCCTGGTTCTTTGTGACAGAAACCATAAAGGGGCTGTCGAAGACTTTCATGGCTGGAATCACTGGGTTGTTGTACCTACCTCTGAGGATGCTTGCCATAGATGCAGGCGAAACGTCAGGAGAAATGCCTCTAGAACATGGCCATATAGCCTGAAAAAAACCACAAGAACTGAGTATTATTATTATTATTATTATTATTATTATTATTATTATTATTATCCTCTGCTTACTTGCTTACTTACTTACTTAGGCGATCCCTCGTAAGATGGTCTTCCATTATGGATTTCCTTGTGGGTTCGTAGGTGGTTGTGGAGCCCTATTCTTGACCTGTATCTTCTCCCACAGTGAAGGCATTGGTTTCCAGGTGGAAGGCGGTCCCGGTCGGGGTTGGCTTGACGCGCCTTCCTCCTGGCACGTTTCTCATTTTCACCCTCCACTCGTGCCTCCTCGAATTCTGCAGCACTGCTGGTCACAGCTGACCTCCAGCTGGAGCGCTCAAGGGCCAGGGCTTCCCAGTTCTCAGTGTCTATGCCAGAGTTTTTAAGGCTGGCTTTGAGGCCATCTTTAAATCTCTTTTCCTGTCCACCAACGTTCCGTTTTCCGTTCTTAAGTTCAGAGTAGAGCAACTGCTTTGGGAGACGGTGGTCAGGCATCGGACAACGTGGCCGGACCAGCGGAGTTGATGGCAGAGGACCATTGCTTCCATGCTGGTGGTCTTTGCTTCTTCCAGCACGCTGACGTTTGTCCGCTTGTCTTCCCAAGAGATTTGCAGGATTTTCCGAAGGCAGCGCTGATGGAATCGTTCCAGGAGTTGCATGTGACGTCTGTAGACAGTCCACGTTTCGCAGGCATACAGCAGGGTTGGGAGGACAATAGCTTTATAGACAAGCACCTTGGTATCCCCACGGATGTCCCATATTATCCTCTGAGGATGCTTGCCATAGATGCAGGCGAAACATCAGGAGATGTTTCGCCTGCATCTATGAAGGCCTGCATCCTTCTAGAACATGGTCATATAGCCCGAAAACCCTATAACAACCCAGTTCTCCATAATGTTTGGGCAGAATCTCTTTTCCTGTCATTTGAATCCATGGCTCCATGGTGTCCCAGTCTCTGGAGGGCAGAAAACAAACGTGCCCCCTTCTCCTCAATGGGACATCTATCAAATATCCAAACCCTATCTAAGAAACTAGAGCCGAAGGTGGTCTCTAAAATGCAATTTTCTGGATTGGCGTCCCACAGAACCCCAGGAACAGGCCTAAAAGAGCAATAAATTGTTTTTGTTGGTAATAATCATAGTAATAATAACAATAATTCCTCAAATATGTGCCTGTTGCAAGCTGTGGTTGCGCATCAGGAGAGAAAGCTCCACATATCTGTCTGCAGGAATCCCATCCTGTGCGAGCCACTCTTAAGCTAACGCAGGTATGGATCCACCTCAACCAGGATTCTTTGCCTTATTTTTCTCAGTATGAAAGCCACTTAGATGTGATTACAGAATCCAAACCCAAGCCTCCGGTGCCTCCAGAGCCTCCAGTGCCTCCGGTGCCTCCAGTGCCTTTGGTGCCTCCAGTGACTCCGGTCTCTGAGCCTTCAGCATCACCTGTGCCTCGCAGTCCGTCCACGAAGAGCGGGAAGGTAGGGCTGAAAGCATGCACCTTTTTATGTCCTCCAGCCCCTTCCCTCCCTTTGCCCTGCCCCCCAACTGAGCTGTGGTGTTGGAGGAAAGTTCTGAGAGTGCCTTGGACTGCGAGAAGATCCAACCAGTCCATCCTCCAGGAAATAAAGCTCAGCTGCTCATTGGAGGGAAGGAGACTAGAGGGAAAGTTGAAGTCCTTTGGCCACATCATGAGGAGACAGCAAAGCCTAGAGAAGGGAATGATGCTGGGGAAAGTGGAAGGCAAAAGGAAGAGGGGCCGACCAAGGGCAAGAGGGATGGATGGCATCCTTGAAGTGACTGGACTGACCTTGAAGGAGCTGGGGGTGGTGACGGCCGACAGGGAGCTCTGGCGTGGGCTGGTCCATGAGGTCACGAAGAGTCGGAGACGACTGAACGAATGAACAACAACAACCAACTGCACATTGAATTTCTTGTGACACAAAAGGAGATCTCAGTTCCGATCAACCGGGGCTGTGATAAATATGATATGGGGATGGCATGAAATTTTATGACAGTATGGTTGGGACTTATAGGAGCTAGAGATGCTATCCTAAGAAACAAGGCAAGGAAAACTACAAAAAGTGAAAAAAATCTGAACTGTAATTAAAAGTTGCTGATGAGAACTGCTGACATCAATGGTAAGAGACGAATGATTAACTCTGTGGTGGAAAACAACATGTTTACATTACCAGAGACAATGATTCTTTTAAGTTAAGGGAATCAACATCGTGGCTCCTTATGTTAAGAAGGGAAACCAACATCAGTTAAGGAAGTCAAACAAGGCTTTTTATGAACAAAATCCAATTATCAGTTAAAGAAGGAAAGCCAACATCTGTCCGGAACTGATGGAGTCAGCATGTTTTAGCTCAGTGTTTCTCAACCTTCTTAATGCCGCGACCCCTTAATACAGTTCCTCATGTTGTGGTGACCCCCAACCATAACATTATTCTCATTGTTACTTCATAACTGTAATTTTGCTACAGTTGTGACTCATAAATATCTGATATGCAGGATGTATTTTTATTCACTGGACCAAATTTGGCAAAAATATCCCATTTGCCAAAATGTCCCATATGGGGTTGGGGAAGATTGATTTTGTCATTTGGGAGTTGTAGTTGTTGGGATTTATAGTTAAGAGAATTCTGAACTTCACCAGCAATGGAATTGAACCACACAGAACTCCCACGACCAACAGAAAATACTGGAAGGGTCTGGTGGGCATTGATCTTGAGCTTGGGAGTTGTAGTTCACTGTGGACTCAATCAATGATGGGTCTGGACCAAACTTGGCACGAACACTCAATATGCCCAAATGCGAGCACTGGTGGAGTTTGGCGAAAATAGACTTGACATTTGGGAGTTGTAGTTGCTGAGATTTATAGTTCACCTACAATCAAAGAGCATTCTGAACCCCACCAACCATAGAATTGGGCCAAACTTCCCACACAAAACCCCCATGACCAATAGAAAATACTGTGTTTTCTCATTATCTTTGGCGACCCCTCTGATATCTTCTCGTGACCCCCACATGGGTCCCAACCCCCAGGTTGAGAAACACTGTTTTAGCTGGAAAACAACTTGTCATTCATTTACAAATTTTGGAGCAACATCAGCAGAAATATGCTATATAGGGGTCAATTTAGTATTCCAAAATTGTGGCAGACATGTGGAGTCTGGTCCATCTTCTTCAAGGGGTGGAGAGAGATGGTCTATTCGCAGAATGGCAGGTTTTCAGGGAATGCAATCTGGCCTTCGTGCAGGTCTCTTTTCCAGGAGAAGGAAGAAGAGATGGTAATGTATGCATGATGAGGAGTGAATGTGTATATGTGTGTGAATGCTGAGTAAAACGTAATATCCCCATTGTTTGTGTATCTAATGTAGTAGACATTAGGCCTGGGTAACAACGGAAAAATTTGTTTCTAAAATCGATTTGTATTTGGGGGGTTTTTTTTGTTTCGATATTTAAAATAATTACAAAATTTTCCTTTTAAAAAGTTCGATATTTACGAAATTTCGTAAATGGTAAAAAATTAACGAATCGATTTCCGAAACAATAACGAATCGATTCGTTAATGGCGGACGCGACCGCGAAATACGCTAAAAAACCTCCAAAACCTTCTGAAGCTTCCCTCCCCCTCTGTTGTTGACTGTTGGTGTGATATTATAATTTTTTTTCACTAATTAAACCATAAAACTGGCCCAGACATGCGGAAATAATAACGAAACGACCTCAAAACAATAACGAAACGAATACAATATCGAAATACGAAGCATTTACAAAACGTTTTTGAAAATTCGTTTTTTTTTAATAATTGCTCCAGAATGGTTCGTTATCGTTTTGTAATTGAAAAAATTAACGAATTATTAACGAATTACGAATTAACGAAACGAAACCGCCCAGCCCTAGTAGACATAGTCTGTGTATGCCTACTTTCTTTCTCTGTATTGGTCTGTGAAATACTCAGAACCTTTTAAATCTTTTTAATGCTTTTTAAAGTATTCATGACAGAGTGTCCAGGAACAGTCCAGTTCTCTGTTTTAATTGTGTTTCATTTTCTGGCATTTTGGAAACACAATAACAGAATTAAGGCCAAGTGAGACTAGACCTTATTTTGGGGGTTCCAAGGGTCAGCTTTAACCATCTCTCCCCTTGCATCCTCTGCTTAGATCATTGTCTTCAAGGAGCCATCAAGCATTGCCTTCAAGGAGCCACAGTCAACGGCTATTGCCAGTCGAGAGAAGCAACGGTCGTTTTCGCCAGTCGGGAGTACTGTGTCCCCACAGCGCAGTGGCAGCCGGTCCCCTTCGCGCATGAAGAGCCACTCCTCCGAAATCATTAAGGGCTTCTTCCCAGAGAGACCATCCTCGAGCGCGCAGTGGAAGGACATGCCGCTGCCCGTGAAGGTTCGGGGTTAATGCTGTGGGGCAGGGTTGGGTGGATTGCAAATCCCCTCTTTTGGAGGTTGCCAACTATTAAGATCACCAGGGTTGAGGGTATATCACATCCCACCTGCTAACACCAGTATAAACTACTAGGCCTGTGCGATTTGGTTCGTTAATTCGTTAATTCGTTAATAATTCGTTAATTTTACCATTTCCGAAGCGATATTGAAACAAATCTCCAAACCCGGAAGGGTTTATAAATATCGAACCAGCAGCCCCCATAGTATTTACGAGCCTCCGCTCGTTTCGTTAATGGGGTGGAGGCTGCTGGAGTGCTGGTGCATGGGAGCCAATCCGGCGCTCCCAAGCAGTGCACCATGGGTCCGTGGCTGTCCCTTTTTGATTGGCCGGCGAGCCCTTTCAAAGCGGCTCCACGCGGCCCGTAGCTTGGTGCAGAGGCGAGGGCGAGGGAGTTTGCATTGGGTTGGCTTGGCAATGGCTGCCTGCTAGCAACGAACTGGGATTGGATTCATTCCTTGCTGCTGTGAGTGCTGCTTGCTTCATTTGCTGTCTCTTGCCTGTGTTTGGTCCACATTTGGGCCATTTTTTGGTTAATTGTCCATTTTAAAATATTTTTAATGTTATTTTTTAATATTATTTTTTAATATTATTTTTTAATATTATTTTTTAATATTCTTAAAAAATATTCTAAAAAATAAAAGACTCTTCTGTTGGTGAGTGCTCTCATTTGCTGTATCGTGCCTGTGTTTGGTCCACATTTGGGCCATTTTTTGGTTAATTTTCCATTTTAAAATATTTTTTAATATTATTCTTAAGAAATACCAAAAATATTCTAAAAATTCGTTAATATTTACAAAATTTCTTAAATACCAAAACTTTTTTTTGGAAAGTTTTGTAATTATTTTAAATATCGAAACAAAAAACACCCCAATTACAAATCGATTTTAGAAACAAATTTTTTCTTGATCAAACAGGCCTATAAACTACCACAATTCTTAGCAACTGGTAGACTGTTAGGAATTGTGGGAGTTGAAGTCCAAAACACCTGGATGGCTGAAGTTTGCCCATGCCTGGTCTACCTTCTCCAAAATGCTTGGAACCAAAAGTTCTGTTGTTTTTTTTAAAGATTCTCTATTAATGCTTAAGACTATTTATTATATGCAGTGTAGATATATAGATCAGTTCTCCCTTATCTGAATGTTTTGGATTATTTCAGATTATTTATTATTTGCAGTCACAGATATACAGGTTGAGTCTCTATTATCCAAATTGCTTGGGAGCAAAAGTTTTTTGTTTTGTTTTTCAGATTCTTTACTAATGTTTAAGACCATTTATTATATGCAATCATAGATATACAGGTTGATTTTCTCATATTCATAACAACAACAACAACAACAACAACAACAATTTTATGTATTATTCTCCTTACAGCTTGAGGTGGCTTGAGTTAAAATACATCATCCTAATAAAATACATTCAATAAAAGCATATATTAAACATATTTCTATAAAATACACATATTAAAATACACGGAACAAAGATTACAATAGACATAGAATGTGAATTTAAAATCATAGTTAAAAACTATGCGTGCGGGTGCGACTATTACATGAGGAAAAAAAGTTCTGTTGGTTTTTCAAATAAATAAAATGCCTTCCCTCTGAAAAGGGATGAGAAGAAGGGATGATCCAGCCTCAAATAAACAGTTATGTTTCTGTTTGTTTGCTATTTTCAGCTGCCTTGCCTTGAAGGAAGAGGAAGGAATAGTCCCTTTCCTCCCTTCCTTCTTTCTCTGAAGGCAAGGCAGTTTGCGAAACCTGAAATTGAGCTTTTTGGAGGAAGGAGAGAAGAGCTCCAGAGAACCCCATTTCATAGTTTTGAAACTGCCTTGCCTTCAGAGAAAGAAGGAAGGAAGGAAGTAGCCCCAAATGGCTCTGCGACTATTATGTGAGGAACACAAAATTAACAATTTTGTCAGCCCAAAAATGGGGGATGGCGACTATTATGCAATGAAATACAGTAGATATTGCTATTGGGGAAAATATAGTCTCCTCAGCTGCCTGCTTCACTTTCCTTCAACTAGGAAGAAGTCCAAGGGTGATCTGGCTTGGTAACACAGCAAAATGGCTTTGCAAAAAGGCCAAAACTGGGCCCAAAAGTGTGCAGCTTCTGACTTCAACCCCATTACTCCACAGAGTCATCAGAGCATGCCGCTACCCAGGATTGCCTCTGGGTTCGTGCCCAATTCAGTGGTTTCCCAGCAGCTCCACAGCCAGGAAGAGCTGGAGGCGATGAGGAGGAGAAGGGAGGAAGAGGAGGAAGACGAGGAGAGGATTATGGAGATCACAGGGCCCATGGAGGTAAGGCCAAGAGGAAATGGGTAAAATGAACCCACACAACCCAGATGGGACTTGAACCCACAATCCCCAGCTCTGGAGGCTGATGCCTTATCTATTAGGCCACTGGGCCATCCCTTGAGTATCATTCATTATCCAATTTGTAAACACAGTTATTTTCCAATGCATCACTTATTTCACCCATACACCACCTACTAAAACTAATTCCTCCACCTGAAAACAATAATCCTAAAATAAAAATACTTGAAAGTTAGAATGGATTTCCCACTTTCCATATTAAAGACATACAATGAAAATATTCTTGCCATCTCACTAACTCCTTACCTCAATAAAACTTCTATATTTTACTTTACTATCTCAGTATTGACTTAATCTCCAAAACCCGCCAGCATTTTTACATTTTTCTGTATCAATAATATGAATGGTTCCAATTCTACTAAAAAATGTATCAGCCGACCCCTTCTTTCTCAAACAAGGCCAATGGGATGTTGGCTTGCATCAAGAGAAGTCTAGTGCCTAGATCCAAGGAAGTCAGGTGACCCCTCTATTCTACCTTGGTCAGACCACTTCACCTGGAATCACATTGTGTCCAATTCCAGCAGTGAAATGCCTGGGGTCAGCCTTGGCTGTCTTGCCACCAGTCAACGGCTGGAGCCACGACCTGCAAGAACTGTCCTTCCTCTGCTGTCTTTTCCAGGAGGGCCCCTTGGATAGAAGCTTCTTCTGGTCACCTCCTGAGGTCACTTCACCCCCGGTAGAACCTGAAGAACCACCAGTGCAGCCCCCCACACCAAAGTCCCTCAGCTTCAAAGAGGTGAGGAGGGGGTCACTTCCGAAGGGTGAGGATGGAAGGAATGGCCAAGGATGTGTGCAGACAGTGGGGCGTGGAACATCTCTGCATTTGGTTTACCTGGAAAGTGGTTTCAAGAGAAGGGGTCCCAGGGGGTGCCTTTGGATTGCCTTGCCTCTCCCATAGAGTTTTTGTAGGTACTCCACACAAGCACAAGCCTTTTCTATAATGAAGTCTTGGCTTTGCCACCCCTCTCCTTTCTTTCAGAAGGCCCCTGCTGTTTTCCTGACGCAGCTGGATGAATCCCAATACAAAGACAGGCGGAAAGAGCCGCCGTTCTTTATTCAGCCGTTTTTGGAGCACGAGTGGTTCAAGGCACTTTTCCCAGAGGTGAGCGGACAGGGAACAAAGAGGGCTTGCGGTGACACCACAGGAAAAAACATAAATTCATGACTAAATCCATTAATCCTGTATTAGTAGAAACACCAGGGTCAAATGTGTGGTGTAATCTATATAAATAAAAATGTAATGTTCTGTCGAAGGTTTTCATGGCCAGAATCACTGGGTTGTTGTACGTTTTTCGGGCTGCCTGGCTATGTTCTAGAAGCATTCTCTCCTGACATTTTGCCTGCATCTATGGCAGGCGTCCTCAGAGGTTGTGAGGATGCTTGTCACAACCTCTGAGGATGCTTGCCACAGATTCAGGAGAAACGTCAGGAGAGAATGCTTCTAGGACATAGCCAGGCAGCCCGAAAAACGTACAACAACCCAGTGATTCTGGCCATGAAAACCTTCGACAGAACAGAACTATACAACCTGAAAAACCTACAACAAACGAATATAACGTTCGTTTGTGGGATTAACATAACTCAAAAACCACTGGACAAATTGACACCAAATTTGGACACAAGACACCTCTCAGGTCAACGAGTGACCATCACTCATAAATCACTGAAAACACAGCAGAAGAGACTTAAAAGGCTAAAAACCAAAAAATACACTACAACACATGCACAAAACTATATATATATATATATATATATATATATATATATATATATGCAAACGCACATACAAGCTGTCCCCTACCACACATTGCTGTGGCCCAGTCTGTGTATATGTGTTTTGTGTGGGTATATGTATGTATATATTGTTGTGTATCTATATATATACAAAAATGCTCTGTGCATAATGAGTTCCTTAAAAACAAAAGAACCAATGAACGAAATCACACCAAATTTGGCAACAAAACATCTCACTACACAAGGAGTGACCGTCACTCAAAAAAATATGATTTTGTCATTTGGGAGTTGTAGTTCCTGGGATTTATAGTTCAACTACAATCAAACAGCATTCTGGACTCCATCAACGATGGAATTGAACCCAACTTGGCACACAGAACTTCCATGACCAACAGAAAATACTGGAAGGGTTTGGTGGGCATTGAGTTTGGGAGTCGTAGTTTATCTACATCCAGAGAGCACTGTGGACTCAAACAATGATGGATCTGGACCAAACTTGGAACAAGCACTCAATACGCCCAAGTATGAACACAGATGGAGTTTGGGGGGAAATAGACCTTGACATTTGGGAGTTGTAGTCACTGGGATTCACCGTTCACCTACAATCAAAGAGCATTCTGAACCCCACGAATGACAGAATCGGGGCAAACTTCCCACACAGAACCCCCATGATTAACAGAAAATACTTAAGGCCATCCAATCCAACTCCCACATCAGGGCAAGAAAACGTAAACAAAGTCCTCCTGACAAAGAGCCATCCAGCCATCGATATAGATGATTCAGATACACAGAGATATAGTATCATAAATTTGAAAGGGACCCAAAAGAGGAACAATAATATGTTGTGTGTTCCAGAGTAGGCAAACCAGACAATCTCCACATCAACACTGACAAAGAAACAACAAAAAATATAGCCCGGAAAAACCTACAACAACCCAACAAGAAATAGTTTACCCACAAGCATAAAGACATTACACATATTAGAAACCAAAACTTTCTCATTCCCTTTATTTTCCAGATCAAGAGACTGGGCCACAGCAACGCATGGCAGGGGACAGCTAGTATGTGTATATATGTGTGTTTGCATGTATATGTGTGTGTGTGGCTGAAGGAGTCACTGCAACAAATCTTCGAAAATGACAATAAGGCCAAAAGTCAAAGATTAGAAGGATGAGCCCACTCTCTTCTAGCGTTTAGGAAACAACTTAAGACTTCTTTACTCAAGCAGGCATTCAGCAAATGACAAAAAGATGGAAATATGGAAGGGTTAAGACACTGGGATTGATGTAAGGGCTAAGGGATGTAAGGAGCCCCCGGTGGCACAGTGGGTTAAAGCACTGAGCTGCTGAGCTTGTTGATCGAAAGGTCGCAGGTTCGATTCCGGGGAGCGGCGTGAGCTTCCGCTGTCAGCCCTAGCTTCTGCCAACCTAGCAGTTCGAAAACATGCAAATGTGAGTAGATCAATAGGTACTGCTCCGGCGGGAAGGTAACGGCGCTCCATGCAGTCATGCCGGCCACATGACCTTGGAGGTGTCTACGGACAACGCTGGCTCTTCGGCTTAGAAATGGAGATGAGCACCAACCCCCAGAGTCAGACATGACTGGACTTAATGTCAGGGGACTACCTACCTACCTAAATGTTTTATGTTCTGTCTGTGATTGCTGTTGTAGTTTTATAGCTTTAATGGTTTTAATCTATTGCCATTTGTTGTTGATTTGATATGGGATATTTATTTGTGTGAGACATTGCATTTTGCCATTGATTATGGTGTGAACTGCTTTGAGTTCCCCTCCACCCCAGAGGTGAGAAAGGTGGTATATAAATGCAATAAATAAATACATAAATAAATAGGTTTTCAGGAGAGGATCTCATCCACAAGAAGAAGATCCAATGAGGGAAATCTTGACCCAAATGAAGAATCAGTACAGATGAAATGGAAAATGTGAAGATCAGGATTGAAAAGAGAATTGCACAGGCTGAAGATTATTTACATACAGGTCAACAAGAGATGAGAAAAGATATGCAACAGATAGCAGATACAATGAGTGGTATTTTGAAGTGGCAGGATCCATCGCCTTGCTGCTGTTGGAGTCAGAGGGAGAGCTTTAAACTGGCTGGCTCCTTTCTTCACAACAGTGGACAGCGAGTGGAGAGGGGAGGCCTGGTCTCCGAGAGGTCCCCCCTCTCTCTCTTGTGGGGTTCCTCCTCAGGGGGCCATCCTCTCCCCTCTGTTGCTTAACATCTATAGGCGACCACTTGCTCAGCTGGTTCGAGGTTTTGGGCTGGAGTGTGACCAGTACGTTGATGATACTCAGCTGGTGCTGAAGATGGAAGGCCGACCGGACTCTGTACCCGATTGTTTCCATCAGTGTCTCGAGGCCGTGACTGGATGGCTGCGTGCCAGCAGGTTGAGGGTGAATCCAGCAAAGACGGAGATCCTATGGCTGGGTCAACCGGCCAGTGGGGACATCCAGCTGCCCACCCTGGATGGCAAGGCACTACGCCCGTCCTTGTTGGTCAAGAGTCTGGGAGTCCTTTTGGACCCTCTGCTGACGATGGAGGCCCAGGTCTCTCTCCGCCGTGAGCAGAACCGCCTTCTTTCACCTGCGGCAGGCGAGACGGCTGGCCCCCTCCCTGTCCAGGGACGACCTCGCTACGGTGATCCAGGCCACGGTCATCTCAAGACTGGACTACTGTAATGCCCTCGACATTAGCCTTCCTCTGTCGGTGATCCGGAAGCTCAAATTGGTGCAAAATGCAGCTGCTCGGCTTCTTGTGGGAATTCCGATGAGATGCCACATCACCCCAATCTTACCAATTGAGCACCGGATCACTTTCAAAGGGATGGTACTCACCTTTAAGGCCTTGCATGGTCTGGGGCCGATGTACCTGAGGGACCGCCTCACCCCCTACCAACCCCAGAGATCCCTCCCTTCTGAGGACCAAGATCTATTGGAAGTCCCCAGTGTCAAGACCTTGCGTCTAACAGCAACCAGACGCAGAGCTTTTACAGTAGTGGCACCATCACTCTGGAACACTCTGCCACCTGAAGTCCGAGCCTTGCGGGACTTACCAGCTTTACGCAGGGCATGGAAGACATATTTGTTTCGACACGCTTTCGATCTTGGATATGTTGTTTTAAATTGTGTTAAATTCGAGTTTGTTTCTTGTAAGCCACTCCGAGCCCTAGGGGAGTGGCGGCATATAAGTTTGAATAATAAATAAATAAATAAATAAATAAATACAGAAAATTGGAATAATAGAAGAAGCACAAAAGAAGATGCAAATGGATTTCCAAAGAGATTCAACCCAACTCCAAAAATGAGAGTATTCGCAAAGAGAATACCCTTTGAGGTTGAGAGGAATGCCAAATCCTGTACAGGAACTTGATATGGCAATAACTGAGGTTGTGTTTTTTCTTCTCTTCCAGGGCTTCCCTCCCGATATGACCGTCAATGAGTTCTTGACCATCCTGCTGAGCAGCCTGGTCAAGGTGGACTTTGGGACGAAGGCAGCCTTGGTGGGTGCCATTGCCAGGCTGAGGGAGACACTGCAGGACCAGATGAAGGATGTCATCTACAAAACGGTCCTCTATGTCCTGAACAAGGGGGAGGAGGATCCCTCCGCCATGGTGAGTGGCTTTCTCACTATCTCTCACTTGAATTGTGGGGTGTTTGCGAGTCTGTGAGCTTGGGTCTGTTGGGAATATTGTACTGTTCAATCTATGAGCCTGGGTATCTCCTCAGTCATCTGGAGGCACCTGATTGGAACAGTTCAGACAGGCAAACAGCAGACTTTCTTGTTCCATATCAGAACGGCTTTTTATCTTGAAGTTTCAGTAGCAAAAAGACAAACAGCTCTGTACAAATACCCTATTTCCCAAAAATAAGGCAGTGTCTTATATTAAGTTTTTCTCCCAAAGGTGTGCTAGGGCTTATCTTCAGGGCATGTCTTATTTTTCCATTAAGAAGAATTCACATTTATTTTACACAGTTTTTAAGATTTGCTTTGACCCCATCTTTCAATCTCCATTTCATAGAATCATAGAATTAAAGAGTTGGAAGAGACCTCCTGGGCCATCCAGTCCAACCCCATTCTGCCAAGAAGCAGGAATGTTGCATTCAAATCACCCCTGACAGATGGCCATCCAGCCTCTGTTTAAAAGCTTCCAAAGAAGGAGCCTCCACCACACTCCGGGGCAGAGAGTTCCACTGCTGAACGGCTCTCACAGTCAGGAAGTTCTTCCTCATGTTCAGATGGAATCTCCTCTCTTGTAGTTTGAAGCCATTGTTCCAATGCGTCCTAGTCTCCAAAGAAGCAGAAAACAAGCTTGCTCCCTCCTCCCTGTGGTTTTCCGTTCTTGAGTTCGGAGTAGAGCAACTGCTTTGGGAGACAGTGATCTTTGGACATCCGGACAACATGGCTGGTCCAGTGGAGTTGATGGTGGAGGACCATCGCTTCAGTGCTGGTGGTCTTTGCTTCTTCCAGCATGCTGACATTTGTCTGCCTGTCTTCCCAAGAGATTTGCAGGATTTTCCGGAGGCTGATGGAATCGTTCTAGGAGTTGCATGTGACGTCTGTAGACAGTCCACGTTTCACTGGCATATAGCAGGGTTGGGAGGACAGTAGCTTTGTAAACAAGCCCTTTGGTCTCCCTACGAATGTCCTGGTCCTCAAACACTCTCTGCTTCATTCAGAAAAATGCTGCACTTGCAGAGCTCAGGAGGTGTTGTATTTCGTGTTGCTACTAAGAGGTTGCAACGTACTTTATCTAAGTTGTTGTAAGGATCAATGTTGTTTGTGCTATAACTTTAAGTTGCTGTAAGGTTCAAGGCTGTTTGTGCTACAGCTGTTTCAGTTAATTGAAGAGTTAATTGAGAGTGTTATTTTCATGTGTATAAAGATAGCTACTGTGTGTTTGGTTTCTTTGCCATTGTGCGTTTATGCTATTGTGCATCTATGCCTCTGTGCCGTTCTGCTTTGTGTAAGCCGGGGACTATGCTGCAGATGTCCTGCGAAGACACAGCCATGAGAAGAGGACAAGGATTCCTGCTTATCTCAGCTGAGTAGTGATATCTCTCAGAAGATATTGTTTCATAGTTACTTTTGTGGAAACAGTAATCCTGCTACTTTGTTTTTGTATGCTACAATATTTTCTTTTCTACTTTAAGCCGAAGTCTCGTGTGTTTTTCTTTTATGAGCCAATTCATCACACACAGAGTTAACTGGGCTAGAGTCAATTTGCATGCTACTCATGCTAACGCATGACATTTCGGTGTCAATGTTGACTTTTGTGGAGAGGTGGCTGCCAAGGGAGCTGAAATGGTCCACATTTTCTAAAGTTACACCATTAAGCTGTATTTCTGGCATTGGAGAGGGATTGGCTGGTGACTGCTAGAACAGCACTCTGGATTTCTCAATGTTCAATGACAGGCCGAGCTTCTCGTACGCTTCTGCGAAGGTATTTAGTGTGGCTTGTAGGTGTTCTTCTGAATGTGCACAGATGACGTTGTCATCAGCATATTGGAGTTCTATTGCATCCTGGTCTCCAAAAGCAGCAGAAAACAAGCTTACTCCCTCCTCCCTAAAACTTCCCCTCACATCTTGATCCAAGGATCTCACCATGCCTCTTCTCAGACTTCTCTTCTGAAGGCTAAATATGCCCAGCTCTTTGTTGTGGCTCAGCAGCTGGAACTTCAGGAAGAGGATGATGGGTTTCAGATTCCTGAACATGTTCCTGTGGTTGATACAGACATTGTTGATGCTGAAGACGAGGAGTTCCAGTTTCCCATGGCAAGGGATGTTGTTTTAGAAGAGGTTTCTGATCTTAGTGAAACTTCACAGGCGCAAGTGGAGGAGGTGAGCCAGCCTGCAAACTCTCTGCCTGCCAATTCCCAGTCCCAGGATAATGGGCTCTTCAACCTTGAAGGCTCGGCAGATTTAGATAGGGAGGATCGCTTGCAATTGAGGGTTCGCTGCAGTACAAGGCTTGCAAACAAGAGAGAGGTTAGAGGTCAAAGGAATGCTTTTATGCTAGGAAAATATATTTAACAAGCTGGTTGAAGTCAGCCTTTTGTCAGTGCTACTTCAGCTAACACCCTGATAACTTCTCTGGATTGCCTCGGCTTTTGGACCATTCTTTTGGCTTCTTGGGACTTTGATTTGGATCTTGGCTTTTTGGGACTCTGTCATGCTGCCATGGAATGTGTTTGATCAATGCTTATGGAATATGCTTCATGTTACTTGCCTTTGGACTTTGGAAACTCTGCCTTTGCATTTAAGACTCTGTTTGGCTATTGAACTTTTGCAACTTTACTTTTGTGTTTAAGACTTTGCCTTTACTTTAATAAACTACAAAATCTACAGCCTTGGTGTGTGTGGTGTTCTGAGCAAGGTGAATCTATCCTGAGGTGCGACACTCTTTATTTATTTTTTATTTATTTATTTATTTATTTATTTATTTACTTTGCTTATATATCGCTGTTCTCAGCTCAGGGGCGACTCACAGCGGTGTACAACATTGTTGTTTGTTGTTCATTCGTTCAGTCGTCTCCGACTCTTCGTGACCTCATCGACCAGCCCACGCCAGAGCTCCCTGTTGGCCGTCACCACCCCCAGCTCCTTCAAGGTCATCCAGTCACTTCAAGGATGCCATCCATCCATCTTGCCCTTTGCCCTTGGTCGGTCCCTCTTCCTTTTGCCTTCCACTTTCCCCAGCATAATTGTCTTCTCTAGGCTTTCCTTCTCCTCATGATGTGGCCAAAGTACTTCACTTTGTCTATATCCTTCCCTCCAGTGAGCAGTCGGGCTTTATTTCCTGAAATATGGACTGGTTGGATCTTCTCGCAGTCCAAGGCACTCTCAGAACTTTCCTCCAACACCACAGCTCAAAAGCATCTCTCTTCCTTCGCTCAGCCTTCCCTAAGGTCCAGCTCTCACCTCCGTAGGTGACTACAGGGAATACCATGGCTTTGACTAGGCAATGGATCTTTGTTGCCAGTCTGATGTCTCTACTTTTCACTATTTTAAGCGGGATCGAGAGCAGGGCCTCCCCGGAAGATCTCAAAGTCCTGGTGGGCTCGTAGGTCGAGATGCGGTCGGATAGGTATCTTGGGCCGGAACCGTTTAGGGCTTTATAGGCCAACGCCAGCACCTTGAATTGAGCCCGGTAGCAAATCGGCAGCCAGTGGAGCTGGTACAACAAGGGGGTTGTATGCTCCCTGCGTCCCGCTCCTGTTAGTATCATGGCTGCCGCACGTTGGACCAATTTGAAGCTTCCGGGCCGTCTTCAAAGGCAACCCCACGTAGAGAGCGTTGCAGTTGTCTAAACGGGATGTAACCAGAGCGTGGACTACCGTGGCCAAGTCAGACTTCCCAAGGTACGGGCGCAGCTGGTCCTCATAGGGCTTGTTCACCAAACCTTTGATCCTTTGAGTCACCCTCTTCCTCTGAACACATTCCAGCTTAGAGTCAACCTCGCCCTTCAATTGTGGTGCCCAGAATGGGACACAGTGTGTTTCTGGTTTGATCTGACCAAGGCAGAATAGAGCATGGGGAGCAGGACTTCCCTGGATTTAGACACTAGACTCCTATTGATGCAGGCCAAAATCCCATTGGCTTTTTTTGCTGCCACATCACATTCCTGGCTCATGTTCCCCTTCCTCCCCACGAGGACTCCAAGATCTTTTTCACAGGTACTGCATTAGACTCGAGTTAAAACAGTTACATAGGTAAGAGTCACTCTGGATCGTGCTCTGACCTACAAGAAGCACTGCCTGAACTTCAAGCAAAAAGTGGGTGCTAGAAACAATATCATACAAAAGCTGACTGGCACAACCTGGGGATCACAACCAGATACAGTGAAGACATCTGCCCTTGTGCTATGCTACTCTGCTGCTGAGTATGCATGCCCAGTGTGTAACACATCTCACCACGCTAAAACAGTGGATGTGGCTCTTAATGAGACATGCCACATTATCACGGGGTGTCTGAGCCCTACACCACTGGAGAAATTACATTGCACCACCTGACATCCGCCGGGAAGTAGCAGCCAATAGTGAAAGGACCAAGGCAGAGACATCTCCAGCTCATCCTCTGTTTGGGTATCAGCCAGCACGTCAATGACTTAAATCTAGAAATAGTTTTCTAAGGTCTACAGAGACACTCGCTGGAACACCTCAGCAAGCGAGAGTCCAAAAGTGGCAGGCTCAAACCCAGCACCTCAATGCGTGGGTGATACCAGATGAGAGACTCCCTCCTGAGCACACAGAAGACTGGGCGACTTGGAAGGTGCTGAACAGACTGCGCTCTGGCACCACGAGATGCAGAGCCAACCTTCAGAAATGGGGCCACAAAGTGGAATCCTCGACATGCGAGTGTGGAGAAGAGCAAACCACTGACCACCTGCTGCAATGCACCCTGAGCCCTGCCACATGATGCACAATGAAGGACCTCCTTGCAGCAACACTGGAAGCACTCCAAGTGGCCAGAGACTGGTCAAAGGACATTTAACCAACTACCAAACTCACAAATGTTGTATTTTATCTGTTTGTTTGCTTTGTTCTGTTAGAAATGTAATGTAATTGACTGGTTAATCTGACACGACAAATAAATAAATACAGTTATATAGACTGAGGCATTTATTTATTTATTTATTTATTTATTTACTCTATTTGTATACCGCATATATCAGCCTGAGGCGGCGACTCAATGCGGTTTACAGTAAAAAGCAACACTAAACAATATATGAGACGCACAATACAAACAAAACACATAATCATCAACGCCATACTTAGAATCAGATTCCGATCTCAAGATCCTTTTCCATTCCTTGTCTGATGCCGTCATTATTGAGTTAGTTGTTACTACATAGTTATCCAAATGCCTGCTCGTAGAGCCACGTCTTCACCCTCCTCCGAAACACCAGCAACGAAGGGGCCTGCCTGATGTCCACCGGTAACGCATTCCATAGCCGAGGGGCCACCACCGAGAAGGCCCTGTCTCTCGTGCCCGCCAGCCGCACTTGCGACGCCGGCGGGACCGAGAGCAGGGCCTCCCCGGAAGATCTTAACGCTCTTCCCGGTTCGTAGGAGGAGATGCGTTCGGAGAGGTAAGTGGGGCCGGAACCGTGTAGGGCTTTATAGGCTAAAGCCAGCACCTTAAATTGTGCCCGGTAGCGAATTGGCAGCCAGTGGAGCTGGTTCAACAGGGGGGTGGTGTGCTCCCTGAGAGCCGCTCCCGTTAGCAACCTGGCTGCCGAGCGCTGGACCATCTGAAGCTTCCGGGCAGTCTTCAAGGGCAACCCCACGTAGAGCGCGTTGCAGTAATCTATACGGGATGTGACAAGAGCGTGGACTACCGTAGCCAAGTCCGAGTTTCAGTTTGTTCACCCTCATCCAGTCCGACACAGCAGCCAAGCACCGGTTCAGGACCTGGACAGCCTCCTTAGTAGTAGGTGGAAAGGAGTGACAGAGCTGGACGTCATCTGCGTACAGATAACACCTCACTCCGAAACTCCGGATGATCTCTCCCAACGGCTTCATGTAGATGTTAAATAGCATGGGGGACAGAATTGAACCCTGCGGGACCCCACAAATCAATGGTTGTGAGGACGAGCAGGTGTCCCCCAACAACACCTTCTGGGTACGATCCTCTCTTTTTTGAAAATTCAATAGATTTATGTAATAATAAAAGAAAGGAATCAATGTGAAAGAGTTGGGACTCCTTTAAATTTTAAACTCACATCAAATCCTAGGACCGGGACCAGAGGAAGTTCATCCTGTCTGCGCTGCGGATGCTGCTGAACCTGGACAAGGACAAGGAGGAGCTGATGGTGGAGCTCATGACCTATTATGTCATCTCCCCTCCGGCCTTCAGGTGAGGGTAGTTGGGGGGGGGGGGACATGGGGCATTGTGGGGTGGGAGGGGTCTGACTCGGCCACGGTCATGGGTCATTTATTGCCTGTTTACTGCCTTTCTATATTGGTATTGATTCTTTCTGAAGTACAGAGCACTTGGTTCCCTAATCTGATAATGACCATAATTCTAACTTTATCCTATTCAGGGAAAATAAGTTGACCGGGAGCTAACCATAGAGGTAAAATCAGGTTACATTGTAGGGTCCCTGGATTTGGTCTTTGGGGTTTTCAATCTCTTTTAGGAAATCTTTAGAGGTTGCTGCCTCAATATATCATATTGAATCCCCATTGATCAAATCTGGACGTTATATTTCTTGTGACACACCCGTATTTATTTATTTATTTAGCAGTTTTGTATCCCGGTCTTCTCACCTCCGTTCGAGGGACTCAATGTTACAGACCGTCATTAAAACATCATATTTCTAAATCACACTAAAACATTAAAATAGCAAAATACAATCATATAATTACAGTGGTCAGTCGTCATCAAAAATGATTATTCGTCGTCATCCATCCATATCACAGGATCATGGCTCATTCGTCGAATGCCAATCCCCAAAGCCAAGTTTTCACCTGTTTCCTGAATGTTAAGATAGAAGGGGCAGTTCTGATCTCCAGTGGAAGGGAGTTCCAGAGTCAAGAGGCCACCACCGAGAAGGCCCTGTCTCTCATCCCCACCAACCGCGCCTGTGAGGCTGGTGAGATTGTAATAGAAAAAGCTCATTTAAAAAGCACAAGCCCAGATTACTCCAGCAAATGATTGTTGGATCTGACAGCTTCTACAAAGTTACAGGATTTATAGGTTGGACATTCCTACATGTTGGACGCATTAACCCAGGCATGAACCAACTTCGACCCTCCAGGTGTTGTGGACTTAAATTCCCACAATTCCTAACAGCTTACCGGCTGTTAGGAATTATGGGAGTTGAAGTCCAAAACACCTGGAGGGCTGAAGTTAGCCCATGCCTACTCTCAATGCAATGTGTCTCCAAGCTTAGGTTCTTGTGGGTTTTTTCGGGCTATAGGGCCATGTTCTAGAGCAGTGGTTCTCAACCTGGGGTCCCCAGATGTTTTTGGCCTTCAACTCCCAGAAATCCTAACAGCTGCTAAACTGGCTGGGATTTCTGGGAGTTGTAGGCCAAAAACATCTGGGGACCCCAGGTTGAGAACCACTGTTCTAGAGGCATTTCTCCTGACGTTTCGCCTGCATCTATGGCAAGCATCCTCAGAGGTAGTGAGGTCTGTTGGAATTAGGACAATGGGTTTATATATCTGTGGAATGGCTGGGGTGGGGAAAGAGCTCTTCTCTGCTGGAGCTAGGTGTGAATGTTTCAACTGACCACCTTCATTAGCATTTGAAGGCCTGGCTGAGCCTGGGAAAATCTTTTGTTGAGAGGTGTTAAGATGTGCCTGGTTGTTTCCTCTCTGCTGTTTTGCTGTTGTAATTTTAGAGTTTTTTTTTAATACTGATAGCCAGATTTTGTTCATTTTCATGGTCTCTTCCTTTCTGTTGAAATTGTCCACATGCTTGTGGATTTCAATGGCTTCTCTGTGTAGTCTGACATGGTGGTTGTTGGTGTGGTCCAGCATTTCTGTGTTCTCAATAATATGCTGTGTCCAGGCTGGTTCACTACCTCTGAGGATGCTTGCCATAGATGCAGGCGAAACGTCAGGAGAAATGCCTCAAGAACATGGCCCTATAGCCCAAAAAACCCCACAAGAACCTCGTGATTCCAGCCATGAAAGCCTTCGACAATACATTGTCTCCAACCTTGGTTTGCATAGTTTTCTTTCCATGAAAGGTGGTTCCTTCCAAGCTTGCAGTCCCTATCGCCCATGAAATGACTCCCCAGCCTCTTCTTGCTCCCTCCGTGTTTCCCAGGGTCGCTGTGAAGGACCTGATCCAGGACGTGGGGGTCCAGGACCCTCACAACTACTTCTTCAAGGAGATGGAGTCCTGGCCGGTGAAAGAGGGCGACACCAGGGCGTCTGTGCGGAGGATGAGCGGCCAATGGTTGACGGCACGGATGCAGGAGCTCAAGGTGCGCCTTCCACCCCTTCTCCTCCAAGGACCCCAAATACATGTAGATGGGAGCGAGGTCCCGGTCTTCCCCAAGGCACAGAATTGAACATGTGCAAGGAGAAAAGGCATCCTTTCCCTCAAGGATATGCCTTGAAGAAGATTTATAGTTTCCAAATCCCTGAATTGCTGCAAGCTGGATAGCAAGTTTCCCAAAAGCAAGCAAAACACAGCAGAGTCCTTTCGCAGGACAAACACACATCACTCTGGGTCGTTGTAGGTTTTTTGGGCTAGGTGGCCATATTCTAGAAGCATTCTCTCTTGACATTTTGCCTACATCTATGGCAGGCATCCTCAGAGGTGTGACCTCACAACCTCTGAAGATGCCTGTCATAGATGTAGGCGAAATGTCAGGAGAGAATGCTTCTAGAACATGGCCATATAGCCTGAAAAACCTACAGCAACCCAATGATTCAGAAAGGGTCTTTGAGTGAAACTTGCAAATGCTAAGCAAAGGGCTTTGAATGAAATTAACAGCAAAAGAGAAATATACCCTTTCTCTGTAGAAAAGGAGCAACACGGAAGAAAATGTTTTTAAGAAACAAGATGTGACATGTAGAGGTCGGCAGTTGTGTTGTGGTTAAGTTCAAAGGTTGTGGTTAAGCGCAGAGTCTGCAGGTACAAGAAGGTACTTTCCATCAAAAGGTCACGGGAGAGGGGCTGGAAAGAGAGTACTTTCCATGACCTATTACTTGAGTATCAAAGTCAGCAGAAAAAGAGGAGAGGCGCGGCAGTCCCTTGAAGGGTAGCATCTGCGTATGCTGCCAGGCTGTCCGTCTTCTTCATGAATAAACTAAAATAAATCTTGGTTTTTTAAATCTTTTTTGGGACTGTCTCCTTCCTTACGTGTTCCCGTGATGTGGACCTAAGAAGACCCAATTTAGGGTCTCTAACAATTCCAGCCATGGAAGCCTTTGACAATACATCACTCTATTTGCAGAGTCCAACTGCCAGCATCTGATCTTATCTACAGACTGTTTAGAAAATTCACGGATTCGGGTTTTCATTCGAAATATCTGGAGGCTTTAATCTTCACTGCTGCCATATATACAAATGTACAAACAGGATTTGCTGATCCACTTTCCTTGTTCTTGCCAACAATCAGAGTCATCAGATAGTCACATACAACATAGGCAGATACTCACACAGAGTTACACAGGAGAGAGAAAGATGGAACCTTTCATCCCCCATTTTATAGCCACCTGCTGATAGGTCATCCGTAAGGGACACAGACTGATGCAAACCCTTGGCAATAACCCTCACATGGTTATGACTCAGACATCACCACACTCCCCTTGGTATTTCATCATGACATTCACAGTCATACCCAGGTGGTATCAATCAACCATATGTTCATCCAATAATATTTTTACATGACTGGAAATGCTGTGCCATTTCTATATAACAGAGTCTGTACACCCGCCTCTTTCTCCAAGGGATGGAGAAGCGTGGTGTATTCACAGAATGGCAGATTTGCAGGGATTGCAATCTGGCACACATGCAGGTCTATTCTACAGGAGAGGGAAGAAGGGATGATAATGTATGCATTGGCAGTGAATGTTTTTGTGTGCATGAATGCTGAGTAAAATATAATATCCACTTTGTTTGTGTAACCAATGTACGAGGGTTGAATGAAAAGTAATGCCTCCACCTTCGTTCCCTCAGCAGATGGGAACACTGATATGCGGCATGTACTGGCTTGTTTAGTAGACTCTCCCCTACAGTTCCATTTTGGTGGGAAGCCTTAGCATTGAACGGTTGTGTTGTTAAAGTGCGAAGTTTGGAACCCTGCACAGACAGTCAGTCAATGCAACTTAAGCAATGTGCAGTCATTGAATTCTTGAGAGCAGAAGGTGTCACCCCAAAGGAGATTCATCAGAGAATGGAAGCTGTTTATAGTGATTGTATTGATGTGAGTACAGTGCGTCGTTGGGCGAGAAAGTTTAAAGATGTTGAGGTGGGGACATCTGTCTTCCGTGACAGACAAAGAGTTGGATGTCCTGTGACAGCAACTACCGAGTTTCACAAGCAAAAGGTTGACAGATTGATTCAGGACGATCGTCGTATCACTCAGAGAGAAATGTCAAGCATAATCGACATTTCACAAGAACGTGTGGGTCACATTATTGCTTTGCTTGGCTGTCAGAAGATCTGTGCACGATGGGTACCCAGGATGCTGATGCCTGAAATGAAAGCACACAGACTTGAAACTTCAGAGACTGGATCTCACCACCGTACAGCATCCTCCATACAGTCCAGATTTAGCACCGCCTGACTTCCATCTGTTCCCGATCGTGAAAGAAGATCTGCGGGGACATCATGATGATTCTGATGAAGATGTTGAGAGAACTGTGAGATGCCGGTTGTGGAAACAGAGTGTCGACTTCTTCCCTGACAGCTTCAGAAAACTTGTTCGTTTTTGGCCAAAATGTATCCAATTGTCTGGTGATTATGTGGAAAAGTGAATAGTGGTAGTTGAAGAGCACTTTCTAAGGTTTATTTCTTCAAGTCATGTCCTGGTCAAGTTTTGCTTTTAGTCTTGGGGATTTTACCATGAACTCAAGCTATTGTATTGTTCTTTGATTCTTGGATCACTTTAGTGGATGTTTTACTCTTTGTCTTTGGATTATCTAACCTCGTGAGTTTACCCTACTCCTTGGATTTATATTCACGCTTTAACCTTTGCATTGGAGTTTTATCTCTCGTATTTCTGTTTGATTTATTAAAATATTCCCATCCAAACCCAAGTAACGAAGGTGGAGGCATTACTTTTCATTCAACCCTTGTAGTTATATAGTCTACTTCTTTCTCTGTAAAGTACCTAATTCACTCTGTCTCCCTGGAAATGGATTAAAAGAATATTGTCACCTCATGACACAGAGGTGGCTACATGCAAAGTCACCACCAATTATGAAGCTCTGCTGGCAAACCCGACGGCCTCTGCCGTCTGAATCTAACCGAGTGCCTTCTCTCCTCCCAGGACCACCGGAATTCCCTCTTGAAGCAAGAGGCTCTGCTCGAATGGGGGTCTTCCTCGGAGCTCTTCGAGGAGAGCACCCAGCAGCCAAGCAGAGGAAAGGTAAGTCCAGACGACAGCTATTGCCTGTTGGCCACGGGGTGGGCCTTTTTCGGGTCTCCCCTCATTCTGCTTACTGCCTTTCCCCCCAAGGAGCCCCCATTTCTGAGACCCCAGGTTCCGGATCACTCCTCCCTGGTTAGCAGATCTCCAGGCAATTAGTATATTCCAGGTAGAGCTTCAGTTTATACATAGCCATCGCAATGTACAGCTAATATTTGTTTATCGTGTCAGGAGCAAGCCAAACAGTTGTATTGCATTTTTTAACAAACAAACAAACAAAACACAAAGTTTGCAAGCTTGGTGTTCTATTAAATGTCCTTTGACCGGTAGCTGACCACTTGGAGTGCCTCTGGTGTCACTGTGAGAATGTCCTCCATTGTGCATGTGGCAGGGCTCAGGTTGCATTGCAACAGGTGGTCAGTGGTTGGCTCTTCTCCGCACTCGCATGTCATGGACTCCACTTTGTGGCCCCATTTCTTGAGGTTGGCTCTGCATCTTGTGGTGCCAGAGCGCAGTCTGTTCAGCGCCTTCCAAGTCGCCTAGTCTTCTGTGTGCCCAGGGGGGAGTCTCTCATTGATTGAGGTTCTGGGTTTGAGCCTGCCACTTTTGGACTCTCGCTTGCTGAGGTGCTCCAGCGAGTGTCTCTGTAGATCTTAGAAAACTATTTCTTGATTTAAGTCCTTGACGTGCTGGCTGATACCCAAACAGGGGATGAGCTGGAGATGTCTCTGCCTTGGTCCTTTCACTATTGGCTGCTACTTCCCGGCGGATGCCAGGTGGTGCAATACCGGCTAGACAGTGTAATTTCCCCAGTGGTGAAGGGTGCAGACACCCTGTGATAATGCAGCATGTCTCATTCAGAGCCACATCTAAAAAAATACAGTGGCCAAATATTTCTAGTTTCAGAAACGAGGGGATTTAAACTACAATAGCTGAATCTGCAGAAAATACTAAGGGGTGGGTGTATTAGTCGAGCGCCACACTTGATTGCTCTGTACCATGGGTTTTATAGTCAACCAGAGTCATTGAGGAAACATGCACACACTCACAAACCTTTTCCCTCTTGGGTTGTTGTGGGTTTTTCAGGCTGTTGTAGATTTTTCAGGATGTTCTCTCCTGATGTTTCGCGTGCATCTCTGGCAGGCATCCTCAGAGGTTGTGTTTTGGGCTGTCTGGCCATGTTCCAGAAGCATTCTCTCCTGATGTTTTGCTTTTAGATGCTTCTAGGACATGGCCATACGGCCCGAAAAACCTACAACAACCCAGTGATTCCAGCTGTTGCATCCCAGTTCAAGAAACAAGATTAAATCCACCACTCTGGACTGTAGGAAAAGCAATCCTTGTTTATTGATGAAAAATTGGTTACAAAAGAAAGGTAAATGCAGAGTCAAAAAGCCACAGAAAAACACAGTAGTCAATAGGATCTCTGAACTTGAGCAAAACTTCAAAAGCCACAAAACAATAACCTGGAGTCTGTTAGCCTTTTACTAACCATGAACTTGATAAATACAAGCCTCTGGGATTACCGGCCATGGAACACAGGAATTCTGCCAAGGCCAGCCACAGTCCCGAACATTGCTTGACCTAAAGAAGCACCCGGCAGTAACCCTCTTAAACCAAAGAAGATATTCTTAGAAACGCCCCTTGACTTTTCTGTCTGGGCCTCTTTCTGCTGTAAGCGCTGTGACCTTCGTACAGACTGGGAAACATGTCTATCTCTGACTATCTGTTCTCTTCGGTCCTCATTATCAACCCCAGGGGGAGAGATATCATGGCTAACTTCCAAAACATTCTCTTCCAGCTGTTGGGTTTCGTTTTCATTCCCACTGACCTCTGCATCAACAACAGATTCCACACTGTCAGAGTCAGGGAGAGCTTGCTCAGTTGGAAAAACTATCAGAGAATCCTGCTCACACAGATCAGGATCAGGCTGAACCCCAACACTAGCCATGAAAGTCTTCAACAAGACATCTTTTCTCTCTTTCTTGTCTGCACTTTTCCTGTCTCAACTTTGTCTTACAGTTTGGTGGCACCTTTGTTTCTCCTTGCTCTTCTTTGTTCCAAAACAATCCTGTGATTCTGAAAACAACCTTTCTGTGCAATTTTCCTTCCTCCCATCTCTTTCAGATCATCCTGATCTTTTCCTTCACCTCTTACTCACTTCTCTTCACCTGGTGCTTGGTGAATTCCTTCACTCCTCACTCTCTTCTTCCCTTTCTGTAACCCACTCTTAAACTCCCTTCTTGTAAAATTCACTCTTCAAATCTTAGCTCCATCACTATTGAAATTAATCCTGAATGTGATTCATTGCGTCACAGAGGACTGTTACTCTCTCTGACCCAGGTGGACCTCCAAGAGTGGCCAGAGAGGATGTTCTCCCCCGAGATCTACGAAGAGGTAAGGGGTCAACCGAGGAATCCCAATAAGGCAGGGAATCATAGAATCATGGGTCATCCAGTCCAACCCCATTCTGCCATCTATCTATTTGCTCATTAACTTCTGCAGGTGCCGAGTTGTTTTCAAGCCCCAAATCCTGGGAACTCTCTAGTAGCAATTCAGGGATTACACCTCATGGGCCATCCAGTCCAACCCCATTCTGCCAAGAAGCAGAAAAATCACATTCAAAGCACCACCAACAGATGGCCATCCAGCCTCTGTTTAAAAGCCTCCATAGAAGGAGCCTCCATAACACTCCGGGGCAGAGAGTTCCGCTGCTGAACAGCTCTCCCAGCCAGGAAGTTCTTCCTCATGTTCAGGTGGAATCTCCTTTCCTGTAGTTTGAAGCCATTGCTCCATTGCGTCCTAGTCTCCAGGGAAGCAGAAAGGAAGCTTGCTTTCTCCTCCCCATGACTTCCCCTCACATATTTATATATGTTTATCATGTCTCCTCCAGGTTTTCTCTTCTTCAGGTTAGATATGTCCAGCTCTTTAAGCCACTCATAGAATCATAGAATCATAGAATCAAAGAGTTGGAAGAGACCTCATGGGCCATCCAGTCCAACCCTATTCTGCCAAGAAGCAGGAATGTTGCATTCAAATCACCCCTGACAGATGGCAATCCGGCCTCTGTTTAAAAGCTTCCAAAGAAGGAGCCTCCACCACACTCCGGGGCAGAGAGTTCCACTTCTGAACAGCTCTCCCAGCCAGGAAGTTCTTCCTCATGTTCAGTTGGAATCTCCTTTCCTGTAGTTTGAAGCCATTGCTCCATTGCGTCCTAGTCTCCAGGGAAGCAGAAAGGAAGCTTGCTTTCTCCTCCCCATGACTTCCCCTCACATATTTATACATGGTTATCATGTCTCCTCCCAGTCTTCTCTTCTTCAGGCTAGACATGTCCAGCTCTTTAAGCCACTCCTCATAGGGCTTGTTCTGCAGACCCTTGATCATTTTAGTCGCCCTCCTCTGGACACATTCCAGCTTGGCCAACATCTCCCTTCAATTGCTGTACCCAGAATTGGACACAGTGTGGTCTAAGCAAGGAAGAAGAGATCATGGGGAGTATGACATCCCTGGATCTAGACACTAGACTCCTATCAATGCAGGCCAAGTTCTGCCCTATCAGCCATCCTGTTGCTTTAGTATTGGAGTGCCATCAGGATGCCTAGTGCTTTGCAGGGTGCAACAGGCCATGTTCTTGTCCCAAAGAACTCAACTTCTAAGGTTTTACCGAGGAAAGAGGGGCTACCACCAAAACCCCTTTTCTGTGAGGATGTTCCTAATTTATGAAAAGGGATTATAACTTGTCTGGCACATTGTCTCTTTTTATCCCAGGAGGAGGAAGAGGAGGAGGAGGAGGAGGAGGAGAGTGATGGAGTCACGGACCAAGCGGAAGAGTCAGAGACGGAACAGGAAGTCTCTGAAAGCTATGAAAAGGTATGTGAGGACTAACAGAAAAACCTGAGCCATGGCTTGGTTGCTCTCTTTCCTTCAAGGGGTTCCAACTATTGCACTCCAGGACAGGAAAAGCCCTCTGACTTTAAACACCACACGTTGAATAGGAAAACAATCCTTTTATTGGAGATCATTAACAACAGACTGGCTCAAGATTGGGAAAGGCGTACGGCAAGGATGCATACTCTCACCCAACCTTTTTAACTTGTATGCAGAACACATCATGCGATGTGCGGGGCTGGATGAATGCAAAGCTGGGGTGAAAATTGCTGGAAGAAACAGTAACAACCTCAGATATGCAGATGACACCACTCTGATGGCCGAAAGCGAGGAGGAGCTGAGGAGCCTTCTAATCAAGGTGAAATAAGAAAGCGCAAAAGCCGGGTTGCAGCTAAACGTCAAAAAAACCAAGATTATGGCAACAAGAATGATTGACAACTGGAAAAATAGAGGGAGAAACCGTGGAGGCCGTGACAGACTTTGTATTTCTAGGTGCAAAGATTACTGCAGATGCAGACTGTGGCCAGGAAATCAGAAGACGCTTACTTCTTGGGAGGAGAGCAATGTCCAGTCTCGATAAAATAGTAGAGTAGAGACATCAGACTGGCAACAAAGATCCGCCTAGTCAAAGCCATGGTATTCCCTGTAGTAACCTACAGGTGTGAGAGCTGGACCTTAGGGAAGGCTGAGCGAAGGAGGAGAGATGCTTTTGAACTGTGGTGTTGGAGGAAAGTCCTGAGAGTGCCTTGGACTGCGAGAAGATCCAACCAGTCCATCCTCCAGGAAATAAAGCCCGACTGCTCATTGGAGGGAAGGATACTAGAGATAAAGTTGAAGTACTTTGGTCACATCATGAAGAGACAGCAAAGCCTAGAGAAGACAATTATGCTGGGGAAAGTGGAAGGTAAAAGGAAGAGGGGCCGACCAAGCAAGATGGATGGATGGCATCCTTGAAGTGACTGGACTGACCTTGAAGGAGCTGGGGGTGGTGACGGCCGACAGGGAGCTCTGGCGTGGGCTGGTCCATGAGGTCACGAAGAGTCGGAGACGACTGAACGAATGAACAACAACAACAAAAAAGCACTTTTAAGAAATGGGTAAATCCAATTAGGTAAGAAGATAAGCAGGAACAAAATACTCCAGTTCAGCAAAGTCCACGAAAAAAAAAAGTCCACACTTCTCCAATATAATCCAGAAAACCAGGAAACATTAATCTAAGGCATGAGTATGTAGTCATAAAATCCAAGAATCAAAACCATGAAACAAGAAATACTGAAGCATGAGTTTTCCAAGCTACGCTTCCATGAAACAAGAACTTAACTTGATTAGAAACGATGTTTCATCTGGCATTTCCCGTACTTGGGACTTTTATCCCCTCATTAAGCTATCCCAAGCACTCAGAAATTGGTTTCGCTTTAATTGAGATTCCCTTATCTTTTTCTGTCGAAGCCTGGCAGAATGCCGAAGCCACTGTTTGGCTTGTCTGTTTTGACTAATTTCCTGCCGTCTATCTATTTGCTCATTAACTTCTGCAGGTGCCGAGTTGTTTTCAAGCCCCAAATCCTGGAAACTGTCTGGTAGCAATTCAGGGAGTACACCATCATCCCCACACCCTTCAGAGACATTCTCATGGGAAACTACACTTTGCACAGGGATCTCCTGTTCATTCTCTGCTTCAATATCATTGACCAAACCATTGCCATCTTGAAACTCATTGACATCACTCCCCACATCCAAAGCACCCTGAAATCAGGGAAATCAGTCCCCTGTTGCTTCTGATGTGGGGGGTGCTGGGCTTGACTCTGAGGTGCAAGGTGGAGACACTTTGGTCAATGAGTTTCATGCAGACACTGACAGAGAGGCTTCAGTGCAAAGGGCAGATTCTCATGAGAATGTTCCTGTCAGGCCTTGGGAGGAAGGTTTACTCCCTCCGTCTGTGAGCCCTTCAGATTCTAGTTTGGAAAACAGTCTGGCACCTGGTAAAGTTAATGAGGAGTCAGATAAGCAGAGTCGCCGGCTGGAGATTAGCCAGAATCGACAAGAGGCCCAATGTTTACGTAGATCCGAAAGAATTCATCAATTAAAGTCAAAGACTAGGGGAAAACGAAACCAGTTCTTGGGATTTAAGGTTTGCCTTTAGAAAATATTGTCAGATCAGGCATCATCTGGAAACCTAGCACAAACCTCATGGAATTCCTGTTCAAGTGATCTCGTCTTCATGGTTTTTTTCTAGCCTTTCAACTTGACTAGCAGTGGCTGGTCTGTATTTGCTTCTTGGTTGATTCCTGTCTGGATTATCAGTGCCTTGGAATATTAGTTCATGCTTTTTGATCATTGCTTTTGAATGCTACATTTGGACGCTGTGTCTTCTTCCTGCCTTTAAATGCCTTATTGCTTTTAGGAATCTTATCTATCTTTACAAGCATTTATTTCTAATGGCTTTTTTTTTGCTAAGCTTTAATAAAAAGGATTGTTCCTTCACTCAACGTGTGGTGTGTTTATAGTCAGAGGGGGCATTTCCTGTTCTAATTTTCCTACTTGACAGATGCAACTGTCTTTCAGGCAGCAGAGGTCGACAACAAGCTACACAAATTGGCCAGAAGCTCACTCTGACCCGGGCTAGCTTCGAACTCATGACCTTCCGGTCAGTAGTGATCTTAATGCAGCTGACTCCCAGCCAGATGTGCCACAGTCCCGGTGCAGGTCCTTCTGACTTGAGCAACAAATTAGAGGAGTGGGCCATCATTGGACTTCTTCTCTCGTTTGTTGCAGGTTGAGATGAGCGATGACGCAATCGAGAAGAAGCCGCCAAGGAAGAGACGCCCCTCTGAGAGAGAGAAGACAGTGAGCCCAAATGGGGTGCTAAGGGAGTGGGGACTTCTTTTGCCCAGAGTAAAGTAAGGCAGTGCTCATTAAAAGAAGCACCCCCCCCCCAATAATTGCCCCAAATGACTCCAGGCCCCTCACACCTAGCTCCAGCAGACAAGAGTCCTTTGTCCCACCCTGGTCTTTCCACAGATATATAAACCCATTTTCCTAGTTCCAACAAACCTCACTATCTTTGAGGATGCTTGCCATAGATGCAGGCGAAACGTCAGGAGAAAATGCCTCTAGAACATGGCCATATAGCCTGAAAAAACCTACAACAACCATACTATTATTAGTTAAAAACATCCCCAGAATAGTCAACGGCAATATACATTACTAGATAGGAAATTTAACATAGTACCTGTCTAACTAACTCCTAGTAGACATAGAATCATAGAATCATAGAATCAAAGAGTTGGAAGAGACCTCCTGGGCCATCCAGTCCAACCCCATTCTGCCAAGAAGCAGGAATATTGCATTCAAATCACCCCTGACAGATGGCCATCCAGCCTCTGCTTAAAACCTTCCAAAGAAGGAGCCTCCACCACACTCCGGGGCAGAGAGTTCCACTGCTGAACGGCTCTCACAGTCAGGAAGTTCTTCCTCGTGTTCAGATGGAATCTCCTCTCTTGAAGTTTGAAGCCATTGTCCCATTGCGTCCTAGTCTCCAAGGAAGCAGACAACAAGCTTTCTCCCTCCTCCTCCCTGTGGCTTCCTCTCACATATTTATACATGGCCCTCATCATATCTCCTCTCAGCCTTCTCTTCTTCAGGCTAAACATGCCCAGTTCCCTAAGCCGCTCCTCATAGGGCTTGTTCTCCAGACCCTTGATCATTTTAGTCTTGTGTCTTTCCATGCTCACAGAAGAATATAGGACTCTGAGCCTTGCCATGTGTTCAGGCACTTTGTATAGAAAGAGGTGTGTTCCTAACAAACAAGGTGATAGGAGGAGAGAATAGAGTGACAGGCAGGCAAAGAGGCCAATGGGGGAAGAGCTTTCCCTGCCAACTAACTCATATGCTACTGACTACTGCAACGCTCTCTACGTGGGGTTGCCTCTGAAGACTGCCCGGAAGCTTCAGCTAGTCCAATGAGAGGCAGCCAGACTACTAACGGGTGCTGGGTACAGGGAGCATACTACTCCTCTGTTACGCCAGCTCCACTGGCTGCCAGTCAGCTTCCAAGCACAATTCAAAGTGCTGGTGTTAACCTATAAAGCCCTAAACGACTCCGGCCCTGTTTACCTCTCCGAACGTATCCTCCCCTATGAACCATCAAAGTTGTTAAAATCTTCTGGAGGGGCCCTGCTCTCGGTCCCACCACCCTCGCAAGCGCGTCTGGTGGGGACGAGGGACAGGGCCTTCTCGGTGGTGGCCCCTCGGCTCTGGAATTCTCTCCCGATGGAGATTAGAACTGCCCCTTCTCTCCTGACTTTTAGAAAGCTGGTTATTTATCGTGTCATCAGCAACCATACCATTGTATTACAATTCTGACAGAACAAAACAACCACACAGATTAAAAAGGAAGGGGGAAAAACACACAGATTTTGCAAACTTGGTAGTTGGTTAAATGACCTTTGACCAGTCTCTGGCCCCTTGGAGTGCCTCTGGTGTTGCCGCAAGGAGGTCCTCCCTTGTGCATGTGGCAGGGCTCAGGTTGCATTGCAGCAGGTGGTCAGTGGTTTGCTCCTCTCCGCACTCGCATGCCGAGGATTCCACTTTGTGGCCCCATTTCTTGAGGTTGGCTCTGCATCTGGTGGTGCCAGAGCGCAGTCTGTTCAGCACCTTCCAAGTCGCCCAGTCCTCTGTGTGCCCAGGGGGGGAGTCTCTCATTTGGTATCAGCCATTGGTTGAGGTTCTGGGTTTGAGCCTGCCACTTTTGGACTCTCGCTTGCTGAGGTGTTCCAGCGAGTGTCTCTGTAGATCTTAGAAAACTATTTCTAGATTTGAGTCGTTGACGTGCTGGCTGATGCCCAAACAGGGGATGAGCTGGAGATGTCACTGCCTTGATCCTTTCACTATTGGCTGCTCCTTCCCGGGGGATGTCAGGTGGTGCAATACTGGCTAGACAGTGTAGTTTCTCCAGTGGTGTGGGGCGCAGACACCCCGTGATAATGCGACATGTCTCATTAAGAGCCACATGTACTGTTTTAGTGTGGTGAGATGTGTTCCACACTGGGCATGCATACTCAGCAGCAGAGTAGCATAGCGCAAGGGCAGATGTCTTCACTGTGTCTGGTTGTGATCCCCAGGTTGTGCCAGTCAGCTTTCGTATGATGTTGTTTCTGGCGCCCACTTTTTGCTTGATGTTCAGGCAGTGCTTCTTGTAGGTCAGAGCACGGTCCAGAGTGACTCCCAGGTATTTGGGTGTGTTGCAATGCTCCAGTGGGATTCCTTCCCAGGTCATCCTCAGAGCTCGGGATGCTTCTCTGTTCTTGAGATGAAAGGCACATGTCTGTGTTTTAGCTGGATTAGGGATCAGCTGGTTTTCCCTGTGATAGCCAGTAAGAGCACCTAGAGCTTCAGAGAGCTTCTTTTCAACCATCTCAAAGCTGGTGAAAACTTGACTTTGGAATATAGTGAGGCAATAACTCCTGACCACACGGACGGACGGTGTTGAATTGTGATTTTATTCTGACGATGACTTGGCCTTATGTAATTATATTTTTGTATTTTAATGTATTTTATGGATTAGTGTATTATGAAGTGTGATGTTTTTATCCTATTAGGTTCTTGTGGGTTTTTTCGGGCTATAGAGCCATGTTCTAGAGGCATTTCTCCTGACGTTTCGCCTGCATCTATGGCAAGCATCCTCAGAGGTGAGGTCTGCTGGAACTGGGGAAAAAAGGGGTTTATATATCTGTGGAATGACCAGGGTGAGACAAAGGGCTTTTGTAAGTTGGGCTGGGTGTGGGTCTTTCCACTGACCCCCTTGATTAGCATACAATGGGCTGACTGTGCCTGGAGCAAACTCTTCTTGAAAGGTGATTAGATGTCCCTGCCTGTTTTTCTCTCTGTTTGTAATTTTAGTTTTTTTAATACTGGTAGCCAGATTTTGTTCATTTTCATGGTTTCCTCCTTTCTGTTGAAATTGTCCACATGCTTGTGGATTTCAATGGCTTCTCTGTGTAGCCTGACATGGTGGTTGTGAGAGTGGTCCGGCATTTCTGTGTTCTCAAATAATATGCTGTGTCCAGGCTGGTTCATCAGGTGCTCTGCTATGGCTGACTTCTCTGGTTGAGTTAGTCTGCAGTGCCTTTCATGTTCCTTGATTTGTGTTTGGGCTGCTGCGTTTGGTGGTCCCTATGTAGACTTGTCCACAGCTGCATGGTATACGGTAGACTCCTGCAGAGGTGAGAGGATCCCTCTTGTCCTTTGCTGAACGGAGCATTTGTTGGATTTTCTTGGTGGGTCTGGAGATAGTTTGTATGTTGTGTTTCCTCATCAGCTTCCCTCTGTGGTCAGTGGTTCCCTTGATGTCTGGAAATAACCCTTTTCCTCTGGGTGGGTCTTCGTCTTCACTCTCGTGGCTTCTTCTTGGTCTTTCAGCTCTTCTGATGTTTGAGGTGGAGTCTCCATTGGCCTGGAGAGCTTTGGTCAGGGAGTTCCTACATTCAGTCACTGAAGACACACTGGAATAGCCAGGTTTTCAGGTTCCTCCTGAAGATTGCTAGCATGGGGGCTTGCCTATCATAGAATCATAGAATCAAAGAGCTGGAAGAGACCTCATGGGCCATCCAGTCCAACCCCATTCTGCCAAGAAGCAGGAACACTGCATTCAAATCACCCCTGACAAATGGCCATCCAGCCTCTGCTTAAAAGCTTCCAAAGAAGAGCCTCCACCACACTCTGGGGCAGAGAGTTCCACTGCTGAACGGCTCTCACAGTCAGGAAGTTCTTCCTCATGTTCAGATGGAATCTCCTCTCTTGTAGTTTGAAGCCATTGTTCCGCGTCCTAGTCTCCAAGGAAGCAGAAAACAAGCTTGCTCCCTCCTCCTCCCTGTGGCTTCCCCTCACATATTTGTACATGGCTATCATATCTCCTCTCAGCCTTCTCTTCTTCAGGCTAAACATGCCCAGCTCCTTAAGCCGCTCCTCATAGGGCTTGTTCTCCAGACCCTTGATCATTTTAGTCGCCCTCCTCTGGACACATTCCAGCTTGTCAATATCTCTCTTGAATTGTGGTGCCCAGATAATAATAAAATATTCCTCTGGGGAGTGAGTTCCAGAGCCGGGGGGCCACCACAGAGAAGGCCCTCTCTCTTGTCCCTGCAAGTCGCACTTGAGATGCGGGCAGGAGCGAGAGAAGAGCCTCTCCGAAAGATCGAAGAGATCACGTGGGTTCGTAGATGGAGATACGGTTGCGCAGGTAGGTGGGTCCCAAACCATTCGGGGTTTTGTAGGTCAAGACCTGCACCTTGAATTGGGCCCGGAAAATAAACAGCAGCCAGTGGAGCTCCTTAAACAGGAGGGTTGACCGCGCTCTGTAATTCGCCCCAGTTAATAACTTGTGTAGGATAGTGCTTGAGCTCCAACACCGCTGCCTGGCAGGGAAAAGCCATATGTACGATGCGTATTGCAGAGGGGAAGAATTGTCCTCCCCATGCACCCCAAGTTGGGTTTTGCTTTGACTTGTTGGCCCCAGAGGAGGAGAAGGGTGTCAGCGGTGCCGGCCCCATTGGAATGCCTTCTCACTGCCCCCATGTCTCCCCTTTTCCAGGCCAAACGGGCCGCGCTCCAGTGGGCGCAGACGGTGCGCCCCGTGGACGCCATCCACTATTTCATGGAGAAGGAGCTGGAGAAGGAGCTGGCGGCCCTGAAGACCCTCTTTGCCCCTCTTCCCTCCGAAGAATCCAGCCCCAAGAACACTGTTGTGGCCTTGCCCTCCGTCCACAAGTAAGTGCCCAAATATTTGCAGTCTCCATTTCCCCAATCTGGAAACTAGAAACGAGGAGGTTTAAAAAATACAACGGTTTAATTCTGCAGAATAACACTTAGGGGTGGGTGCCAAAGTGCAAACGCGGAGTACTACACTTGACTGTCCTGCAGCGTTGGTGAAGAGGGTCCAGAAGAGATTGTGCTCGTATGGCTTCAAACTTCAAGAGAGGAGATTCCACCTGAACATGAGGAAGAACTTCCTGACTGTGAGAGCTGTTCAGCAGTGGAACTCTCTGCCCCGGAGTGTGGTGGAGGCTCCTTCTTTGGAAGCTTTTAAACAGAGGCTGGATGGGCATCTGTCAGGGGTGATTTGAATGCAATATTCCTGCTTCTTGGCAGAATGGGGTTGGACTGGATGGCCCACGAGGTCTCTTCCAACTCTTTGATTCTATGATTCTATGATTCTATTGATTGATTTATTAGGAACATTTCTGTCCCGTCCTTCTCACCTCCGAAGAGGGACTCAGGACAGCTACCAAGAGGCACCATGCGTCGCTGAACAATGAAAACAAAGCATAATATACCAGGGTTGAATGAAAAGTAATGCCTCCACTTCTGTAACTCCTCAACAGATGGCAGTCCTGGTATGCGGCAGGGACTGGCTTGTTCAGTAGACTCTCCTCTACAGCTCCGTTTGGGTGGGAAGCCTTAGCATTGAATGGACCTTCGTAACTTCTCAACAGATGGCAGTCCTGGTATGTGGCAGGTACTGGCTTGTTCAGTAGACTCTCCTCTATAGTTCCATTTTGGCAGGAAGCCTTAGCATTGAACAGACCTTTGTAACTCCTCAACAGATGGCAGTCCTGGTATGTGGAAGGTGCTGGCTTGTTCAATAGACTCTCCTCTACAGTTCCATTTTGGTGGGAAGCCTTAGCATTGAACGGACCTTCGTAACTCCTCAACAGATGGCAGTACTGGTATGCGGCAGGTACTGGCTTGTTCAGTAGACTCTCCTCTACAGCTCCGTTTGGGTGGGAAGCCTTAGCATTGAACGGACCTTCGTAACTCCTCAACAGATGGCAGTCCTGGTATGCGGCAGGTACTGGCTTGTTCAGTAGACTCTCCTCTACAGCTCCGTTTGGGTGGGAAGCCTTAGCATTGAACAGACCTTTGTAACTCCTCAACAGATGGCAGTCCTGGTATGTGGAAGGTGCTGGCTTGTTCAATAGACTCTCCTCTACAGTTCCATTTTGGCAGGAAGGCTGAGCATTGAACGAACCTTCGTAACTCATCAACAGATGGCAGTACTGGTATGTGGAAGGTGCTGGCTTGTTCAGTAGACTCTCCTCTACAGTTCCATTTTGGCAGGAAGCCTTAGCATTGAACGGAACTTCGTAACTCCTCAACAGATGGCAGTACTGGTATGCGGCAGGTACTGGCTTGTTCAGTAGACTCTCCTCTACAGTTCCATTTTGGTGGGAAGCCTTAGCATTGAATGGTTGTGTTGCTAAAGTGCGAAGTATGGAACCCTGCACAGATGGTCAGTGAATGCTACTTAAGCAATGTAAGCGGCAGGTCCTGGCTTGTTCAGTAGACTCTCCTCTACAGTTCCCTTTCGGCGGGAAGCCTTAGCATTGAACGGTTGTGTTGTTAAAGTGTGACGTATGGAACCCTGTGCAGACGGTCAGTCAATGCGACTTAAGCAATGTATGCGGCAGGTCCTGGCTTGTTCAGTAGACTCTCCTCTACAGTTCCATTTTGGTGGGAAGCCTTAGCACTGAACGGTTGTGTTGTTAAAGTGTGAAGTATGGAACGCTGCACAGATGGTCAGTCAATGCAACTTACGCAACGTATGCGGCAGGTCCTGGATTGTTCAGTAGACTCTCCTCTACAGTTCCATTTTGGCGGGAAGCCTTAGCATTGAACGGTTGTGTTACTAAAGTGCGAAGTATGGAACCCTGCGCAGACGGTTGGTCAATGCAACTTAAGCAACGTATGTGGCAGGTACTGGCTTGTTCAGTAGACTCTCCTCTACAGTTCCATTTTGGCGGGAAGCCTTAGCATTGAACGGTTGTGTTGTTAAAGTGCGAAGTATGGAACCCTGTGCAGAAGGTCAGTCAATGCAACTTAAGCAATGTATGTGGCAGGTACTGGCTTGTTCAGTAGACTCTCCTGTACAGTTCCATTTTGGTGGGAAGCCTTAGCATTGAATGGTTGTGTTACTAAAGTGCAAAGTATGGAACCCTGTGCAGATGGTCAGTCAATGCAACTTAAGCAACGTATGCAGCAGGTACTGGCTTGTTCAGTAGACTCTCCTCTACAGTTCCATTTTGGTGGGAAGCCTTAGCATTGAATGGCTGTGTTGCTAAAGTGTGAAGTATGGAACCCTGCGCAGATGGTCGGTCAATGCGACTTAAGCAATGTGCAGTCATTGATTTCTTATGGAGCCCTCGGTGGCGCAGTAGGTTAAACCCTTGTGTCAGCATGACTGAAGACCGACAGGTCGCAGGTTCGAATCCAGGGAGAGTGCGGATGAGCTCCCTCTGTCAGTTCCAGCTCCTCATGTGGGGACATGAGAGAAGCCTCCCACAAGGACAATAAAACATCAAATCATCTGGGCGTCCCCTGTGCAACGTCCTGCAGATGGCCAATTCTCTCACACCAGAAGCGACTTGCAGTTTCTCAAGTCACACCTGACACGACAAAAAAAATTGATTTCTTGACAGCAGAAGGTGTCACCCCAAAGGAGATCCATCAGAGAATGCAAGCTGTTTGTGGTGATTGTGTTGATGTGAGTACTGTTCGTCACCTCTGAGGATGCTTGCCATAGATGCAGGCGAAACGTCAGGAGAAATGCCTCTAGAACATGGCCATATAGCCCGAAAAAACCCACAAGAACTGAATTCTGCTGTGTTTGGTGGTCCCTATGTAGACTTCTTGTCCACAGCTGCATGGTACACGGTAGACTCCTGAAGAAGCGAGAGGATCTCTCTTGTCCTTTGCTGAACGGAGCATTGGTTGGATTTTCTTGGTGGGTCTGCATGCGTCAACAAACCCTCAACAAACCAGCTTAAAACAAGCTGTGATAAAACCGCTGTTGAAAAACCATCACTGGATCCCACTCAATTCGTCAACTATCGGCCTGTTTCCAATCTTCCCTTTTTGGGCAAAGTCCTGGAACGTGTGGTGGCCTCACAACTCCAGGTATTCTTGGTAGACACTGATTATCTAGATCCGGCACAGTCTGGCTTTAGGCCGGGACATGGTACCGAGACAGCCTTGGTCGCCTTAGTGGATGATCTGCGCCGGGAGCTAGACAGGGGAGTGTGTCCCTGTTAGTTCTGCTGGACCTCTCAGCGGCCTTCGATACCGTCGACCACGGTATCCTTCTGAGACGCCTCGTGGGAATGGGCCTTGGTGGCACTGTTCTGCAGTGGCTCAGGTCCTTCCTAGAGGATCGTACTCAGAAGGTGTTGCTGGGGGACAACTGCTCTTCCTCACAACCATTGTCTTGTGGGGTCCCGCAGGGCTCAATATTGTCCCCCATGTTATTTAACATCTACATGAAGCCGTTGGGAGAGATCATCCGGAGTTTCGGGGTGCGGTGTTATCTGTACGCAGATGACGTCCAACTCTGTCACTCCTTCCCACCTACTACTAAGGAGGCTGTCCAGGTCCTGAACCGGTGCTTGGCCGCTGTGTCGGACTGGATGAGGGTGAACAAATTGAAACTCAATCCAGAACAAGACAGAGGCACTCCTGGTCAGTCGAAAGGCCGAACAGGGTATAGGGTTACAGCCTGTGTTAGACGGAGTTACACTCCCCCTGAAGACGCAGGTTCGCAGCTTGGGTGTGATCCTGGACTTATCCATAGCTGAGCCTGGAACCCCAGGTTTCAGCGGTGTCCAGGGGAGCGTTTGCACAATTAAAACTTGTGCGCCAGCTGCGCCCGTACTTGGGAAGTCTGACTTGGCCACGTAGTCCACGCTCTGGTTACATCCCGTTAGACTACTGCAACGCTCTCTACATGGGGTTGTCTTTGAAGACTGTCTGGAAGCTTCAGATGGTCCAACGGCCGGCAGCCAGGTTATGCTAAGCGGGGCTCAGGGAGCATACAACTCCTCTGCACCAGCTCCACTGGCTGCCAATCGGCTTCCGGGCGCAATTCAAAGTGCTGGCTTTAGCCTATAAAGCCCTAAACGGTTCTGGTCCAACTTACCCTCCGAACACATCTCCACCTATGAACCGACCAGAACATTAAGATCGTCTGGGGAGGCCCTGCTCTCGATCCCGCCTGCGTCACAGGCGCGCTTGGCGGGGACGAGAGACAGGGCCTTCTCAGTGGTGGCCCCTCGGCTATGGAATGCCCTACCGGCAGACATCAGACAGGCACCTTCGTTGCTGACGTTTCGGAGAATGGTTAAGACCTGGCTTTATGAGCAAGCGTTTGGCTAAGCAGTGCAACCAATCAAGGAAGACGGTAAATGGAACATAGGAACGGCACAAGGACTATGAGAACGGATCTGATTTCAACTGAGGCGTTATGTCTGTTGTTTTGTTGATTTGTCTTGTTCGATTGTTAATTGTTGTGGATCGATGTTGTTGATCCTGTTTGTTGTATTGTTATGTTTTAATTGCACTGTAAACCGCATTGAGTCGCCTGTTAAGGGCTGAAAAATGCGGTATAGAAATGAAGCAAATAAATAAATAAATAAATAAGAGAGCCATCTGCTTAATTGGGCAATAAAGGTCAGTCGAGACTCTGAGAGGAGGAGGATTGATTTATAACTCCAGAAAGAAAAGCAGAGATCTTCAGTGACCTGTTGCTGGTTAGACCACATATGGAATATTGTGTCCAATTCTGGGCACCACAATTCAAGAGAGATGTTGACAGGCTGGAATGTGTCCAGAGGAGGGCGACTAAAATGATCAAGGGTCTGGAGAACAAGCCCTATGAGGAGCAGCTTAGGGAACTGGGCATGTTTAGCCTGAAGAAGAGAAGGCTGAGAGGAGATATGATAGCCATGTATAAATATGTGAGAGGAAGCCACAGGGAGGAGGAGGGAGCAAGCTTGTTTTCTGCTTCCTTGGAGACTAGGACGCAGAACAATGGCTTCAAACTACAAGAGAGGAGAGTCCATCTGAACATGAGGAAGAACTTCCTGACTGTGAGAGCCGTTCAGCAGTGGAACTCTCTGCCCCGGAGTGTGGTGGAGGCTCCTTCTTTGGAAGCTTTTAACAGAGGCTGGATGGCCATCTGTCAGGGGTGATTTGAATGCAATATTCCTGCTTCTTGGCAATGGGGTTGGACTGGATGGCCCATGAGGTCTCTTCCAACTCTTTGATTCTATGATTCTATGGCGCGCAATCTTAAAGAATTGGGACAATTAATGTTGTGTTTCCAGACTCACCTCTGCAGGAGTCTACCGTATCCCATGCAGCTGTGGAAAAGTCTACAGAGGGACCCCCAAACGCAGCAGCGTTGCCCAAACACGCATCAAGGAACATGGAAGGCACTGCAGACTCCTTCAACCAGAGAAGTCAGCCATAGCAGAGCACCTGAGGAACCCACCTGGACACAGCACATTATTTGAGAACACAGAAATGCTGGACCTCTCTCACCACCACCATGTCAGGCTACACAGAGAAGCCATTGAAATATACAAGAAGCGGACTTCCGGTGGACATGGCGATGGGGTAGCCTCGTCGAGACAGAGCTCCCGACGAGGACCGGTGTTGTGGTGGTCTGGCTGGGCTATACGCCCCCCCTCTTTGCCGGATTGAGTTGCGAAGGGGTCGCAAACCCCACAGCGGCTTCAGACCCCAGAGATCTTTTCTCCCTCAAGGAGGAGAGGTCGGAGGGTTTGAGCTGCACGGGGAAGCGAGCCACCCCACAGGGATCGAGCCGCGAGGCTCGTGTAACCGCCGCCAATCCATTTAAGAATAAAGAAGAAGAGAAAGAAGAAATCCCGACGGGAGAAATAAGAAAAACCCACCCTCAGGTAACGGGAACTTGTTCTGAGTGGGAACGGAGTTCCTTTTATTTTTAAGAAGAAAAGAGATGAGCCAGAAATAGCTGGTGGAGAATACGGAGAAAGAAAGAAAAGAAAGAAGTCATAAGTATTAATTCAGAAGACAATAAAGAAGGGAAATTGATTTAAATAATTGAAAGAAAGTTTTGGAGATCAAAGATTTAAAGAGTAAATTAATATACGATATAATAGTAACTCTGGCAATTTTGGCAACCTGAATGCGGCCGCTCTACTTCAAATTAAGTAATGAAGTAATGAAGTAAATTAAGGGTAAAGGAGAGAAGACGGGAGTTTTCCTGGCCTTAACCCCTGCCCGCAGTTTGGCGAGTAAAAAGGACAAATGAAATGAAATGAAAACATTCCTGACCTTGACGCCATAATTGTTATGTCTACGGCAAGCCTTCTTCATAAACAATAAGCTGAAGGAAGTGGAGGGAGAAGGAAGTGACGAAACGGAAGGCTGCCTTAAGAGACGGACCGGGAAACCGGAAGGGACAGAGGAAGGGCGGAAGGAAGGAAGAGATCGGGCGGAAGGAGGGAAGACGCCATTTTGGGAACCATAGAAAAAGAGCGATATAGAGCGGTCGGAATAAAATTGAAATAAAAACTGAATTTTAAAGGACTATTGAGAGAATTGAGAAAGAGGAGTAGAAGACAGGAAAAGATAAATCAAGGAAGAGAAGCAGACGAGACAAGACGAGGACGAGAAGAAGACGACGGCAGGACGAGGAAGAGAAGCAGACGAAGGGGGTTAAAGACGAGGACGAGAAGTAGACGATATTAAATCATCCGAGGACGAGAAGCAGACGTTCAGAAGGATAAACAAAAGAGGAGAAGTAGAGGAGATAGTGTTATAAACTAATTAATATATAGAACTGATGAAGTAGAGAATAACACTCCTTTAATAAGCCAGAAGATTTTAGAAGTGATAGATTTTATATAAACTTTATAAATAAATTTTAAGAGAATTGGAATAAATAAATTAGAGTATCATTCCATTAAATATTAAATATTAATTGGGGATTTAACGAATTGATTGGCCCAGTGATTGGTAAATTACTTTTTTTATGAATTAATTACCCTCTCCCTTTAGAATCTAAATAAAATAAGTGATAAATATAAATTAGAATTGGATAAATTTGAAAAAACTGATGTACTTAGTATAAATTAATGGGAAACTATATAAATTAATTGGCCCAGTGATTGGTAAATTACTTTTCTTTTTTATGGACTATCTATTCCCTCACGTTGGAACTTAAATAAAACAAGTGCTAAATATAAATTAGAATTTGACAAATCGGAAGAAAGATAGAATAAAAAGCCCAGTAAGAGAGCTTAAGAAGAAATAGAGGAAGATATTGGAAATGACAACTCCAGGTAAACCAGAGTCCCGGAGGGGGTCTCTGGATATAAATCCAAAAATGGATACTCTTTTAAAAGAAATAAAGAAGATATCAGAAAAACAAGATGCTTTGAAGGTGGAATTGAAGGAGGAGGTCAAGACCAAGCATGAAGAATATTATAAGAAACAAGAGGGAATCATTACAAAGATGACAGAGGAATTTAAGGCAATGAAAACTGAAATTAAAGAAGAGTTTGGCCAGTTAAAACAAGAAGTATCGCAAATACAAGGGGAAGTGAAAGAATTGAAAGTTTCTAAAGTGAAAATGGAGGGAATTCAAACAGAAATGGCACAGAAAATAAAAGGTTTGGACAAACAAAGGGAGAAAATGGAATTTGAACAAGAAAGATTGTTGCAAATGCAAATGGATTTTCAATTAAGATTTAGAAATATAGTAGAGGAAGAGAAAGAAGATATAAGACAATTGGTAATTAAAATGCTGGCAAATTGTTTGGAGTGCGAAGAAGATGAATTGGAACAGGAGGTAGATCAAATTTATAGGATTCCATCATTTTATTCTAGAAGAAACAAAACGGACAAAGACGTGATAGTGAAATTTACAAGGAAGAAGACACGGGATGACGTTTTGTATAAAAGCAATAGAAATCCAATCCAGTATAAAGGAAGGAAAGTTGTGGTTTTGAAGGAACTTCCGCAGACGATAATAGCAAGAAGAAGAAAATATTTTTTTCTGACAGAAGAATTGAAAAAGAGAGAGATAAGATTTAGGTGGGAAAGAAGAGAAGGGATAATGGTGACCTATAATGAAGAAAGGCATTGGCTGACATCAGAATATAAGGCAAAGGTATTCTATGATAAATATATAAAGCAGAAGGAAGGAGAGGAAGAGATGGGAGAGGTGGAAGAAGAAGGAGAAGAAGAGGAAGAAGAGGAAGCAGAAGGAGTCGAAGAGAGAAGACTATCCACCCCAAGGAAAGGAATCAAAGTCAAAAAAGCGAGGTATAAATCACCAAAGGACTATAGCTATTTTTCAAAAGACCCTAAACCACCGAGAACGACACCCAGGAAAAAAGAAGGAAAAGACGACCAGAGCAAGGAACAATCGACAACGGCAGCAGCGGAAATGGCTTGTGGCGACATTGGATTGGGACTGGATCAGAATGAATAATATGATGGAGAGACAAATAAAATGTTTATCAAATAATATTAATGGTTTGAACTCTCCACAAAAACGTAAGAAAGTTTGGAATAGTTTGAAGAAATCGAATTATGATGTAATAGCTTTGCAGGAAACACATATCTGTGATAAACATGTTGCACACCTCCTCAACAAAAAATTTGGAAAAGAATATCATTCGGTATTTGATAAAAAGAAAAGAGGAGTGGTAATTTATGTAAAGGAGTCAATTGAATCAGAATTGGCCTTTAGGGATTTAGAAGGAAGATGTGTCGCAGTGAAGCTGATAATCGGAGATTCCAAAATATTGATTTGCAATATTTATGTGCCTAACGGTCCAAAGGCGAAATTTGTGGAATTTTTAAAATCCAAATTGAAAGAAACAGAATTCGATGAGTTAATGTTGGTAGGAGATTTTAATGGGGTGATTGATCCTCAAATGGACAAAAGTACGAAGATAAAAAAAATTAAGGGAGGTAAACTCCCACAAAAATTTATGGACTTAAAAAAAGAATTCGATTTAGAAGATGTATGGAGAAATAGAAATAAAGACAAAAAAGACTATACCTTCTTCTCGAACAGACATCAATCCTGGTCTAGGATTGATATGGCGTGGATAACTAGGAACCTTTCTGCTAAAGTAAAAGAGATAAATATTCTACCACGAGATTTGTCTGATCATTGTCCTTTAGAAATTTTTATTAATCATAAGAATTGTCACAGAAAATGGAGACTGAATGAGAATCTGATAAAAACAGAAGAGGACAAAGAATATTATAAGAAAATAATACAAGACTATCTACGAATAAATAAACTGGAAGAAGTGAAGCCGCAGATGGTGTGGGACGCGTTTAAAGCAGTTTTGAGAGGGCACTTTATACAGCAAGGATCAAGGAGGAATAGAGAAAGAAATAGACGAATAAATGAATTGACAGCAGAAATAGCTGCAAAGGAATGGGAATTAAAATGTAGACCAACGAAGAAGACAGCGAGACAATTGTTGGGACTGAAACAAGAGAAAAACCATGTGGAGTTAGAACTCCAGTCAAGACAATTGAAATTTTTAAAACAACAGAACTTTGAAAATGCGAATAAACCAGGTAAATGGTTAGCAAATCAAATTCGGAAAAAGAGACAGATAAACTACATTTCAAAAATAACTACGGAAGATAAAGACCTGAGGATGGACAAAGAAATTATAGAGGAGTTCAGAAGATTTTACTCCCATTTATACACCAAAGACAAGATAATGAAAGAAGATATTATGGAGTATATTGGCCAAATGAAGTTGGATAAAATAACGGACGAAGACAGAGAAGGATTGAATAAAGAAATATCAGAGGAAGAAATAGAGAATGCAATTAATAAAATGAATGCAGATAAGGCTCCAGGACCGGATGGGTTTACGGCAGGCTTTTATAAATCTTTCAAACAGCAGTTAATACCAACATTTAAAGTTATTGCAAATGAAGCGATGAAATACCAGAAGATACCAGACTCCTGGAAGGAAGCGGAGATTACAGTGATACATAAAGAAGGCACCCCGGAAACGGATATAAAGAATTATAGACCGATCTCTCTTTTAAACACGGATTATAAATTGTTTGCAAACATTATGGCCTCAAGGTTGAAACTATTTTTAAATAAATGGATTGGGGAAGAACAGACAGGCTTTTTACCAAATAGGCATATGAAAGAAAATCTACGCAATGTTTTAGATCTCTTGGAATATTACGAGATGAATCATCAAAAAGAATTCGCCATTTTATCAATAGACGCGGAAAAAGCATTCGACAATTTGAATTGGGATTTTTTTAAGATCTTGATACAAGAATTGGACATGGGGGAAAAATTTAATAATGCAATTAATGCCATTTACGAATCTCAAAAGGCTAAAGTGAAAGTAAATGGTCAAATGACACAGGAATTTGAAATCGCAAAGGGTACAAGGCAAGGATGTCCATTATCCCCATTGATTTTTATAATGGCAGTAGAGATCCTAATGAGGAAAATCAGAGAGGATGAAAAGATTAAAGGGGCGAAAATTGGTAAATTTGAATATAAAATACGTGCATTTGCTGACGATCTATTAGGAACAATTGAAGACCCTGAGAAAAACTTACAAAATTGGATAAGAAAAATAGAAGAATTTGGAAGAGTGGCAGGTTTTAAAATGAACATGAAGAAAACTAAACTTTTATTTAAAAATGTGGAAAAGGAGAAACAAGTCAAGATCCAAAAACAACTGGGGATAGAGAGTGTTAAGAAAATTAAATATCTGGGAGTCTGGTTAACAGCGAGAAATGGCCAACTTTTAAAGAATAATTATGAAACGGTTTGGAAGAAAATTCAACAAGACTTATTGAAATGGAATTCGTTAAACCTATCTCTCCTGGGCCGGATATCTTTAATAAAGATGAATGTTTTACCAAAACTTATATTTCTCTTTCAAAACATACCGATAATAAGAAATCAAATCCTATTTAAAAAATGGAAAAAAGATATACTGAAATTTATATGGAAAGGGAAAAGGCCACGGATAAATTATACAAATTTGATAGATAAAAAATCTAGAGGAGGGTTGGGACTCCCAGACCTGAAGACTTATCACGAGGCATGTGCTTTGTCTTGGATAAGAGACTGGATGACCTTAGATAAAGAAAAGTGCCTAAACCTTGAAGGCTATGATCTGAGAGTAGGATGGCACGCATATGTTTGGTACAATAGAGAATTAAAGGAAAAAAATTTTGGGAATCACTTTGTGCGTGCCTCTCTACTGAGGACATGGATGAGATATAAAAATTTTTTTTATAAAACTACACCACTTTGGGTCTCAGCAATGGAGGCCCACCAAAGAAGACTTTTAGGATGGAGGACTTGGCCAAGATATAAGGATATTCTGGTGAAAGGGAAAATAGAGATAAAAACTTTTGAGCAACTTAAGAACTCTCATGGTAACATAACTTGGTTACACTATCTGCAAATCAAAGAATATTTTAAACAAGATCAAAAAATAGGTTTTGACTGGGAAGAAAACACATGGGATAAAATATTAAGAACAAAAAGAAAGATAGTTACAATACTTTATAATAAATTGATTCAGTGGCTAACAGAAACTGAACAGGTAAAAACATCGATGATCAAATGGGCGGAAAATTTAAGAAGGCCCATTCAATTTAGGGAATGGGAACAAATTTGGAACAAAAAGTTAAAATATACCTATGCTACAGACATGAAAGAAAACTGGTATAAAATGTTTTATAGATGGTATCTGACACCAAAGAAACTCAGTCTCATGTATCAGAATGTCTCAGAGAAGTGTTGGAAGTGTAGGGAACAAACTGGTACTTTTTACCATATGTGGTGGACATGTAAGGAGACAATAAAGTTTTGGGGAGCTATACATGAAGAGGTACAAAGGATATTGAAGAAGAGGTTCAAAAAGAAACCTGAATACTATTTACTGGGACTTATGGATTCTGAACTTAAACTAGAGGAGAATGAAGAAAAATTATTTACATATTTTAGTACAGCGGCAAGGATTGCTTTTGCTAGATATTGGAAGAATGACCAAATACCGACCATTGAAGAGTGGTTGGAGAAAATTAAAGAAATAAGAGACATGGATGAACTAACTTTCTTGATGAGAAGAAACACGGGGAAATCGGTTAAGAGGACAGATTGGTCTTCTTTCTATGACTATGAAAAGAGATATAATAAATATTTAGACGAAAAGAATAGTTAAATAAGATGATGAAGTAGTGTGAAAAGATCTTGAGGATGGAGTGGAAGTCATTTTAGATTAGTTTAGGTAGATATTGTGTTGTGTTTGTGTTGTTGTTGTTGTTGTTGTTGTTGTTTTTGTCTTTTTTCCTACTTTCCTATCGTCTTTTTATTGTTCCCCCTCTTTCCATGTGTGGATTTATAAAATGTTCAATAAAAACTATTAAAAAAAAAAAAAAAGAAATATACAAGAAGCATGTGGACAATTTCAACAGAAAGGAGGAAACCATGAAAATGAACAAAATCTATTATTATTATTATTATTATTATTATTATTATTATTATTAGTATTATTATCTTTATTTGTACCCCGCTAGCATCTCCCGAAGGACTCGGTGCGGCTTACAAAGGCCAAGGCCTCAACACAACAACAACAATACATCAAGACGTTATAAAAACTGGGCCGGGCCAGAGCAATGGGTACAGGATTAAAAGTGCTGATGTGGCAGGTGGTATGTAAGGATTATAGAGCAAGTGCATTGTGCAGTGTGCAGTCAATCTTAAGTTCTACTAAAGTGCTTCTGGGACTTGTTATTGGAGATTCCTATTCTGGAAAGGCGCATCGGAACAGCCAAGTCTTCAAGTTCTTTCTGAAGACTGCCAGTGTAGGGGCCTGTCTAAGATCTTTGGGGAGGGTGTTCCAGAGTCTGGGGGCCACCAAAGAAAAGGCCCTGTCTCGTGTCCCCACCAAGCACGCCTGTGACGCAGGCGGAATCACGAGCAGGGCCTCCCCAGATGACCAAAGTGAACGTGTGGGTTCATAGATGGAGATGCGGTCAATATTGGCCACGGTAGTCCACGCTCTGGTTACATCCCGTTTAGACTACTGCAACGCTCTCTACGTGGGGTTGCCTTTGAAGACAGCTCGGAAGCTCCAACTAGTCCAACGCTCGGCAGCCATGATTTTAACAGGAGCGGAGCGCAGGGATCATACAACCCCCCTGTTGCGCCAACTCCACTGGCTACCGATCTGCTACCGGGCTGAATTCAAAGTGCTGGCGTTGGCCTTTAAAGCCCTAAACGGTTTCGGCCCAAGCTACCTATCTGACCGCATCTCTGCCTATGAACCCACCAGGACTTTGAGATCTTCCGGGGAGACCCTGCTCTCGATCCCGCCTGCTTCTCAAGCTCGGCTGGCGGGGACGAGAGATAGGGCCTTCTCGGTGGTGGCTCCTCAGCTGTGGAACGCCCTTCCTACGGACATTAGACTGGCACCATCTCTAATGGTATTCCGCAGGAAAGTGAAGACCTGGCTGTTTGAGCAGGCGTTCCAATAATTAGTGCAGTGATTGGTTAATGAACATTGGAACGGAATAATGGATGACGAATCTGGAACATGTTTTTGATGACGAGATGACAGTGAATGGGTATTGTAGTAACTGTTTATTAATTGTGTAATGTGTTAGGTTGTTAACTGTTTTTATACTGTAGCACTGAATTTTTGCTGTTCGTATTTGTTGTGAACCGCTGTGAGTCGCCTTCGGGCTGAGAACAGCGGTATAGAAGTAAGGTAAATAATAATAATAAATAAATAAATACTTCAAAACTCTAAAATTACAACAGCAAAACAACAGAGGGGAAACAATCAGGCACATCTAATCACCTCTCAACAAAAGATTGGCCCCAGGCACTGCCAGGCCATCAAATGCTAATCAAGGTGGTCAGTTGAAACATTCACACCTAGCTCCAACAGACAAGAGTCCTTTGTCCCACCCTGGTCATTCCACAGATATATAAACCCTTTTTCCTACTTCCAACAGACCTCACTACCTCTGAGGATGCTTGCCATAGATGCAGGCGAAACGTCAGGAGAGAATGCCTCTAGACCATGGCCATATAGCCCGAAAAAACCTACAACAACCCATTCCCACCTAGCTCCAGCAGACAAGAGTCCTTTGTCCCACCCTGGTCATTCCACAGATATATAAACCCTTTTTCCTACTTCCAACAGACCTCACTACCTCTGAGGATGCTTGCCATAGATGCAGGCGAAACGTCAGGAGAGAATGCCTCTAGAACATGGCCATATAGTCCAAAAAAACCTACAACAACCCAGGGATTCTGGCCATGAAAGCCTTCGACAATACATAATCTCTCTCTCTCTCTCTTCGGAGCATGCACCGACTGTTGGCTTCTGGGGGAGTAGAAAGATGGCCCACAAAGCCCTCCTGAGGATCATATAAGAAATACGATTCTCATATGCGTGTCTCATATTTCTTATGCTTTTTTGTACAACAGGAAACGCGCCATCCTGCGACTGGGAGAAACCAATGCGATGCTGAGGAAAAGGATGCCTGAGCGCAAGGGTATGGAATGGCCAACCTCCTTTCGCCTCAGAGGGTTCATCTGTGAACTCCCAGGCATATAACAACTGTTGTTGTTGTTGTTGTTGTTGTTGTTGTTGTTATAAACACAACAAGATGAGTCCACAGCACACAAGATCCCTCTGCTAGCTGTTGTATTGGATCACACATCGGACCCTTCCCAAGTGCCAAGGACTGGGTGATGTATCGGCAAGTAATGCGTGCAGATCCCAGTAGGGTGGCCTTTTGCAGCTGGCAGGTGGTAATCTTGTCAGCGACGATTGTGTTTAAGTGCAGGCCAAGGTCTTGAGGCACTGCACTTAAACACAATTGTCGCTGACAAGATTACCATCTGCCAGCTGCAAAAGGCCACCCTACTGGGATCTGCACGCATTATTTGCCGATACAAATAATGTGTGATCCAATTACTGCTCAAGCAGGGAGCTTTGAGATGGTAGAACAGAAGCTCTCCGAAGCTCTAGGTGCTCAACTGCCTATTACAGGGAAAACCAGCTGATCCCTAATCCAGCTAAAACACAGACATGCGCCTTTCACCTTAAGAACAGACAAGCATCCTGAGCTCTGAGGATCACCTGGGAAG